AACCCTCCGTGCCTCGCCCGCCCCGCTCTGTGTGTCTAGAGCGATGGAAGCGACACCGCTCCTCGGATACGGAAAGCTAGGGACACATCCATTCGCACAAGCGCACCTGAGGTCCTTGGTCCGCCCCTCCCGCTCCGCCTCCAGCGCCTCCGTCCTCTCCCGCACCAGCTTCTCCGCCGCCCTCAGCGCAGCGGTGAGTCGCTCCACCTCCCTGGAGCGCTCCGCCACCGCTGCCGCCTCCGAGCCGCGCTCCTCCTGCAGCTTGGCTTTCTGACGCTCCAGGGCCGAGGTGCGCTTGGTAGCCTGCTTCAGCTGCGGGGTGCGGGTCAGACAAGACAGGGTTTGGCAAAAGGAAAGAAAGCCGCCGGTTCAGGATTGACCGAAATAGTGGTGGGGGCGGAGGGAATCATATAATGATGATGATGACGGTGATGATGATGATGATTACAGGAGTGCGGTGGAGACATGAATGGTGGGTGTCAGGCGCCAAGCGGGTGGCGGGTAGCAGTGAACCACCGGCGGGCTCCGTAGTCGAGATGAACACCAGCAACACCAGTACCTCCAATAGGGAGGGCGCTGGGCTGGAAGGGAGAGATCGGAGTGTCCAGTGGCCCTCGAGGCCTCCAACCCCCTTTCCAATCCAAACCAGTGCTCCCCCCGTTTCCCCCTTCACCCCACACGACACACACACACGCATACATACATACACACGCACCAGTGTCTGCACTTCCTGTAGCTCCCTCTGCAGCTCCGCCTCTCTGAGCGCCGCCCCCTGCGCCTCCGCCTCCATCACCTGCAGCCGGCCCTCAGCCTCGTGAAGCCGGGACTCAGCCTCCTGCAGCCGCGACTCAGCCTGCCGCTTGGCGCCTTCCTTGTCGTACACCGACTCCTTGAGACCCGTCAACACGCCCTCCACCTGGGGTGAGGGGGTGGGGGTGTGGAGCGGGTAGCTTGCGGCCGCCAACGACTAAGAGGGTGATACACGTATATTGAGGGGGTGGCGGAGGACGTCGAAAGACGGCATGTGGGTGTGCACCGGGGGGCCACAGCGAGGACCGGGGTTATCGCAGCAAGCAGAGCTGAATACATGGGCACTTGCTACACCTCTCTGGGTAACGCAACGCAACCGTGGTGTAACACACACACACACACATGCGCGCGCACACGCGCGCGCGCACATATGTAGAGGACGATGGTCGGGTAGACGGCAGATAGACGGCTACCTCGCCTACCTGAATGCACCTCGCATCCAGCGCCTCCTTGTCCGCTCTGAGCCTCTTGACCTCCTCCCTCAGGTTCCGGACCTCCTCCGCGAAGGGCTTGTCGCTCTCACACGCCTTCTTGATCAGGTCGCTGATGCGGCTGTCAGCCCACTCCTGGGAGGGCGGGGGAGGGGGGGAAGGCGGGGGAGGGACACGCAGGGCGCATGTTAGGTGGGCTGGAGGTCGAGGTGGGGGGAGAGACAGACGAGCTACCCCTTCCCCCCACCTGCCATCACTACAGGTATGGCCCGCTCCCCGCCCTCTGTCCCGCAGGTTAACCCACGGCAGGCCACACAGCCAGCCTTCCAAAGCCCTCGATACCGCATACGGGTGCCTACCCTGATCAATCCGTTTTATGTCACGTGGCGAAGTTTGGATGCGAGGTCCTCCACCTTGCTAACCGACACATCCCACACCTCCCTTGAAGACACGTGCAGGTCACGTTGTGTAGTGTTGTGTAGTGTTGTGTTGTGTGGGGAGTCACGTGCACCTACCCCCCACCAAAGCCCCCACCCCTTTCCTCGCACTCACGAACCTTGTGCTTCTTGAGCAGCGCCAGCTCCTTATGCAGCTGCTGCCGCTCCAGCAGGTAGCGGTTGATGGCGGCATTGGACTGCAGCACCAGGTTGCTCAACATGTCGATGTGGGAGGGGGGCAGCATGATGGCGGTGGCGGCGGAGCCAGACGGCCCACCGCCGCCACCAGCACCACCACCATTGCCGCCACCACCCCCCGGCGCCCCTCCGCCGCCTGCGGAGCCACAACCAAGCAACCAAGCGCGGTCAAGGGCCAGCATGTCAAATATAGCTTCCAACATTTGGCAGGACTCAGGCAAGGTAGTTCCTTCCCTCCTTCCCTGCCACCCACCCACCCCACACATCTCCCTTTCCTTTTCCTTGCATTACATCTGCACCTTCCATCACCATCTCCACCTCACCACCAGCCTCACCGGCCACTCTTCCTTGCCCCACCCAACGACTATCAGGCACTATCAGCCCCCTTCCCACAACCCCCAAACACAAGGGGGCCCCCAGCCGGCATGCAGCTGGACAGGAGCGCACGGCAGCGCCCCGGGTTCCTCCATCCCCAACGACCACACGGATCCTATCCTCCCAGGCCGTATACATCCAAAACCTGCCCGACCCCCGAACCCCAACACACAGGGCCTCACCAAGTGCATCGCGCTGCATCTGCTGCTGCTGTTGCAGCTGTAGCAACCGGTCCGTGAACTGCTTCAGCTCTCCCGCGATGTCCAGTCCGGCATTGGGGTCGGCAAGCAGGTCAGCAGGGACGCAGCCGTTCCCACCACCCCCCACCACTCCCCACTGCGCCTGGCCCGGCTGAGGTGCCGCCGTCTGCTGCTGCTGTTGTTGGCACTGCTGTTGCTGCTGTTGTTGGTACTGTAGTTGTTGCTGGTACTGTTGTTGTTGGGTTGCCGCCGCCCCACCCGCTGCATCTGTTGCCTGCGATCCTCCGCCCGGCGGCCCCACTTGTCCTTGCAGCAACAGCAGCTGCTGTTGTACCTGCTGCTGTTGCTGTTGTTGTTGCTGTTGCTGTGCCTGCTGTTGCTGCTGGTACTGCTGCTGTTGTTGGGCCGGATGCCCACCCAGCGCCTGGTGGGGGCCCAGCCCACCAGCACCAGCGACGCAGTCCGGGGCACCCGGAAAGGCGCCGCCGTAATAACAGCCACCACCGTCACCGGACATACGCTCGCCGGCGCCGGCGCCGCCACCAGCTAGCCCTAGGCCCATCACCGGCGCCAGCGCTGCCGCCGGTGTCAGCACTACCGTCGCGGCTGCGGGCACGCCGCCGGTTGCACCCTTACCCATGCTCGCCGTGCCGTACTGCACCGCGGCGCCAGCTGGTTTGCCCGACGCCGCGTCGCCCGGTCCGGAAGGGAAGACCTCCGCGGCGGTTGCGGTAGTTGTGGTGGTGGTGAGAAAGACCGGTCCCGCAAGCGCCGATGGCGCCGCCGACGAGGACGCAGTGAGCAGCTGTACGGCGGCGTCGGCGTCCGCCATGCAGAGTGTGGCTGCCAGCTCTGCAGTCTGGTGAGGTATGCCGGGTACTCGCTCCTGGATCTTGCGAATACACGACCCCACGTCTACGTGCTTTAACAAGTCCTGCACGGTGAGCGGCCTGAGGCGGGCAACAAGAGGGGGAGGGAGGGGGAAGCGCAGGAGGAGGCCTTGGCAGCGGGGAAATCCCTCCAAGGAAATGCCCTAGAGGCGAACAAGTGAAGGGGGTGAATGGGAAGGCAAAGGAGCACGGGAGGTCACGCAGAGCGTGTGGACGAGAAGCCGCCGTGAACAATCTAAATCCAAACATGACCCACATTTCCCCTGCCCCTGCCGCCCTCCTCCTCCTCCTCGTCCCTCCACTCCCCACCTTCCCCAATCTCTTGGGTCGTATTCGGGTCACACCCCTCCAGAGTCCGCCATGCCAACTCCCGATGCACCCCACTGCCCCACCTCTAAAGATCCACTCCCACTATGTCGCCGGTTCTATCCTTCAAACCCTAAGCCCCCTGGGACAGGCCGATAATGCCAGGTCCCCTACCTGCTGAAGTCCACGGTGTCCTTGTGTTGGTGATAGAATGCCAGCATTTTGGCGGGGTCCACCTTGCCCTTGCCGTTGCGGTTGATGTACTCGATACACACGCGCTGCGCCATGGGCTCCGAGCTGCCGGTGGCCTTCATGAGCTTCTCCAGAGCCGGCTTGGCCTGGACCTCCGTCAGCAGGCCGCGGAGCTTGTCCGTCACTCGGGCAGGGGGGAGGTTGAGCATGAAGGGGAGCGCCTGGGGGGAGGAGGGACGCGGGGAGATGGAGAGGATAACGGGAACACGAAAGCGAGGAGAGGAGCGGATTGTGTACCGAGGTGTACAATAGCGCCAGTAGCAGCACCTCTGGTGCGGCGGATAAGAGGTGTTTGGAGGGGGGAGCATCAGACCGGCCCGCCCTGAGCATACCCCCCCCAAAGGGCTTGTGGCGTTTTTGAGGGGAGAGGCGCAGGGCGCAGCGAGGGGTATTGGGAGTACGAGGAGCTTCGTGGAGGGCCTCGCGGCGTCCGGGACAGCAGCGTCGGCGGCGAAAGAAACTTCGCGTGATTGGGCAGGCGGGGGAGGGGGCAGTTTCCCCCTGGAGATGAGCCGCTGGGAGGCGGCAGCGGCACAGGCTGGTCTGCATCGGCCAACGCATCAGAGCAGCTAGGCAGAGCGCTACTGGCCTATATTTAGTATGTTCCTCCCCGCGCTGCGCCACGTGCGAGGGGAGTAATATCGCACTTAAGGTATGGGCAGGGGTTCGCCCCACCGCTTAACACCCTACATCAGACCACGAGCTGGCCCGATATTATCCGATACCATTGGCGTATATGGATAGCTCTCGACATCCGCGGGATTTCGAGGAGTATGGTGTATTCCGTTAAAAGCGTGCGTGGAGTTCTCGGCGACGCAGCTGGGTTACGCGGGTGCCGTACAGGTTGAGAAAAGGAAGTCCTTGGGAGGCCCTATGCGTGTATGCGCCGCTGCGCACTTGTCAGCCCTAATAGGTGTTCCATTTGTATGCCGAGTTGACAACATTGACAGCGATGAAGGTCACGGCTCGGTGGCGAACCGGAGACAGTCCCGGAAGACACCCCACGCACCTGCTGCAGCAAAGTCGCCTGCTGTGTTGCAAAGGCGAGCATTTGCTGTGCAATTTGCACTTGAAGCCCATTTACTGCACCGCCGTTCGTGCCGTTACTTCCAGTCCCAGCGTGCGGCATCGAACCCGTTGGAGCAAGCTCGACAGAGACACAGTAGCCGTCCAAAGGAATGGACAAGGTAGTTGGAAGCGTGAGCGTGTTAGGCAAGAATGTTGTCGTGGCAGCGCTGCCTGTGCCTCCTAGGCTGCCGGTGCTGCCGCCGGTCGGGAGGGTAGCATCGAAAGCTGGGTCCGCCACCTGCTGCAAGCTCGTGTTCGCACCCATGGCAGCAAGACCTTCCGACCGCTCATGGTGCTGGACCACGGCCGGGTCCGGTAGCGGCTGAGAAGGAGTTGAGCTGGCACACCCCACTTGTGCTGAGCTGCTGGAAGACGATGCTGTCGAGCTTTCCTTGGATTGTCTGCTGCTAAAAAGATTGCTGAAAAACATGACGTTGAAAAAGGACGCGCACCAACCTATTCTTAGGCTCGTGTAGATAGGAAGTGTTCAAGCGAACGTCCGAACACGCAGATGCAAAGCCATGACGGTGGCCATTTCTTAGGGGAGTAACGCCAGTTAATCTCTAAGCATTGATGATGACTACACGGCCCATGAAAGGGTTTTGCAGGAGTCCGACATGTCCATGCAGCTGGATTCTCGAGGCGATGAACAAATGCAATGCAAATTTCTGTTCAAGGAAAATTTAAGATCCTTACAAAACGTGGAGGAGTAATTCTGACGTTCTCTACTGTCTAGTGACTGCACATTCAACCTAGCCCTCTCGTGAGGGTCATGGATTTGCTGACCGGATATGGCTCAGATGCTTCGGACAATGAAGATAATGTTGTACCAACCTCGAACTCGGTCCCTGTCACCGAGGGCAGGCAGAGCACAGTGGTGAGTTGGTGCATCGCCTGACAGCAGCCATCACGCGTTAATGTACCCTTTGCATGACTGACTGATCATTAATTAAAATTTCATTGGTGATCTGCGCCGGTAAGCGGTTGTCCACTTCTCCTGTTTGCAGGCTCAGGCTCAGCAACAACAGCAACAAATACAGTCTGAACGAGAAGGGGTGAAAGCCAACGGTGGGGGAATCCCAAGTGAAGGCGGCACTGGTGATGGGCTGTGGGAGCGGCTGCCCAGACCAGCAGTCACATCCTCAACCCCTTCCATCAGCGGCCTCGCCAGCCTGCCGCCGCCCTCAGGGGGAGAGCCCCGTGGAGGCGGCGGTGGCACCCGTAAAGTTGTCACAATGCAGCTTCCTTTCCGCAAGGAGCTGCTCGCGGCTGCACTGGACAGCGACGACGAAGATGAGCCCGCAGCAAAGCGGGTCAAAACTGCCGGCGGAAAGTCCCGCCTGATGGATTTCCTCCCACCTCCAAAATACGATACAGGAATTGCACGACCGTTAGGCGCAGTATCCACCAAGGCGGCAGCACCGGCGCCCCCAGCAGCAGCACCACCACCAGTACCAGCTCCGGGCGCATTTGGGTCCACAGCGGCAGGCAGCAGCGCCGGCGCTCTTCCCGCGGACTTTTTCACTGGTGGGGCCCCGCCGGCCCCGTACGGCAATGAAGCCTACCGCGTCCGTGACGACGACGCCGATGACATGCCCGGGGCGGCCAATCATCCGGGGCCCGCCTACTACGGTGCTGCTGGGTTTGCCGCTTCCCCCGCATACTACGCGTACACACCACACGACTATGGGCCCTCGGCATCTGGGCCACCGCTATCAGGAGGCACAGCGTCCGGCCGGGTTAGTACGGCAGCCATGCCGCCGCCGCCGCCTGCGGGCCCAGAGGACCTCATAGCGGAGGCGCTTCGGGCCGAGCAGGAGCGCGCCAGCAAGCGCGGTGGCGGCGGTGCGGGCGGTATGAAACTTGTGGAGATCAACGCTAAGGACCTAACCCGCATGGACCCCGCAGCCAAGGAGGCCGCCAACAGCGCACGGGACGCGCTGGGACCCGAGTATGCTCGTGAGTCTTGTTTGCACCACCACGGTGGGGTTCCTGAGGTCGCCCGGCTTCCAGAGGTCGTTTGCTCGTGTGTACATGCACATCCATGCGTATGTCTATGCGTGATTGGCCGGGGCAGCTGTGTCTCTCTGTGCACCGCGTGCGCGTGTGGGTCGATGTGCTGTGTGAGCTCCCGGCTGAGGCCTTCCTGGTTGGCCTGCATACAGAGCGGCAAGGGGGCGGAGGGGGGAAGGGGTCCTTAGGGATAGGGGAACAGGGGAAAGCCGGGCGGAAGGGCAAGTGCTCTTCGCGGGAACGGGAATGTAGCCCCCGACGCGGACCTGGACGAGACGCAAATGGGAGCCCTGCGTCCACCTGGGCCTGTCGGGAAAGTGGGGCTTGTGCCGGTGGCTTGGTGGGGCCCGGTTGGTCTGGTGGGTTTGGGAAGAGTCTGTGTGCGGCTGCGGCTGCGGCTGCGGCTGCTGCTGCCTCCTAGTGCGGCGGACATGATGGGGCTGAGCTGAGATGTGTTGGGTTGGGTTGGTATGCCACAGGCTGGGAAAGAGTGAGCGACATCCTGAGGGACACAGACGGGGTCTGAAGGGCAAAATGGAGGAAGCACCAGAAGGATGAGGGAGGGGCTGGCCAGAGAGTTGGTGAGGTGACGAGGGAGATGACGATGTGGGTCTGTATATGAGTTAATGCCATTTCCGAACCGCTTGCTGCCACACATCGGCTTCGTCTTCCCTTTCCTCACGTCGTCCCCCTCCCCCGCACATACACACACGTCCATACGTCCACCGTCCACTCATCATCTCATGTCTCATGTAGCTCCGAACCATCCGCCCAACCCTGCCCCACTGCCCGGCTGTGTGCAGTCTCACTTCGGCGGTCCGCCGCCCCCTTCGAGGGCAGCAAGATGGCTCGTCGCAAGCACCAGATCGGTACGCTGCTGTTTAACGCGCGGATGCAGGAGCTGGAGCACATGGAGAAACGGACCCAGGGGCAGAAGAGCAAGGCCGAGACGGTAAGGGCCGTAGGGGGGGAAACCGGGCCTTATGTAGGGGGGAATCAATGAGAAAGCGTGATGAGCGGATTAGGGATTGTTGCCGCAGGGGCGGGTGTTTCTGGACCCACCACGACAGCGTCGTTGCCTTGCGTTGTGTTTCCCGCTCACGCACACACACACACGTCCACCACACCCACCACGGCCTGGGGACCCCTGCGCAGGCCGCCAAGTACGGCTGGTGATACTTGGCAACATCCATCCCCTTTCCAGTGTCGCCGCGGCGCCGCCGTTCTCAAATTGGACGCTGGGAATGGCTGCGGACTCGTGCAGGGTTGCACTGTACGTATCCGTATCACTATACGTATCCGTATTGAATACATACGTATTGAAAAATTACGTCGGGAATACGTTAAGAAATACGTATTTGAAATACGTCTGTCTCTGCCACCTGTCCCATGGGTCACCTCACCGCGACCCGTGCCGACCGCCGACCGCCGTGCCTACGCCATGAAACCTATAAAGTCACCTCAACTGCTCAAATGCACTCAGATTAGAAGCTTGCTATTAATGTTAACCACCAAACGCACCTCTGAAACATCGTTTCGCGCCTCTACACCAAGTTATTGATTCCACACAAGTTGCACACCCGCCATCAGCAACCCAGGCACCACACAACAACCAGCCTCCAACATGCAATTCAGTCCTCCTTCACGCCGCTGTCGTCGCTGTCCGACTCCCAGGGCACAGCGTTGCCCGTGTAGCCGACAGCGTGCAGGCGTTCCTGCAGGCGCAGGTTGCTGAAAACGAAAACCAGGTCGGCCACCAGCTGTTTATCCCCCTCTACCTTCTGGAAGAGCTCGCGCACTTTCGGTGGCACGTTGGGGCACTTCGAGATGCCTTGCCCTTCGATATGACCCAAGTGCGCCCGAATGCGCGTCGCCGAACCCTTAACAATGACAAAACAATAATTGCATTTGCTCTCCTTGTTCTTTTTGTCCGTCGAAATGACCGTCACGTGCTGCCACTCGAGCCCCTTATCAGCCATTGCAATGGAAACTCACAGCAACTGGACTACAACACCCGGCCGTAAAAGCTAAATATTATGAAAGAGTATCAATAATACGTTCAGAAAAGATGTTTGCGGAGGTACGGGGGTTGGTGTACGGGGCATTCGAGGATGACGTATTTCATGCCGTATTTTAGCGTATTTATTCACTTTGGCCAACGTACGCGTATTATACGCGTATTTCTGAGTCTGTCGTGCCGTATCGTGCAACCCTGGACTCGTGTACATATGCAGACACGTATATTTACATACATGCATACATGCACGCACATGTGTTCGTGCGGATGACTGTGGTGGCGCTAAGGAGGGGCCGCGATTGCGACTGCAATACCTGTGCGAATTCCCTTAGGCCCTGCGTAGTTGTGGGTTGCGTCGGTCCCGGGCCCTGTCATCAGGGTAACACTATCGGTGAAGTGGCCATGCGGGGGGGTCACTTGGGGTGCGTGTGTGTGTGTACGCTGCGAGGTTGTGGTGGTGGTATGGTGTGAGCTCCTTGCATCAGACTCCAGCTGCGATCGAAAGAAGGCTGTTGCCGGCGTTAGGTTCTTCTGTACCCACCCTCCCCCCACCTCGCCAGGTCAGGGCATCAGGTTAGGTTCTGGGTGGGGAGGCCCGTGCTGCTGCCTGCCGCTGCCCTTGAGCAATCCACGAGACAAGAACCCGACTTGCGAATGGCTGAGGGTTGATCGCCCGCTCCCGAGGGGCTCCCGTTTTTGCCTTCCTCACATCGGGCCATACTTAGCACCGTCCCTTCCTAGCCGAGGACCGAATACGGATCGAGTTGTGGCAGGAAAGGAAAACGCCAAGACGGCCACGACATGAAAGATTATAGATGACCACAACATACAACTGGATATACCACGTACAGCGAAAGTTGCTTATAGCATTAAACCCTAGGCAACAAGCGAATGCTGGTAGCCAGGCCCCAAACACACACACATACATACATGCGCGCGCACACGTTTGTCCGCGGGGGGGGCCACCCGTAGCAGGGGTGGCCCGCACCGCAACGTGTCCACACATGCCAGTGGTATCAGCCGCATACAGGGCGGGTGGACCTAACTTCTTAGCGCCTTTAGCAGCCAACACAGTGTTTGTGCGAATAGAGCATCGCTGCTCCCACATAGCGCAAAGAGCGCGTGCATTGCGTTCGGGCCCGCGACAGGGATAAGCAAACAACCTTGGCCACGTGATTACAGCAGGCCGTAAGGATGATTGTCCAATCTGCATGTACGTGATGCAGCAGCGAATCTCCACCCGCAAGGACGCCGTGCAGGCGAAGTAGGGACCCATACCACGTAATATCCGGCACGGTACGGTACTGTACAGCACGACATGAGACATGCGGATCTGCGGCAGCTGACTGACCTCTCAATTGGAAGCACCACCGATATGTCCTGGTCTTCGCACGCTTTCTCTGCCTCACCGCTCCGCAACACAACACAACGAGCAGCGGGCAAAGGTAGCACCATAACAAGGGCAGGTGCAGTTCGGGGGCCAGCACATTTCACTTGCGTTTTGCTACATCAAACAGGAGGGCGCTGTACGCGTGTGGGCCAAGCAAGGCAGGGAAGGACGCACGACAGCGCAGGTCGCACTTTCCGCTGACGTTGTCACAGACGCCAGATTCACGTGAGCCAGCCAGCATGTGGACGGTGAGGAAGTACGGCAGGCTGGCGGTGCGCTGCACGGTGTGCCGTGCAGCACACAGCGCATGGCCACGATCCCCTGCATGCAGACCGCGGCGGCAGCTGCCCCCCCCCGCTAATGTCCTGACGCCCGCCGTGGAGGCATGTCGATGCGCATGACGAGCGCCGTTATGTCATCCACGTACGACCCGCCGTACTCCTTCACCCAGGCGCGCCGCGATTGTTGTACGACACGGCTAGCTGCCTCCGCCGCAGAGCTCGCATTCGCCGCCAGCTCCAGAACCTTTTCATTGGACATGAGCTCCCACACTCCGTCCGATGCTACCACCAGTACCGCCGGGCCGCTGTCCGGCAGGCGCAGAGAGGCGCAGGAGGGCTGGCATGTGACGCCGATTTCGCGGCCAGGAAGGTCCCCCAGAGCACGGCTCATGGCCAGACCGGGATAGGCCTACCGAGAGGTGGGGTACGGGGGGTGCAGGTGGAAATCACCAATCGCAGCAGTCCAGGACCCGGCCCGGCAGCCAGCCAGGCCAGGCGCGGTGTGGCAGCCAGCCAGCCAAGCAGGACTCCAACAAAAGGTAACGCCAGAGCTGTTCACAACCCTACCCCTTCCGCACGTGCCAACAACAAAAACACGTTGCCGCTTGGAGCCCGTCACCGAACCCACAACTAACTCTCCACTCCTCCCATCCCAGCGACTGATAGACAAATTGTACTTCACATAACGCACTTCAAGCTGCGGCGCGTCCCGTCCGCAGCAAACTCTCCCATCCCCGCCCTTCTTTCCCCACCAGCCATCCTTCCCGATGCTGCCGTACCTGGTCCTGAAACCATACCCTATACGGCCCCACCGGGCCCTGTCGTCCCACGCTACGAGCCACCCGCCCTCCCGCCGCCTGGATGCGCTGCAATTCCTCCGGAAGCTCTGGTTTATGATCACTGGAGGACCAGGCCACACGCCACGAGCCATCGCCGCCACGTGCACGGCCTCGTGTGGCAGTCGTTGCCGCCCCCGACACTCCGACTTCGTTTCCAATATTGTTTGCAGCTCCGGAACCACCAGCTGCAGGGTCTGCTGTCTCACTTAATAGCGCTACCGCCGCTACTGACGCGTGCGCTCCCGCGGCTTCACCTGCTCGCATTGGCAGGCCCAGCAGCATGCGCGAGTCGCCTACCCACGCCGCCGTCACGCGACGGCCGTGCACGTGACACAGAGCCGCGGTGGTGCCGCTGTTAACCACATCAATGCCACTGTCCTCCAGCTGCCGGTCGAGGGAGGTGACGGCGCGCCACATCGCCCGCGGCAGCGGTCCCCCGCCGCAACCCCCGGCAGGGCGGCCACCGCCACTGCAGGCCGTCGGCTGAGGGGACGTGACGAATGTCCACGGGGACGCTGAAGCGGCCATCTTTGCGGCACGGCTCTCTTCTGAGCTGTCCACAGCCGCGGCCCCGCGGCGGCGTGTCTCCTCCCCATCTTCCGCAAGTTGCGTCAGCAGGGTGTACGGCAGGTTGCGCTTGACGAAGGCGGAAACGCGGTCACCCTCCGGGCCGTGCCCGTCGAAGACCGCCAGCAGCTGTTGACGATTGCTCAGGAAGGTGTCCAGCAGAAGCGCAGAGTCCTGGTTGCGGTCCTTGTATCCGGGCGCATAGCCGGGCAGGGACACGCCGGCCACGTCCAAATGGGGGCCGGGGTTGGGCACAACAGCCCCGTTGCTGCTGCTGCTGCTGCTGCTGCTGCGCGCACAATGCCCACGAGCTGCGGGTCTGCCGCTGGAAGAAGCCGTTTCACGTGTGGGGCTGTAAGCGGTGCACAGGTTTCGGGGAGCACTGCGCTGTTGTCAGTAGTGGGGCGGGGTCATTCCCATGGTGGGCTGTGACCCGGCCTGGCATATGCCCTGATTGCCCTCCCATGCCGGGGCTGGATAAGGGGCGAAAGATGTGCGCGAATGAAGCAATGCTGGTTGTGTGGGCAATGTGACAGCTCTACCGTGTCGGCGCAGGTTAACATAGTTCGTGAATGCATAGCTAGTTGGCTAATTTCGCCGTGCTTGTGCGAGGCGGGGCAGTGCAGGGGAAAATTGGCCATCTATTGCAGCAGGTCAGGGGGAATAACGGATGAAGATCACTCGACGCACCTCAGTCGAAGTACGCTAACCAAGGGAGCCAACATGAACACCTGGCTTGGTACGAACGTGGAATCGCAGGTGGCACCGTTATCGCGAGTTACAATTGTTGGGACAGCAGCAGGATCGCCCTGTACATGAAAGCTCAATCGTATGACGCGCTCGGCGTAGCCATCAAAAACTGATTGTGTAGGCAAACGCGTGTTCGAACCCGAAACGAATGTCACATTCGTTTCAGCCATCTGCTCTCCCTTTCAGAGTTTGATGTGTTGCCTCAGGCTAGGATTGCGGTCGGCGCGCCTTACGTCAGCCCTCGCCGCTCGCATAACGCCAAAATTCATGAAACGACTAAGCAACCAGTTACTCTTAGCTTCACCTGAAGCTCGCAACATCATTCTGCAGCAGCTAAATTATGTTGCAAGCTCGCAAGAGCTCGTAAGGCCCAGACGAGCCAGGAGGCTAATGGACCGCGAGACCAAGCGCGAAATACAGAAAGAGAGTTAACGAGCGAAGAAAGTACCAGCAGGTTCTGAAGGAATAAGAATAAAATGATGTCATCTTGCAAATCGTAACTTGACTAACGGCGGGAAAGCCCGTCGTTGGATACGTCGTACTAACGGCGAACGTAAACCAACGTGATTCGCATTTTAATCATGAAAGGAACCCTCGATTTTTAACACTAGTCCTGCGGACGTACTTCGTCTGCTTGAATGATTTATTGTTGCGCCACTGACATAAATGCTGGTAAACAATGTATCGACACCGCTATCACGGTTATTCAATAGCGGAGTGCAGGAATAACAACTACGCCATCCGCGTCACGAAAAGCGACTGGGAGCTCTGCATCATTCACTGTTATGCGAAGTCATAAGCAACGCTCCCAAAGCCATACCTCATAATCCCAGTCTCTGACTCAGATTCGAGCATTTGAGCGAATCCCGCGTGTGTGTTTTACAAGGCAGCGTTGCAAGACTTGTCTTCACTGCTGTATTGAGGAGATTTCAGACTTGCAGTGGGAAACCGAAGTACAGAAGAGAAAGGTAGGAGACATCGGCAAGAGGAGTGTTTCTGTTTAGTCATTTTCCTTTTGTACCAAGTAAGAAACATTAAGAAAGTTTTAGGCTTACGCCTAGGAGATTACCCTGCGTTGGATCGGACTCTGGGACTTATCCAAGCATTTGAGCAAGATGGGCGGAAGAACGGCTTTGTGATATCGGGAATACCGGGAGCTTCAGGTAGTGAGAAGCTCCGTGCAGCAATGATGAAGAGCCAACGCCGGCCGTGACAGACATTTTATAAAGCAGCTGGAGGACATCGATGCTCGAGAGCGGCGAAATCACGGATGCCTGTGATAGAAACCGTGGACGATATTAGAGCCGTCCTCCCCGACATGCAAGAAGACCGCTCCACTGTTGATATGTCGGCACTAGCCTACTTGTCCAACAGGTAGAATCGCGAGCTTGTCGTGTTTGGGGTAGCAGTCCTTTCGATATTTTCTTGCAGGGTGCGAGACGCTTTCGGCTAAAATTTGTGCAGTAACTTGTTACTCGAAAAACAGGTTACGTACAAACGTTACAAAATAAACATGAACAGAAACTCGTTGTATGCTAAAAATTGCATCTTTTAGCATACAACGGCGACAATACCTATCTCACCCTTTGCCCTTTCCACCAACATGAAATCACCCCATGAACAATAGTGGTCATTGACCACGCGTACGTACATCGATCCATCAGTTGCCCCGCAGCAAAAAATAAACTCATTACCCAAAGCAAACATGCATACATAAGCAGCACCTAGTCAAATTATGCACTCCCGCATAAAGACATGCCACAGGCATTTCTCCCCACCAAGCTGCCGCACATTTACTGAGACCGTCGCTCATCTTCATCACGTTCATCCTTGCGCTCAACCTCCTTGCCATTGTCAGCAACTGGGCTCCGCGACCGGCTCCGGGACCGGCTCCGGGAACGTGATCGCGTTCGCGAGCGCGAGCGCGATTTTGACTTCGCAACTGGACTGCGAGAGCGGGAGCGGCTTGGACTCTCGCGCTTGGGGCTGCGGGAGCGAGACCGCGAGCGAGACCTGTGGGGGGAAGGGGGCGAATAGGAACACAAGCAAGAAGACAGGAAGGGCAGGGCGCATCCATGCGTCCGCAGGGAGCAAATGATCAGAAGCCAGCAAAATGCTGATAGTGGCCGTGTTTAGGGTTTGCAACATAAAACTGAGGTTCGGACCCACGACAGGCGGACTCCAAGCTCCAGGGAGCTAAGCCGCCTGGCTCGCCAGTCCTGCCACCGCCATCGCACAGCCGCTTAGAACCCTTCGGTTGGCAGACGCATCGCTGGCAGCCTCACAGCCCACATGCCTCCCCACAGCTAGCTCGCCTCTCCAATGCCCACAAGCACAAAGTAGATCCATGCGGTTCCCCATATGCGCTTAGGAATGGTAACCGCGACCTCCGCACAAGGGAGATACAGCAAGCGCGCCAGCCGACCAGAGCCATTGAACATCGACAAGCGGATGTTTTCCGCAGCGCATGCATCAAAAGAGGCAAACCGCCAAGCCCGCCAGAGAACGCCGGTGCTCCCGCCAGGCATCGCCCATTAATCCCACACTCCGTCATAAGACGTCAGCCATGCCATCCTGGTGTGGACCAGCAGAGCGCCATGCAAAGCTGTCCAGCACCCAGACCAGCAAATGTAGAACCGCACGCCACCACAGCAGCAGCTAAAACGAGCCATGACCCTGCACCAGGGCTGTGCAGCGACGGAGGGCGCCGCACAGCCCCCAGGCGATGCTCAGCAAAAACAGCGAGGACACACTTGTCCTGATCATCAATTCAAACCTGCCGATATTCGCGAACCCCCTTCCGCAAGTGTAGGGCAGGCGCGAATATTAAATCGGTGTCGGCAATATCCTTGTCGGCGGTAATCGCATGTACCACTCGGCACGGCACTGGCCTCTACACCCTACCTGCTCCGCGACCTGTCACGAGGCCGCTCGCGTTCTCGGTCTCGTCGGGGGCTGCGGCTTCTGCTGCGGCTTCGGCCTCGCTCCTCAAGATCCTCCACAAGGCGTACGTAGTGGCCCTTGTCAAATGGATTCGTGAACTCACTGTCATCCAACTGCGGGCGCAGAAGGCAAATTCAACCGATTGCTTAAACCGCCAAACAATGCAAAAGTACAGGCGTAATAACATGGCAAAATACCACTACGGGTTGCTACTCCTCCACATAAAAAAACCAATCCAATCTTTCGGAAAGCTTTACACCAATACCCCTACCTTTCTCAAAGCGGCCTTCATGTCATCCTTGCTCTCGAACTCCACAACACCCAGCACGTTGTCCCTGTGGTCCTTGAAGATCTCGGTATACAGCGGCTTGCAGACACGCCGGACGAAGTCCTGGTCAGATCGCGAATATGTAAGCTCAGAAGAAACGTAAGAAAACAAAGGACTGCGAAGATCACATCGCCCCAGAATGTAAATTTAAAGTTCAGGAAGGAATCCTTGGCGTATTGGACGAATGGAAGGCCAAGAAGAGCACATACCTTTAGGTCCTGCCAGCTTGCGGACCGTGGCAGGCCCTTCACGTAGAGCCGAAAGCCCAAAGTATTTCGAATAGGCCGATAACCAATCCGCAGAGGTTGCTGTGAGCCGCTACCTTCACCGCCCCGGGCAATCTCCACGCGCATTCGCATACCAGCGAACTCATAATTGTTGCGACGCCTAGCGGCCTCCTCAGCCGACCTGCCCATTGGGAAATATAAAGAGGAGAAATTACATGCCGCAAGTCGGCACCCGGGAGTCAAGAGCAGGTCCTTACCGAGGGTCATCGAACTCGATAAATGCAAATCCCGGAGGCCGTGCGGGCTTCTTAATGTCGATCATCCTGATTCGGCCGAACTGCGAAACCAAAAATGGCAACATTGGTGCAGACTTGAGCATGATCTCGGAAGCACCCAGGCAATCTCAATGCGCTAAAAACATGAATCAGGCGCTTCCCTAAGCTTGCAGGCAATGGTGAACAAACAAAAAAGGGCTGCTAGCACCAGCGTTGGTGCACCTTAAGCCCAGGGCGTCCCTGCGGCGGCTCACTCACTTTATAAAAGATTTCGTCAAGCTCCTTCTCGCGGACATCAATGGGAAGGTTCCCAACAAAAATGGCCCTTCCGCCGTAGCGGTCCCAACGTGCCATATTGCTGAACCTCCAACGCTTCTAAAATGGCTACAAGCAAGATAATCTCTGAACACTTGACCAACCGATAGTTTGAAGCCAGAATAATCTGGATTCCCAAATGACTTAAATGGGGTTATCAAATAAGGGGAGTTTCCAGTTCGTACAAAGATACGACGAAGTCCAAACGCACAGGCCTTTGTTGGCCTATTTATGATTTAGGCATACTTATTATGCACTCTTGGACAATTGCAACAAGGAGGGGTCCATGGTCGCGTAGGTGCTTTGGGTGAGCGACCGTGGAGGTCTAAAATGGGTTTGGAAACCCAACCAAGCAGCTCCACCAATAAATGAACACCAATATCGACTTGCTGTTTACACGATATGACTCCTGTGAGAATTAGATTTTCCGCGAAGCACGGCAGCCCAAGAGTCGTACCACGCGTTCCATCCCTAAATGCCGCTGTCCCCCCCGCTTACACTTTCATGGCAATTGCCAGAGGTGACATTAGAGGAAATAGGAATCCCCGGGTTATCTAGCGCTCTGTCACGGGGTCAGGTCAAAGTCTTCCTGCCCTCCATCCGGGGGCATGCCTGCTCGCTGTGCCTCTGCGCACTCGACACGGAGCCGTCTTCAAATGATTGTCCAAACCTTATCAAAACCACACCGGGCCGTCACAGCCTTGCTAGCCGGCGTCGCAACCAAGCCACGTGTGGAATAGGTTAAATGGATCTTATTGCCCGCAGCTATTGTTTGGATGTGGTGCCTACGGCTGCACGAGCACGAGGCTGTGCGAGCTGCCCCTTAGTTAGCTTCCCTTTGCGCTTTGCCACATTCGAGGCAGAAGCGATGAAGGTCGGGACCTTTAAACCCAAAACCCCGAGCAACGGATCAGGCCCCAAATCTCTAGAATCCATTACTGACGAGCCAAAACCGCATGCACGTTCGCGGTATGTAAGCTCCGACGGGCGCGTGCCACCGTGGACCCAAAAACGAGTGTTCGGTGCAACCGCACTCAATGGATGCGGCTGTTGGTGCAATTAGTCGCACGGCAGTTTCGGCCCCGCCGTGCACGGGGCTTGGCGTGCCGCGGTCACAGGGCCGCAATAAGCAACATTCCGTGTGCATTGTACGTGTGTTTTTCTATGTGCGCGTTTCTAGTTGCTTCAATTACACAGTCAGCGCAGTCAATCAGGTTCCACTGGCCCATGGGTCAGCGCGCGTCTGCTTAGTCGTTCAACGTATGTCCTCATCATGCACCTTTTGGTAAGAAGGATGTAGGCGTATAGTACTAAAAGAACTAGGCTAATGACATTTAAAGCCTTGTGTTGACACTTATAAGCATTTTACGTAAAGACATCCTACAGGCGCTAGAGGCAGCGCCCGCTGCTAACCTTAGTCAAAACTGCGCGCCATGCCGCTCGCGTTCCACTGGAACTGGCTTCTGTGCGGCGGTGCCTGCTTCTGTGCTCAGGTCTGCAGTCTGCAGTCCGAAATGGCTGCAATTAATTGCTGAAGCCCCGTTCCACGATATTTGCCTCCCTGCTGCTACTCGCAGACGCCACACATTGACCAAATCGGCCAGCCATTACGGCGCGCAGCAAATGCCATCCGGCGCCATAATCAAGGGAGCACATCGCCTGGCATCGAGTCCGAGAACGACGAGGAGAACCCATAACTTCTAGGGTCGACCAGCGAGGTAGCCACCAATAACTGCCTTGGCCATGCGGCACACAACAGGTTGAGCCTTACGCCTTTACAGCGCAGTCGACTATTGATGCCTACTTTGCAACGGACGTGGGCGCTCATACTGTGAGAAGCTGAGCGTGCTGTTGTGGCCGAAATCTGTGCAAGCAAGAGTCGTTCGTTAACGTGCGTAGTCTTTGGATTCATGCCTTCCCAAAATGCGAGGTGAATGTGCTTGGTGGTGTTATGCGGGAGAAGGGTTACTGCAAAGAACTTGGACGCTGGGATTCCTAGGTAGGGGCTCATGTTGTCTTCAAGATGTGTCCTCCCGGGGTCTCTTGGGGAGAGCGCCAGACAGGCAACACCGCTTGGCTGCATGGAAGCATGGCCGAGCTGGGCTGAGCGGGCTCGCGCAAACCCATGGTTTCGGTTACATCACGCTACTTGTAAGACCACGATCTGCATCTTGGCAGTCATTTTGCTCGTCATGTTCCTGGATAGGTGCGCTGCAATTGACTGGCCCGGTGCTATCACCGTGTATATATCGTCCACGACGGATACCCCCGTATTCGTGCGGAACTTGTAACATAAAGGATTACGATCCACTTTGGATACAACCTGAATGCAGTGTAACAGGCATCGGTGTCTGCCTCCAAGTGAAGCGTCAATTGCCTTGAGCACATGGTTCGGATTTAGGGTTTTAGGGACGCCTCCACGTGGCCCCGTAGGTCAAAGTAGCTTAGCGAGCCCCTCCCGTTTTGGGGTTCCTTCTTCTGGTCGACTAGGTTCGCACAGAAGCAGGGCCAACCATGCGGGACGTGGTCAGGGCTACACAAAAGGAAATTGTCCCATTACCTCTGTGTTGACGACGAATAAAGACTGAATAAATCATTGACCACCATGAATTTCGGATGCCACGAATTATGACTTCCCCCTCAATTTCGTTCCGTTTACAAAGCGGGGTAGAATCTCTTACTCCAACTCACCGCGCAACAGTTAATCAATTACACATGCGGCAAACCCAGCAGACAAATACGAATTGTTGAAAGCCCAACACGTTTCCCACATTCAGAGTCCATCTCGAGGACCCTTCCGCGCAAAATCGATACCCTTAGGTGCAAATAGTAACCTTCCATGCGAGCGGTAGAAGAACTGCGTATGTGCGCGAGGGAAGACACACGCACTAAAGCTAAGAACCACCTGCACTGAAGGTAAAACTTGCACAACTCCTACCCGATGGTCCCCCTCATATTGACAAGTTTGGGCAAGAGTTGGTTGCGGCATGCGAAAACACCAGTGCACATGCGCCACGTGGAACTGGTTCCATCAGTTTGCCGCTGCGATCCAAACGTTCATGCACCAAGATGCACGTCCACACGCACCAGTTCCCCCATCCACTGCCTACGACGACGGACGCATTAAGCACAGTCGCCGGCACACACTGGGGACTCGCTCTACTCAGGAGGGCTCCTCGTCCTTCGCCTTAAGCTCCTTTTGTAGCAACTCCACACGTTTGCGCTGATCCTCAGAAAGGGAGTCATAGACGCCCGCCATAAGCTCAGCGCTGATGCTCGCATTGCTGGACACCTGCTCTTCCTCGCCGCGTAGCGTTCCCAAGTAGCCCCGCCACTCACGGAGAAACTGCGTCCACTGCGACTCGGTGGTTTTGCCACGTAGGTGACTCCTAAACTCTGACCGGACATAGCTGTCTCCCAAATCGCGAACGGGAGGTGGAAGGCGTTCACGGTGGAGTTTCAAAACCTCCCGATAAAGCGAGATAATTGGGGCTGCCGCCTGTCTTGCGTTAGACGTCATTTGAAGCTTTCAGCACAAAGTCTGAAACAGTGACGAGCTGTTGTCTTCTTGCACTTCACGCCTTAGGAGCCGCCGGCCCCGTAAGCACGCTAAGCTGCTCCTTCTCCATGTCCAGCATTTGTTGCTCGCGATCCATCTCTATGATCAGTGGAACAAGAAGAACTAAGAGAGTTGTAGAAGTAATCCAAGCGGCCTTCTTGAAGGATGCAAAAAGCTTCTTGGCTGCAAAGGAGACAGTGATCGGGCCCGAAGGCTCCGCCTTTGGAGCACCGCCAAGAAACATCTTCCGCTAAATTCTTGCGTTGTGCTGACTACAGTATAATGCCCGCCATTGTCTTCCGTTCTGGTGTATACATTTCCGACAGTGCCGTACTGATACGAAATTTGGGATAATTGAGCATGAAAGCCTTAGGTCTCTATCACAACAAGTGACACCTTAGGAGACCGTTGTGTCGCCACGTGCACACCAAGCACTGATGCAGCCTATCGCTGCAGCGTTCGGCAACCCTATCCAGGGAAACCGTCGGTAACACAGTAATCGGAGCCCGGGCGCTGCCCGAACCATCTAATGGCCCACAACCTAAACCGTGCTCCAGCTGGGAGACCAAAATGCCTCACGGACCATCTGGGCCCTGGCACGCCTGATTCTTATGGAGGTTAAGCTATCGTCTGGAAGGAAGCACTGCGCTGGCCACGGCTCCCAAAGCCGGGGCCTTTCAGCAGGATAGCGTACAACAAATATTACGCAGGAGAGGGCGACCGCGAAGGCTACAATCCAAGCTGTTCCCCTAGCGGAGTAGGCACGGTTATCTTTCTGTTTACGAGGAGCTGCTAAGCGACTTCATGCTGGGTCTTGCACGGAACTGCATAGACAAACTGTTACCCCACAGAAGGCGATGAACGATTGCATGCTTATCATATGGATGACTTGACCTGTCGGGAAATATGAGATAGAGCAGATGCTCGCATGCACCCACCGTGAGTAACGGTGTCGTACGTGGATGTCGGCGCATACCTTAGTGAGCCATGCACATGAACGGGACATTCCAGCATCCAAAGTAAGCTGTCCTGCGGCACGCCTACTCGTTTGCATGCAAAGACCTAGGACGCCGTATGCCCCTCGGTGTCTGTCAAAGGCGCGTCTCTGTACGACGAAACGGCAGCCTGTTTAAGCATCCCGTCTAGACATTATGTAGATAAAGGAATCATAGCATGCGATGCGCTAGGATTGCGCTTTGCGCGAGGGGCTTGGTTTCATCAGTGTTTGCCCCCGTGCCGCAAGTGCACCTTGCCGGACTGCACAAGTTATCGGGGAACGTAAACAATCTAAAGCTTCGGGAATTATTAGAAGCTCTGGTCAAGGTTCGTTCTGAATGAGCAGTGCTATCGCCATGAGGCAGGCCGGCATTGGCGGGACGAATTTACTTTGCAGGATTCCATACCGTCTAATGACGACCGCAATAAGCGACTCCGCGTCATCAATGAACTTCAGCAATCACTTCAGAAAGCAAACCTCGGACCCACGATAGACTTGCGCATCTTGCCTTTTGGGAGTTTCGTGAATTCACTCTATGAGCGCAGCAGCGATCTCGGTAAGACTTGGAAACAAGGAGTGTGGAAAGGGGGTCCATGGCTGTGTGCCAATTTTTTGACTCTCCAACCTGATTGCAGACGTGGCCATCGTGGGTAACATTGTGGCCACGGATGATCTGTCCCCGGAGGATAAGCGCTTTCCCTTCGTAACATTACAGTTGGTGAGTTGGGGTTTACCGCAAGGGGCTGTCCCGCGGGCTGCAGCCAGTCCAGACAGAGCACGGGTTTGAGGTTCCGCAGAGCGCCGAGTAGTGTAGGTATTCGCCTGGGCGCCGATTCGCTTCCGCCGCAGTTGAGCATAATGAATAACGTAGGAGTATCCGTCGGTGTAGGTCAACCTACCGCTCGAGGCCTTAAGCCCCGCCTCGCGGCCGCACCCAGGTGCACGCATGGCTACACCTGGAGCCCACCACACGCTGAACTCCATCCGCCTATCCTTTCATCATTACCCCCTGCTGGACGCCTCGGAGTCCCTCTCCTGCACCTCGCCCTTATTTTGGGCATGTGCATGTATTTTGACATGGATTCCCCTACGTCTTCCCATACAAAATACAAACCAGGTGCTGCATCCTTTCCTAACGCTCAATCCACTGCAATTGCCCGTATCGACTCACAATCACACAACTACCCTGGGCTGCTGCTGTTGCTGCTGCTACTGCCCCAGGCAAAGCTTCCCCGGGACTACACCGTAGAGCTCCTCCGCACGGCTGTAGCCAGGTTCGTGAAGGATGGCCTGGTGGAGGAAAAGAGCCTTGTGCCCGTGCTGCACGCCCGGATACCCATCATCAAGTTCGTGCACCCAGCCACGGGCATCAGTGTGGATGTGACCGTGGGCTCGGACGGGGACGCCTTCAAAACATGGAGCATGGGGCAGCTGATGGCGCTGCACCCGGCTGCGGATAAGTTATTCCGCGTGGTGAGCAGCAGCACATGTTATGGGTTATAGTTATGGGTTGCAACTCTGTTGGGACCCGCTACGCTCAAACGCGAATGGCCTCGGGGGAGGGAAGGGAAGGGAGAGAGTAATACATATGGCAAGGGATCAGGTGCATATCAGGGCCTCATGGGTGTCATGAACACGAAGAGAGCAGCAGGAATAGCAGGACTGAGGAGCGGATAACAGTGCATGTGTTTTTGTGTGATATGAGGGGTGTGTGCGTTTGTGTGATATGAGGGGTGTGTGCGTGTGCTTAATTATTCTAAGCCGCGATGAGGAAAGTGTGTTTGTGTATTTGTTTTTGTGGTAAGCGTTGGCCTGGGATGGGAAGTCGAGGGCCTTGTCAAGGCTCGAGATGTCCACGGGAGGGAAAAAACGCAACAATGAACCGGTGGTGGCGCAGTGCCGGAGTGAGTGGATAGAGGTGACTGGCAGACAGGCTGGTGCAACCAGCAGCTCCAATCCAATCGTCGCATTTAAGCAGCAAGTATTCTAAACGGAAGGAAACATCACCTTCACGTCGAAACATTCGACGAGTGTTGTTGTTGTAAAGGATCTGCGTTGATCCATTACGATTACTTCCCTGTCCTATGTGAGGTTCAGCCGGGCCTTCGAGGTACTCCCCACACGAGGTACCCCAGATTGCCCCCGTCATGCCGTTAGTACGCATAAAAGCGCATGGCAACTGTCACGTATGCGTGGAGTGAGGTGGTGCGGGGTGGAATGTGGGCCGTGGAACGTGCACACACGCAAGTTCAGAAAGCGTAGCTGCTGTGGTTCTCTTTACCCCGTCTGTGCCACTACGCCGTATGTCGCTGCGGGTGGTATGCTGTGACCCCTTTCCCGCCTCACGCCACGTTACCCCGGCTGTGCCGCAGGTCAAGGTTTGGGCCAGGGCGCATTGCATCAACGACCCCAGATCCTTCACCTTCAACACCTGGTGCCTGACCCTCTTGGTAAGCAAGCAGGCGCCTGGGAATCACTGACCGCTGCCGCGTGCGTGCGTGCTTGCGATGCGCGACTTGGCCAGCTTTGGATGAAGGGAGGAGATGGGAGGCGGAGAAGTGAGGTCTAAGACGGAATCCTTGGAGGTAGATCCGCGCTAGGCAGGACAGGTCTTCTTTTTTCAAATGCGCTTGGGCCTCCCGTGGACCTGGGCGCGTGCTCCTGACTTTCATGACCCTTGGGGCCGCCCGACGTGCAGAAAAGGGCTCCAGGCTCCCGCCTAAAGCCGCCAGGCACTGGCCCCGCCCTGCCCGGGTCCCCGCCTTCCCGTGAACTTATGGCACCGCCTGGCTGTGTTCTCTGAACACCATCACCGCCCCCTTCGCGAAGCACCCTATGCCCCTTTTTCCCGGTTCTTGTCGGCCCGGTGCGCAGGTCGTGTTCTTCCTGCAGCGCCATGCGAAACCCGAGCTGCTGCCGCCGCTGAGGGGGCTCGTGTACGACCAAGCGTCAAACCCAGGGGCGCTCACGAGGCTGATGCACGGGGGCCGGCATCCTACAAACAAGGCAAGGGACCGGAACCGCAGCGGCGGCCGCAGATCTGTCTTCCTCCGGAGGCAGAGATAGGGCGGACACGTTGTTGCGGGCAGTCTGTGCGGCCTGTAGCACCTCACCTTACTAAACCGTGGCCAAGTATGGTCGTGCAAGGGTGGCTGCCAGTATCTTCATCATAGATGCCTTCCCTGCTGATCCGCTTGCCCCTTCCGCCCGCTTGAACACTCCGCCCCGGACGACAACCCCCCACCACCCACAGCGCGTGGAAAACCTGATGAGCATGGTGTCCAAGAATGTGGTTCCAGCCCGGGAGTCTTTTGGCTGCCGCAAAGCCAAGCCGCTGGATCAATTGTTCCTGCAGTTTCTGGACAGCAACAGCAAGCTGCTCAAGGCGGCGCTGTGCAACAAGGAGCCCCTCAAGAAGTAGGTGTTCGGGGTGTAGGTACCTGTGTGGGAGGGGAGGGAAGGGAGGGTAAACTCAGGAGAGGACAAACCTGGCCAGAAACGAGCGCAAGGACGCCGAGAGGTCGCGTGCTTTCTGGAGTAGGGACCACATCCTACCAGGCCCGGTGCCTGCTTCCTCACTGCCCCTTGTCCGTCCTCTTCACCGCCACTGCCTTTTCCTCTTTCCTGCTTTAGGGGCACCGCCATCAGTGTCTTTTACGGTGACTTCCACCGGGATTCTCACTTCGCGGAACACAGACTTTTTGTGGAGGACCCTCTGAACAGCCTGGACAACACTGCCCGGACTCTGCGTGCGCCAGTAAGCTATCGAGGAGGGAGGAGCAGGGAAAGGAGGGGGAGGGCCGAGGGGGAGGTCTCTTCTGTTGCGTTCTAATTGGCACGTGGAATTCGCTCATCAGCATTTCCGTCGCTGCACCGCGCTTGCTTTTGCGCTCGTGTTCTTTCTCATCGTCGACCTTTTTGTGGCGAGATGACATTTTGATAGTGGTGGCTGTGGTGGCTTGCAGAAAAACTCCGGCCGCACTCTCGATTACGTGACCAAGACCTTTACGCAGAGCGCCATGCGTCTACGTGCCCATCTGAACGGGCCGACGACTGGCTCTGCGCGGCCCTCGTCAGAGCCACAAAGCAGCACCAAGAAGGGCTCCCCAGAGGCCGGGCGGGCCCAGACCGCTACGAATGAGGCGGTGCCAAGCGGCTCGTCCCCAGCCGCGCCCTCCAAGGCGCCAGCAGCTGCAAGCACCCCACCCGGCGCCGGCACCTCCTCATCCCCTGCCGCGTCCACGGAGGGAGGAGCTGCCGTTGCGGCTGCCGCGCCTGCAGCCGCTGGAGAGGCAGGCGCGGAAGCGGCTGCAGTTACACCAGGCTCTGCGCCCTCCTCGCCATCGTCTGTGGTTGATTCCTCCTTGGCGGCCACGGCCGCTTTCCTTTTTGGCACGGAACTGATCACCCGCCTGCCGGAGCTGAGTGCGAAGGTGCTGGGCCGAGAGCTGTGTGACTGGGTCCGAGGCGAGCTGGCGGCGGGGCAACCGGTGGGGAAGGTGCATGAGGAGCTTCTGAAGAAGCTGGGGGCAGCTGGGTGAGTGTTGAGAAGGGCGACGAGGGGAATGAGACCGGAACCAGACGAGAACCACACCAACGTCCCCACACGTGCGACATTATGTGTCTGCATATACAGGAATTTTGAGCCATTCGTGAGCTTCAAGAAGCGGCGCAAGATCAGAGTGCTTGACGAGGAGGAGCAGTGGACATCCGAGGTGCGATGGAGCTTGTGTGCGAGCGATGGTTTTATTGGGCTTATGCAAAGTGTATGGCGCGTCTCGCTTCATCAAAAAGTGTGTCCATACTTACCTGTGATAGCTATGTAGCACATTATGCGCGTCCTTTGAATGCACGAGCCCGTCTGTGTTGTTTCAAATACCTGCCTCGTCATTTTCTGCGATGCGTCGCACATTTGCTCTCATTGCCTCGGAACTACATACGTCCATGCCATGTGTGCGTGTAAACAGGAAATTAAGCTCCTAATTGACCCGGAAGCTGGGAGGAAGGTATGGATGCAAGGCGAAACGTCAGGGTTGACGGCCCAGCGGCGGGAACCCGAACACAAGCAGGAGCAGGAACACGGACGGAAGGGCCGTCTGGGTGCGCAGCTGCCGACCGGGCAGGTGGAGCAGCAACAACAGGAGCTGCACGGGGCCAAGGAGGTTTCGGAGCCTGAGCCTTGGCGGCGGGAAAAGCCGCAGGGCAAAGAGGCTGTCGTGGGAAAACGAGGCGGCAGGGCCGGTGTGGAGGCGCCATCAGCGCAGGCGCAACCCGGTGTAGCTTTGGCTGTATTGCCGCGGCGAGGTGTGGCGCCTAAGTCGGCCGCAAGCAGAGGCGACAGGCCAGATAAAGGTGGTGCCGTGGCGAAGGGGCAACAGGTAGCAGCTGTTGCAGTTACGGGATCTGGGCGCTAGCTGACTGAGACGTCTGGTGCATGTCCGAAAGATGATGGCTGTGGCGGTGAGTTGAAGCTGCGATGGCGACTGAGCGGTTGGCAGCCTTCAAGGTCCTTAAATCGTGTCTTTTACATTACCTGTTGCGATAAGTTAATATTCAGTTTTAGCAGCTGTTACTAGACAAATCCGTTGAACCGTGCGTGAAGCATACATAACGTTTACTTTTGAGTGGCCTCCCTGCCCCTTCACCCTGCCCCACGACCTGATGGGTCGATGAGCGCACCTGTAACTGGCTCGGCCGTCGTTTTCCTCTCCGTGTCACTCTGGCCGCTTCCTGACCTGGGCTGTCCGTGTTTGGGTCTTGTTTTGTGCGGCCGCAGAACGCCCCTCACAGCTTCCGATAGCGAGTTGAACGAGCGGGAAACGCCACCTTTCCACCGCTCCACTCACCTTTGCTTTGACGCCACGGGTGGAATCAAGGCCAGCTTGAGGCTTGAGATGATGGGGCCTACGGTACCTGGGCCTGCGACTCAGCAGAAGTCCCTGGGACCCGGTGCTAATACCGTTCGGTTGATAAGATCAGTAACAAGTGATCTTTGACTTTGTCTCTACACATGTCCATTGAATCACATCCGCAACCTCCGACTGGCCTTGTTTGAACCCCCTCTCCACGGGGCTGATGCACTCGGCAGCCAGGTCCTGCGAATCTTCCAAGGCTTTTTTGCTTCGTTGCTGGACTTTGTATGCACGGCAGTTTGGCTGCCGACACGCAGCTTGTGCAGTAATCGTAGTTTTGACGCTTGGGGTAGATTATGCGCTTGGGGCAGATCTTCTGGATGGTTTGTATATCTCGTATGGATTGGTGTGATCTAGAGGAGATGGCAACCTGCAAGGGGTAGAAGCGCCGAAAGATCTGATTTGGCGGAGGCCTGGCAGCAGCAGCTGCTGTCTGGTTCGGGTTGCATAGCCTTCATGGGTTTTGCCCTTGTAGCGCACAAAGGGAAAAGCGTGTAAGGACAAGGGGATTCACGCTATGAGCTGCTATGTGTTGTCTGAAACGAACGAAGGTCTAGAATGTAACTACTAGACCCAGTTTCGATACCGGGGGGATATTGCTCCTATTCGTAGCACGGGTGGTGTGGGTTATGGATAGTGGGTTGCAACGGTATAAATATCGTTTGCAGTCTTGATCCTCACTTTGGAAAGGTCTTACAGTTTAGAGATACGCACTGGGTATTCCTGGGTGGACCCCGCCCAGTTAAGACTCCGTTGGGGAAAGGCGACCCGTTCTGGGTGGGACCGGATGGTTGACTAGGTGTGTTGCTTTGAACTTGTGTTCCCCGAGCGATCGGACATTTAGGCTTAAATACCTAGGTATAAGGACCCAGTCGGCTCCACAGTAACAAAATTGGTCAGGAAGACTGGGTCTGTAAGCAGGTCAAACGACGTTCATCTCCAGTACCCCACATTAACAGCCTGACGGTCTCTCCGGTCGGCTTGTGTGATGAAAAAATGTTGGAAATCCTTGCCGCAAGACCCGCAGCCGAGATCAAGATGAGCACCTTAGCTGCAGGTCCATCAATCGCAATAGGCAGGAATCGTTACGCCTTACTTTTGCGACAGATATTGAGCCGAATCAGTAGCCAAATTATGACATTTGCCGGCCAGGCTTTGGTCAACCGTCAACGACTTGAACTGTAGGTTATAGAATGACAGGATTCCACTGTCCAATTCTTGACTCCACGATGTCATGCTGACACGAACCTGATGCTGACACGAACCCTACCCTGATGATCAACAGTCCTGGCTACGGTATTCTGCGCTGTATTCACTACCGAAACCCTATCTGCCCTGGACGCCTAGCGATATTGCTCCTATTACCCCGTAAATCATAGTATAAAACACTGTAACTATGAGATTACTATGAGCCTTAATTTTTTGATCCTCGGACTTACTCAATGTGGACTTGTCGGAAAGCACAATCAGTAGATAATACCTGGGCACGGAAATCCTTTGCAATCGACGTATGTATTTCGTGCCTGCGGGCAACCGGTCCGCAGGGAACGGCGTGTCTTCAGGCCAGGTCCACCACCGCTGCACATGCACACAAGCGACACGCTGCACACGAAGTCGCTGACAAAGCGGGCGGTGATGGCGATCGCCCGTCGCGGCGAAAGAGCACTGGGCCCAAACCCACGAAGCCCGCCAAGCCCTCGGAACTCGTCTCGCTCGCACGACTCAAGGGAACCCGAAACTCGCAAAGCAGCAGCACGAAGCACACAGCAATAAGCAAACCACACGACCTAACTGCCCCGGAACACCCCTCCCGTTCCCGCTGCGGCGAAACCCTGACCAACTCCGGCACATCCACCGCAGTCACCACAGCGACCCAGCCCCGGCCATCTCACCCCGCCGAGGATGGAGCCCTGGTCATCCAACTCCAGCTCGCAGCCCAGCTGGCCAACCTCAACCCGGATGACCTTGTCAACACGCTCAAAACGGGCCGCTATACAACGACCGCCACGGAGCCCCTTCCCGCACCGCCTGGCACAGCCCCCACGCGCATCCGCCATCCCCACCATGCCGACACCGCCACGGGCGAGGTGACCCACATCACACCAGAGCTGCTGCTGGCCACCTGCCGTGAGCTCCGCAAGCGCCTGCTGATGGATCGCAGCTTCCATCCGACCCACATCGTACAGCTGATCGAGCTGCTGGCGGCCCACTGCGGTAATCTGGATGGGGATGAGGCGGCCGCCGCGGCGAGGGACCTGCTGTCCCGGCACCGCGGCTGCTCTCAGGCTCTGTTGGCGGCTCAGCGGTCTCCGGAGCAGGCGGAGTTGGCGGGGATGCTGCCGCGGTTGATACCCGCCTTGGTGGCGCTTGAGTTCGATGATAAGGCGAGGAACGCGGTCCGAGGAGGGGGGAGGGAGGGAAAAGTTGGAAACGAGGATTACTGTGCTATTTGGCAGGGCGGCCCTTATGACGCACACCATGGGCACACAAAAGCAGCCCAAAGTAGTGGCACGAAGCCATACATTCACAGTCGCCACAGCGACACAGACACACGCACATGCACACACGCGCACGTGTGTGCCCGCACGTGCGATGGCTTTCTCCCTCCATTCGAAGCTACACGATATGGATATCACTTCTCGCCATCATTTTTCACCACCATCACAATCACAATCACGTGGTATTCCTCCGGTCACTAATTATAAGTCATCACAGCATGATTGTGTTTCCAGACGTTGAAAGCCGGGGACCCTGCTGCGGCCCTGCGGCCCCCACGGCTGCCTGACAGGTCTACACCCCTCAGCCCCACGTGGCATGGCCCCCGCGGGCCCCATCACTCCTCCAGGCCCCTTATCCCTTTCCTTGTCCTATCGCGTTTTAACCCTCCCCTTCCTCCCCTTCCTCTCTCCCCTTCAACCCGGGAGCCAGGCAGTGTGGGGGAGCATATTCCGCGTGATGCACTCCTCCCTGGAGAGCTATTCAGGGGAGCAGGTGGCCGCACTGGTGGGCGCACTCGTGGAACTGGACTCCGCTATTACGTCGACCTCACTCGAAGGCAGTAGCAGCAGCGGCAACAGCAGTAGCACGGGTTTCGGGTCCCAGCAGCTGCAGCAGCCCTCCATGAGCCGCCGGCTGGAGGAGCTGGCCTGCAGGGGCGGGGCGTCGGGGGACGCCCTGGCCGGGGTGCTGATGTCGCTGGTGTCAAGCGGGCTCAAGCAGGTCAGCATGGACCAGGCGGCCGTGCTGATCAGGTGGGTGGTGGCCGGGGGGGCTGGGGGAGGGGGAGGGGGGGGGCGGTTGGCGGCTGGGGCCTTCTGTGGCGCTGACTACTGCGTTACTGCCTGGTGGCGCGTGTTGCTGTGTGCCGTGTTTAAGTTCTTCCCCCCACTTCCCTCCCCAGACGTGCCCTGCAGGCGGATGGCCTCACCCCGCAGGGCTGCTGCCACCTGCTGCGAGCTGCCGCCTGGATGTGCAACCGAATCTGGGGAAGCAGCACAGAGGTGCGTGCGCTTTTGTGTGTGTGTGTGTGCGTGTGCGTGTGCGTGTGCGTGTGTGAGAGGTGGGGGGTCCTTTGTAAGAGCGGCGGGGGTGCGGCAGGCGGCATGTGGCGATGGTGATGACTTAACCGGCTGCGGTGAAGTTTAATAAGGTGAAGGGTATTTAGCATGGTGGTGTAGGGCATTAGGTGACGTTATGTCCCCGCCCTTGTTCCCCCCATGTGCCCCTTCAGGTGATGTCCCAGCTCTCCCGCTACGAGGCCAACCTCATCCCCCTGCTGGCCAACAAGCTGGCGGACCACGCGGCGGCGGGGCGGCTGACACCACCGCAGTTCACGGACGCGGCGCAATCGTTCGTCCAGCTGCGCTTCCTGCAGCCGAACTTCGTGGCGGTGGGTGCTGGCGGTATGCTAGCGCGCTCTGGTGCCGTGTGCCGGGTTTAGGGAGGGCGGAAATTGGTCGGTTGTTGGGAGGCATGGAAGGTTTGGCCTGGGAGGATGGGGGGGAGAGTCGACGCCCTTCCTTTCCTTGTTCATGGTATGTGCGTAGACGGGTACGTGGACGGGTTGAAAGTGAGCATATTGGAGGGGGTTGGCGTGGATGCTGGGATGCGTCCTTGTATTTCTTAAAGGGGGGAGTAGGGTGGACTGAGTGAAATAGGAGGATGTAGGGTCTGAGCAGGTTTCCTACCTTCAAACCATCTCTCACCCTTCTTCACCCTCATTGCGTCACCGCCATCCCTTCCTTCCCACCCTTCGCCGCCCCCAGGAGCTAGCTGCCGCCACGATCAGAGGCATACGTACCGGCCAAGTCAAGCGACGGGACATCAGCGTCGCGCTCTACACCTGCGCCTACTTCGGCTGCCGGGAGGTTGCCGCCGCCGACCTCTTCGCCGCCGCCGCCGCCTCCCTGGAGTCACGACTGACCCAGGACCGCAAGCCCGTGTCCCTGACGCGGCTGGCCTGGTCGTACGCCGTAGCGGGGGCGTGCGGCCTGCTACCGCAGCGCCGAGCGGATAGGAAGCTGGTGAATCGATTTCTGCAGGTACCGTACGCTGTACGCTGTGCCTTACAGTACCGTACCATGCCGTACTGTGATATACTGTGTCATGCATCGGTGACTCGGGGGCCCGGAGGTCACCCACTACTCCCCACCGCGTTCTGCTGCCCTCGCAGAAGTTATTGGCTGCTTTGCAGTCCCGGTTTGGTGCGGGCGATGGTGGTGGCAGTGCACCTGGGGAGGAGGTGGGGATCTCGACGGAGGCAGCCGGACAGCTCAAATTCGCGCTGCAGATCTGGGGCGTGCTGGAGCCCTCCCTGGCCACGCCGGAGCTCCTCAAGGCCCTAGACATGAACCGCCACCACCGCCACCACCACCAGCCGGATCAGGAGCAGGGGCCTCAGCAGCCTCAGTCCCCGCCGGGGCGGCGGACGGCAAGTGCCGCTGCAGTGCTCGCCAATGAGGTCACTCACATCAGCGACTTGCAGAGGGACGTGTACCGCCAGCTGGTGGCACTGGGCTACCGGCCCAGGATGGAGGAAAGGGTGAGAACCAAGGGGGGGAGGGGCCATGTGCTCAGGTCAAAGATATGTAGCCTCTACCATCAACGTATAGGCAGCGTGCATACGTAAATTCGTATGTATGATGTTGTTACAGGGTGGTATAGCTTCACCAGCGGCCCCCTTTCCCGAGGCAGTTCCCTGCTCTCCCCTGCGAGAGGGGCACCCTAATCCATCCACCCCATCCGATTTCAGAATGTATTCGTTGGGTTTAGCAACTCACCACCAGCATCCAACCAAATCTAGCGGATCAACGGCGCATCAACTTAGTTCCTGGTCAGCTCGCAAGTTGATATTATCACGTTCTACATCGTCCATATGATGGGGGGCCACCTCCCATTTCAACACTCCTCAAACACCCGAGGAGCCGGCAGGCGGATTTGAACCCGGGTCGGCCGGGAGCAGAAGTCAGGCCTTAACCCGCTTACCCTATGTGTATGTATGCATGTATGTATGTATGTACCGCAGGTGGGTTTCTGGACGGTGGACATACTGTTCCGGGTGGGGGCCCGTCCTGTAGCCGTGGAGGTGGACGGCCCCACGCACTTTACCACCTGCCACCACCGCCAACCGCTGGGCACCTCCCTCGCCCGGGACGAGTGTCTACGCCGCCTGGGGCTGGCAGTGGTGGCGCTGAGCTTCCGGGACTATCGACAGTGCCTGAAACCGGCTACTAGCGGCGGCGGCGGCGGCCGCGGCTTGCCCCGGGATGGCAGGGGCTCCGCCATCCCAGAGTATCTGCAATTGCGTGTGGAGCAGGCGGTTGCCCTGCTAGATTCGGGGGGTGGGGGTGGGGGGGGAGGTGGCGCTCTGGCGGCCGCACGCCCAAATGCCACCAGGAAGGGTGCTAACAGCGCCGCCTAGGCTAGTGAGTCGGGGGTGAGTAGTTTCCTTGGGCGGCCCCAGGGATTTGTCGGATGGGGTTTGGGACGGGGTGGAGAGGGGTTTGGGAAGAGGAATGGGAGGGCGCGCGGGGGTGAGGGAAAGGGAGAGGAGGGAAGGGGAGTCCGCAAGCTGTGGCGAAGCGCGTCAACAGTCAGCAAGGTGAGGCTCATGTGGGGCTTTGTACAGCGGGCGCCTCCACTCGCCTCCGTGTGGCATCCCAATGGCTGCGGCGGCGGCGGCGATGTCCCAGGACAGTTAGTACGGGTTACATGACAAGAGAATCTTAAGACGAGGAATTGATAGTCCGGTTGGCCACGTGGCATGAAGAGACGTCGCGCTGGGGGTGGTCGCATGCGCACCTCAGTGATTGTAAATTGCAGTTGTGTGTGTATGTATGTGTGAATACCGCGATGCGGCGGTCTGTGCACCGCACGCGCGAGATGATGCGTGTTTTGTTGGGGTTGATGTCGGTCGCTGCATTCATCACGCAGTAATGTCCATGTTTGTCTCCAATTGGTGCTGTTTGAGGGCGCAAGAGCGGAGGCCTGTGTGAGTCCCTGGCACTGAGACATGGCGGGACTGGGCTGGAGCGGCTTTGTTAGGGGTAACCCGAAGTCTCTACACCTCGTCCAGGAGTTGGTACCTTAGGAGCACGGCCATGTTAGTGTGTGTACACTAGCCCAAAGCATTATCAATCACCCGATCGGCTGATCACTTTATTCATTCGGTAAACACATAAAGCATATCTGCTGCAGGTTGCGCCTGGGGGCCCCTTCACCGTCGCGCACTTCTCAACGTGTTCGCCGCGGATGGCAGTGGCATGGCACAAACGCCAATATCAGCCGTTGTGTCTCCCCCTTTTTACCTCTCCCATTCGGCCACACGGTCCGCCGTTCGACCCTCACGCATGTCGAAACTTTGTTAGCCTGATAAAAGGTCATGTCGGGTCCATTCGGACCTCCGTGGCGGCAACCGGCACGGCCCGCAGCGACAAAGCGCATAGCTCGGTCAGAGAGAGATCCTCAAACACGCCGGAACGCAGCAGCCCCAGCCAGGAGTAGCCCCACCCGAGCACGGACGCACGGACAATAGCGTCGCGTCAATCGCGGTCCGCTGGCTTGCGGCGTCAGGCACCGTTCAAAAACCCAAACAGCGTTGAAACGCCGGCAGTGCTTCCCTCAACCCCCCCACCCTCCATGCATCGGGTAAGGGCAGGTGGTAGGGCGCTTATACCGGTGCGTCGTACACAACATGCACATATACGACACCTCCCTATCGGCAATCCTATAGTGCTGTAACCGTAAGCGCTCGGCGGGACGACGACGACGGCAACGACGACTTGCCGTACCGACGGGGCAGGTACCCGTACGGCCTCGTTCTCCTGACCCGGGCCTCCTCCTCCCGGCCCCCCTCTCCTGTGGAAGCTTCAGAGCCCCTTTCTCTCCCCGACCCTTTGAATCCTTCTCCTCCCACCACACCTCCTTCAGGTGGGTTTTCCCCTAACGCCCGATTCGCCAGGACCCCCTCGCTAGAGGAACCCCCAACTGAAGGTCCCCCGCTAGCTCGCCCAGCCGCCCACAGCCGCCCCACGTCCTCCACCGCCTCTTCATTCTCCACGCAGCTGCTCCTCTTTGCCTCTTTTTCCAGTTCACCGCCACCATACGCCGTTTCTCGGCCTCCGTGCCGACCCCGCTCCAGACCCCTAGCCATCTCAAATATCCCCAGATCCGGATCCAGATTGACCTCGTGCTTCCGTACCAGGCAGATCCGGACTCGATCCATAAGTCGCGCGGTCCACTCAGCCGACGGTCGTACATCCAGCACCGCCAGGCCCCACATCAGCCCACCCAGAGATTCCGCGTCGAAGGTCCCCATCTGGGGCTCCGAAGCCGCCAGGAAGCTACGGATCCAGCGCCGCGGTGGCGGCACACCTAGCTTGGCCACAGAGACCAACAACTCGGATAGCAGCCGCGGGGTTAGCGACCGCGATGAAGGCTCCGCCGTCATCGTCACCGAATCCGGATACGCCGCCAAGCCCCCCGCGCCTGCAGCAGCGGCAGCGGCCGCCGAAGACGCGACCGACGTGGGCGCCTCTGACGCTGACGCCGGCTGGGGCCATGATGATGATGATGAGGAGGAGGAGGAGGACGCCGATACGGCTGGCGATAATACCGAAGTTACGGGCACTGTCGCTGTGGGTGTTGGTGTGGACGTGGGTGTGGCGGCGCCGCGAGCCGCCTCCGCCAATCGCGTCTGAGTCTCCTCCAGCAGCGCGAACAGCCAGGAAGGGTCGGGCTGCACGTCCAGCTCCGCCACCGCCGCCACCAGCCCCACCAGCCGGTCATTCGGCAGCAGCGACATCTTCGTGGCGCAACCCGCAAGTAGGGCCTCCAGCAGCGCCCGCTGCTGCAGCCGACTCTCCGCCGCTGCCGCTGCCGCCGCCGCTGACGTTGACGTTGACATCAATCGTATTGTTTTCTTTGTCCTGGTGGCTGCGGTGGCTGTGGTGATGGTGGCTGTTGTTGTTTCCAGGCTCTGACGGCGGAGTTCTGCCAGCGCCATCACTGCATCGGCCATATCGTTGGGCGCCAGGACGTCGCTCTTGGAAGCCAGGGTGGCTGCCCGCCGTTATCACCACCGTCACCACCAGCAGCACGAGGACCGGGACCGGATGGACCGGGTAGAGGCGCGGCGAGTGCGAGGGGACCCATGTGGGGAAAAGGGAGGACAGAGGAACGTCAGACGGGCGGGAGGCAGTGGGCCATTTACGGTGCATACGTACGGAAGTACGGAAAGCAAGTGGCGCCGTCTTCCCCAACCGCAGTAGACCATCTCACTTTACCCCTACCTACCTACCTACCTGCATACATACATACATACATACATCTCCCTCCTCTCCAGTCAACGCCCTGCCTCCCCTTTTCTCTCTCTCCCTGACCAGCCAGACGCACCACTCACCACACGCCGCCTGCAGCCACCCGTCCTCCGGCCGACCTCCTCCCGCCCGCGCCACCGCCAGCATCATCCGAGCCACACCCGCCGCCGTGAATCTCGATACCTTCTCCGTACACAGCGCCAGGTAGCGCCGCAGCCAGGTCGCCGCCAGCACCTCCAGCTGCCGCCCCTCCTCCGCATCCCCACCGGCTCCCCCCGCCTCCGCACCTCTTCCCCGCCGCTGCTTCCCAGCCTTGCCCCTTCCCCCTCTCTCCCCCCCTCCCCGCAATACCCCCTGTTTGAAGAGGTCGCCATCCAGCCGGGTGATGTCCCAGAGGAGGTCGGGCAGGTCCCGCGGGCTAACCTGGGGCAAGTGGGGGAGGCTCGTCTCCAGGCAGCGATGCAGCCAGGCACGGTCGGGGGCCAGTCCGGCAGAGCCCAGGAAGCCAAGTACGGCAGGCAGATCCGCAGCCCGGAAGTACGGCAAAAGCGACCCGGTGACCTGGCGGGATGGGTGGGCGGGTGAGTGGGGGCTCTGGGCCCACTAGCGTAAATGGCGGCGGAGTGGTGCGCAGCGGTGCTCTCTCACCCCGGTGTGTGGGCGGGTGGCTGGGTGGGTGGGTGCCGGTAGCGCACAGTCCAGCCCTGGTACCCAACCCCCGCACACCCGATTATCACCCTCCTCCCCCACTTCAGGCAGGGAGGCCTCCTAAGGGCCTTACACAGCACCACAGAGCGTCGCGGTAACCCCCCTCATTGCACAACCACCCCAACCACTTATACGGCCCGTTGTGACGGCAACGACTGCTCCATCCCACATCCCACATTCCATCCTCCACCCCACCCCACCCCAGCCCAAGTCAAAGGGGGGCCGCACCCGCAGGAAGTCCTCCCGCCACTCCTCGCCTAGCCGCCACCCCAGCCGGGTCACCGCCCAGGCCAGGGTCGCCACTTGGTGGGGCTGCATGGCCCGCAGCCGGGAGCCCAGCGCCGCCAGCAGCAGCCCCCGGCACCTGGGACCCGGCTGGAAAGACACCTCCGCGGAGGCGCTCACCACACGAACCAGGTCATCGCAGCTCAGATCGCCGCCACCGCCAGGCCCTGTTGGTGCTGCAGCAGACATGCCTGCCGCTTCCGTTGCCGCTTCCTGCTTCGGATGATGCGTTAAGGCAGCGCCCGGCGGCGACGGCGGAGGCAGTTGAGCTGGAGGCGCCTCGACGGTTGTTTTCTTGGAACCGTCCAGGTCATGCTGGTTTTGGTGGTTTTGGTGTTGGTTGCAAAGGTGGTGTTCCAGGCACACGCAAAGCGCCTCCTCGTACAGCGCCAGCCAGGGGGACGTGGGCCGTACCCCCAGTTGCACCAGCGACCACAGCAGCTGTGACAGCTGCGGCCCCAACAGGTACGGCAACCCTAGCTGCAGGCAGCTCATGCACAGGCCCAGCCACGCGTCCCCCGGCCGCAAGTTGAACGCTGCCAGCGCCGAAACCACGGACGCCAGCTCTGGGCTGGTCAGCCGGGCCAGACCGGGAAACGCGGAGGATACTGTGGGTGATGGTGGCGTTCCCGCAGCGGCATGATGGGACGGTGCCAGTGGAACGTTTGATGGCGGGGAAGCTGGCGACGCCATTGCAGCTAGTGCTGGCGTTGCCACCATCAGACCGTGCTGCAGTACACTGCCCGGCTGTGTGGTCGGGGCCGGGGCCGGGGCGGGCCTGCGCATCAAGGAGTCCGCCAGGCGTCTTAGCACCTCCGGACTGGCGCTTCGGAGGCATGCTAGCGATTTGATGATGGCGGCGATTTCGCGAGGCTGCAGGGAGGGCAGGTGGAGGTCCAGCAAGGCATACGCGGGCTGCAGGGCGTCGGTAAGCAGCGCGGCATCCAGGGGACCCTGCGCACTGCTACGCCATCTAGCCGTGAGTTGCCGGAACGTGGCGACAACGTCGGCAGGACGCGTGCTGGCCGCAAGCTGCGTGCGGACCGCTCCTGGCAAGGCATTGCGGGCGCTGCCCGCTTCTTCACGGAGCAGCGCATGGATGGAGGCAAGATCCGCGCATTTGGCCAGTCGGTAGGCTAAATGCGCTTTTTCGGCGCGGCCGCTCGCCGCTTGTAATTGGGCACCTGACGATGCGCAGATTGTCCGCGCATTTGGTACGGATGAATGAAGCCGCTCCCTAAAGCTAACCCGTGAAGGTAAACACGTCGTCTGTGGAAAGAATCTAGCAGGGAATATAGCAGGGATTTGACCATGGCAACTTTGGCAATTGTTCCGTTGAGGTGGCAAGCCGTTAAAATGCTCATAGCCACTTAACAGCATATCTTCGCCGCAAAGCCGTTAACTAGTTAGTCCTAACCACCCGTTCCAAATCGGCAGTAAAACGATGCTTACTGAGCACGATAATCCTCTTAGTTATCTTATCATAATTCGCCAGCCTGCTTAGTTGTTCAGCTCCATCAGCTTGAACGTGTCTCACCGCTACATCCGTGGGTTCGAGCTCGCATTAATGTTAGCCGTAAGCTTAAGCACATTGATTTTTGGCACATGTGTACGACATGACGACGGCTCTCGGTCCCTCCCACCTTACCTTTTCCTGCGTTCCTTGCGCAAGATTAACCTTCAGTAGTAATCAAGATGGGCCAGAGTTATCCAAGTCATTTGGAAATTATCATTTACATTCACAGACCCACGGGCCGCTACTCGGCCTTTGATTGAGCGTAGGAGAGCGAGAAGTGAACAACAACCACATAATCTTCCAGGACAAATTTATTCCTAAATAGTCACACGAACCGCATGGGATGCCGAGCATTTTCATGGTCTGCACCCAGGCTAGCGACCGGCAATCAACGTGCATCTCCTGGCATGATACACACATACGCACACATTTCAAGCATCCATCTCCAGCTGATACTACCAACCGCACCAACGTCTACCCATGAGGTACCGAACATTCAAGCAACGCAGGGCCTACCATGCATTAACGCAGGGCATATTACGCTTAGCCGAGCTTCGTTTATGAGCCGTCTTAAAAGCATTGACCGAGCCAACACATCTGTCTTTTATAGTTGAAAAGTGCTTACTGGATTGCCAGGCCAGGAACTACCGGAACCAAAATACTGGCACAGGTGCAACTAAGTACGAGTCAACAGTAACGTTTCAACGGAGGGCGAATTGAGGCCCCGATGTCCGGATGTAGCAGCCCCTCAGCACCGAAAGCGGCATACACAACTAGTGCCGAAACTATAAATGCAAGGTTTTTTCAATCTAATGGTCCCGACAATTGCTAAGCAATAAGCAGCAGTTTGGGAACGCACCAAACCACCATGAATAGAACATAACATTTAAATGGTCAAGCTAAGTCCACCCTCCTGCGCAGTTGCGTCTCTTGGGTCGCAACCAAGTGTGCCATTTGCCAGGCGGGCTGCTAGCGGCCGTATCAGCCCAGCCAACGGTGTAAAGCCTGCATGCTATGTTGAGCCCAACGGTCTGGGGCCCTGCTGCGAAGAACTCTATGGAGGCCAATCAGCAACAACAGCAACAACAACCACAAAAGCATGTACTACTGCATACTTGTAAAAGGTGCCGTAAAGCCGCACTAACGGAGTTGGTGGGCGCATGGGCCTCCTCTTCGCTGTGCGCAGCCGAGCGTTACGATTTCCAGACAGGCACTCAGTGTTCCTAGGTAGGTAGGTAGGTAGGTAGACGCGCTCACATGCACGGTCGCTTCAAAATTCACCTTCCAGATGCGATTCACACTCTTGGAGGATGCGCGTTAGGGGCAATGCGACTTTGTATTGGTGGGGGATGCACGCCACTTTGCGGTCAAGCTTGCAAGCCAGTCGCAATACAAGATATGCGGTCTCCTCTACGGGGCATTGCAGCGGTGGCGCTACTATTTGTAAGTTATTACTAGGATCCCCATGCAAACAAAAAAAGAGATAAAGGAATGTAGTCTCTAGTCAATGTCTTCTTGACGACCAATGTCGATCAGTTTTTGCCGGTTTTGCGCAGCCAAACCCCCTAAAACACGGCGACGCCACGTCCCCCCGCACCTGTCCTGGACAAATCCCGCCTGCGCTCACCCCACACTGCATCCTCACGCGGCAAATAGCTCACGGGAGAGTTGGTCACGACCGGCGGTGACACACACGTGGGTGTGACCGTTGTGCCATAACCGTTACCGGACACAACCGAAAGCGATAGCTCTCGCAATGTTCCTCACTCAAAGTATATATATGCAGCAACAAGTTACGATATGCTGGACGACGATAATGATGATAATGGTGATGATGATGATGATGATGATGATATGATAAAGCGAGGTCCATGAAACGTTGCACGGCAACATACGAAGGCAAGGGTCAAGAGCCCTCACCTGCCCTCCAGACGGAAAACATGCTATGCGCACATGCTATGCACATACACATACACATACACACACATGCAACCCCCAAAAGTTGCCAAACGGGGCCGCGCTGGGACAGAACCGGGGGGGGCCAGAGGGGCCCCCGTAAATCAAAATTGGATGAACACCAGCTCACGCGCCACGGTGCTCCGCGCCCACGGGGACTGTCCACTCGGCGATGCAAGGCCGTGTGACATGAGGCTCCCGGACCTGCGCAGGCTGTCAGGCTGACGCCCAGCTGCCAACCTAAACGATGCCGCCGCCCGCCTCGCAGCCAAAACCCCAGCGCAGCCCGAGGGCTCTCCCCCGTTGCTGCTGTAGCTGCTGCCGGAAGCTGATCCATCCAGGCGCTTTCCTCCCGCACACCCTGCCTCACGCGCCTCCCTCCCACTGGTGGCCCCCGCAGACCTGGAGCCCACGGGGCCCAGAGGGCCCGGAGGAAGGCGCGGCAAGCGAACACCGCTGCCACTAGCGCGGCGTCGCACTACTTGGGTCCGCAAGGCGGCGTGAGGCGCCCCGGGTCCGTCGGCCGCACCCTCCCCTGCTTGCGTGGCGTACGGACCGTCAGACTGGCGCCGCCGCCGAGAGGAAGCGCCGTCCAGGGAATGCGATAGCGCGCGTCTGCTGAACGGACCACGGCGCGCTGCGACTGTGTTTTTAACAACAGCAGTTGAGGTCGTTGCCTTCGCGGCGCAACCGCCCGAGCTGGGCCTCCTCTGATGGGACGACGCCATCCGGTGAAGCGCCTCCTGCTGCGGTTGTTGGTCCTCCTGTGCCGCATCTGCCTGCGCCGGAGGCCGCGGTTTCTGCTTCTGCTGTTGTTCTTCCTCCTGCTGGGGGTGTTGTTGATTCCCGAACCGCGACTCCGAGCTTTCTACAGGCAGGGAAACTTCCGGTTGAACTTCCCCCTCCGCGGTTGGCGACTGCGGCTGCAGCTGCGACATCCCCGATACACGAAGACACGGGCTACCGGGGGAACTGGACCGACTGCACACGGGCGACACCCCCATGTTGATGATGCCACTCGTCCGGCCCTGCTGCTCCTGCTGCTGCTGACTTCGTTGGCCCTGCGGGGCTGTCGGCGGAGATGGGTGATCCCCCATGCCAGCCTCCTCGGGAGGGTGCAATGCGGAATGTCGTTGGACTCGAGACTGGCTGCGGGCCCGGGGCTCCCCGCGTGCCCCGGTGTTCCCCGCCAACTTCTTGTTGTTATGGCCCATGAGGGAAGTCCGCGGTGGTGGCGACTGCGACTCGGAGGCGGGCTCCCCCGCATCCTGTTCACGTAGAGAGAGGCATCCCCGCGGTGCAATGGATTGAAGTCGGGTGGCAAGGCAGTGGGGTGGTAGATGCTGTGGGGCATGGCCTTACCAGTGCACTACCGGGCGGGAAAGCACTACTAGTCGCAGCAACGGCATAACGTGCTGGGAGAGCGCAAGTCGGCCGCATGGATGAACCCCGGGAAGGGCTTAGAGCTTTCCTAGCAGCCGAATTGCGGCCACAGAGTTGAGCGCAGGTCTCTATCAGGGTGCTGCTACCGGGCGGCTGCTTTGGTGGGGTACATGTATATTGGTGGGCTCACTCGCGGTGTACTGGAGACTTCTCGTCCCGAAGCGCTAGAGCTCATACGTCAAGGGTCACGGAATGAGGACTCAACATGCTCTGTGCATTCAGGCCGCCCGGAAAGGCGCATTGATGTTCAGCTTCTATCATCATTCAGCATCAGCATCAGCATCAGCAGCAGTAGCAGCAACAGCTGTAACCCAATTAGGTCACTCACAATGGCGTGCGCATACGCCTTCGTCAACTTTGAGGAGACGGCTGTAGACCGCTGCAAGATATTTTGTAGCAATAAGTCCAGAGATGTCGTGGAGGTGGTCACCCCACATCCGGACTGTGATGACGGCAGCAGGCCTCGGCTCTGTGACTGCCTCAGCCGCTGTGAGCTTCCTCCAGGATAGGACACTTGTTCCGAGATTGCCTCTGACCAAAATATCTTGGTGTCCAGAGGTTCGATCGTACTTTTGTCCAGGAGTGGCTGGGACGATGCGGTGCCCAGGACAGCAGAACGCTCTTCAGCGCTCAAAACCTGAAGGTTTGTGCGTTGACGGCGGATCTCCTCTGCCTGAGCGGCCTTGCGTTGTGTAAAGTCTCGAAGGAACTGTGCAAAGGAAAGGCATTAATGGCAGTCTTGGGCTAACATGCAAAACGACGCGAAGGCAACACGGTTATGTTTGGAGGGAGCGTGTCCCTCGGTTTTTTCTGCGACGGAGTCATTGTTCTATCCCTTTGCCAATGCTTCGTTGTAGTCTGTTCCCATTTACTCCGAGGAATGCATTCCCAGCAAGGCACAGCAAGTCGTGGGCACTCCATGGAACACAGACCGACTGTTACCCACATCACGTTTGCCGACAAAATTTACCTTTGCTGTGTGAGACCAACGTAAATTTAAATAATTTTCGTCGACCTGGACTGCTCCATCGCCTGGCCTAAGGCAGCTGTCGTTGGCCTTAGTTGTGGAATTCACAGGGCCTGACGTGAGCTTTTGTCCAAACGTGTCAGAGGGACCATCTGGAGCATACAGAAGGTCACACATTGTCGGATAACAATGTCCTAGAGTCCTGCAACGACGAAACAAGTCCGAGAGTTGGACCAATTCTCAGGAGCAAACACTATCATTAATAGATGAATGTCATGTGCTCTATCTTGTCTAATACGAAAGGTCAGCCGTTTGCGTGCCAACGTGTATTGTCGCCGCGGCCTGAGAGAGCCCTACCCCAAAAATAAACCCCATGAAAATAGCCAACATCTTGCAAACGCGTCATGACGGTATCGATTGAGGAAAAGCTGTTTTCGAGGATCGACACAACATACGGGCCTTATTGGTGCTAGCCTCAAGAAGGGACCGTTTCACTTATAATTATGAAGGCCTGGATTATAGGACCAAGCCTAATTCACACTAATCGCAATAACCCTGTTGCCAAAAAAGTGACGTACATGCTACACACCATTCAAGATTTTTTATGCGCAACTGCCCAGTCATGTAACTTGTTTTTTTATAAGTTTTAAGTCATCCAGGCAAGAGCAACTACACTCGAGTAATTTCGTTTAAGCGCTTTCAATGAATCATCGTGGCAATCCATCGCATAACGTGACGGCCCAGGTAGCTTAATACAATCGTTCGTGTTGAGGATACAATGCCAAGGCTAAATTTCAAGCTTATTGCATAGACACGTGGGTTGCGCTATGTAACCGTGTCAGTCTTGAAGTAGCGAGGCTCGGATAGCGAACCTGGCTAGGCCTGCAAGGGCATGGTGGGCTGTACAGCTTTTGCACAGCCCACACTTCGAAGCACTTTGTTGACAATTTCTTAGTTTTTCCTTACTGCATATAGAGGTTACGTGGGACACCTCTTGTCCCTAGAAATGGTAACCCTCCGAGACCACCCTAAGGAACGTATATGACTGGACGTGTTCCTCCGTAGTGCTTGAAACCTCTGGTACGGACAAAGCTCATGAATGCTATGCCTCAAATACGTTCAAGTGCTGTCTGTATTGAGTACGCTGGTCACTTCTGTCCCTGGCTTGGAAACTGGTAAAAAGTTGTAGCAAGGCACGAGGAGTTGCAGCTTCTTGGACCCGGAAAAATTGCTCCTCCCGTTGCGGCATTGCTTAACTTTACAGAAAACCACGTACAGCAAGGCTCAAACTTGTACCGGATACACCGGGACTCCTAGAGCGGCACGGCCCAATCGTTGCAGTTCGATTCTTCCTCTCCAAGGGAAAGGCAGCGGACCCTGCAGGGTGGCACTGAGCCCCACACCATTAAACGGACAGAATGAGAATATCGTCAAGGCGTGGAGATCCTTTGGTTCAAGCCGGATAGCAGTACGCCAGTGCGCACACCCGCAAACCGCAATAGCAGGAAAACGAAGTAAATATCCGGCAACCGCTGTCTCAACTGTTCGCCCTATGCAAATGCGCTGGAAGCTCAGCAGCAGCTACTCCGGCAGTACAGCATCAGCTGCCGGAAAATTCGAAAGAGTTTCCCATGCATACGCGGCATGCATTTGCGGCGCAGTGGACGCAACACCATGGGGACCGACTCAGGGGCCGAGCTCGGATACATGCGTGCCGCCATATATGGATAACAACAGAAGCTGCCACACGGCCTCCCTTGTACATGTAGGTTTTTTGTTGTATCCGCATGCATGCGAATACGACATCTGGAGAAACCCAAAAACACGCCTGTCGCAGCAAACTGCGTTTCGAACGCAGTCAAGCAGGATAGATCCTTGTGTCAGAAGAGCTCATGAGCTATAACTGATGGGAAATGCGATTTGCACAAGTGTGGGGGCCGTCCGTACCAGCCGGGGGCCCCATGGACGGTCAACGGCCATTATTTTGGCATCAAGTGAGGATGTTGACATCCGCTCCAGCTTGCCTTGGCACCATGTAACGTGGGCCTGCGCGCTTTCGCACTCATACAAAAAAACGGTACTCGCGCAGAAGGGATCCCCAGGCAGTGAAACGCAAACAGGCGCATTTCATCTTATCCCATTAAAGCTGCTAAAACACGCGCCAAGGCGATAACGTATAAGCTTGGTTGCTTCTGGCCCCTTCCCGGCACTAAAAATGGCCCGCTCGCTCCCGCCACAAGTAAACGGGGCTGTCGGTAAGCTTCGTGAGGGTTTAGAGCTTTTGTGAGCTTTGCTGCTGTTGTTGAAGCTGTTGGGAGAAGCCGTTGCCATGGGAACGGTTCGGCAATCAGTTATAGGATGAAGTACAGGACGCAGGCGGGAAGGGTGACGGGAAGGCAGCCGTTTACACCGGCGGGGCCCTCCTTAGTCCACGCCTGCTCCCCCCATGTTTGTCTGCTTCACCGTCGAGTTTGCTCACACTCTGGGCTGCGGCAGCTGTGGGCTGGATTTGAGGTTGGGGGCTTGGGGCATTGGGGGCGAGGGATGCTGAGCTGCGAGATGGCAGGAGCGCTTCTTGGGGCCAGAGCTGGGGGTGAGGAAGCATGTTGTCTGCGTTCAAGTCACGCCAGTGCGTGTGAACGCGCATCGGAACGGTTGGCCAGCAGGTTCAGGTTCCCCCGGCACTGGCAAACAGCATGATCTCAAAGCCAGTTCTTATGGTGAGTAGTTGAAGTAAACGACACCAGTGATGGAATAGATTGATGCGGGAATGCAGGATAACAAAGTCCCTTGATGCCGTTCTTTCATGGGGTCCTGGTAGTGAATTGGCATGCGTAGCTGATAATGGCATGCACGACTGCAAAACAACGGTGGTCAGCGGCAGTGCGGCCTGCGACCAGTCTGGTCGTTCTGAGAACGCTTATGCCGACTCGCCGCAACTTGCAGTGAGGATTTTAAAGCCCTTGAAAAATTTGAAAACTGGGGTGCATCAAAGTCCTACAAAGCAATGGCATCAGGGGCATGTTGCTGCAGGAGCTTATTAAGACAGTGATCAAGCTTCACGACTTGCAACGTTCACTAGGACAGGCAATGAAATGAACGCAAATATATGTTCTAGGAATGTAGAAGGAGCCCGAGTTGCTTTTGTGCAGGTTTGATGCGGTGGCTCGTACACATACAGATACGAGTCCAAGCTTCACTTCCCGCGCGCACACCAGCCTAATTCACTTGCAGGTTCATTAATTCAAATTCCTTGCTGTCATTACAATGATCTCCCTGTCCAACCTGCGTCTTATGTCCTCAACCACACGAGTCGCACGACCGAACAAACGTACCACAAAATGCCTGGCTAGCCATCCAAATCAGCACAGCATCATGTCGCTGTCGTATTCGGGGCGTATTGATCGACGTGCGGTATTGGGCAGCGCCGCACTCCTGGGCACACTGCTGGGGCAGCGCAGTGTCGCAGTCGCCGCAGCTCAGCCGGAGATCGAGAAGGTGGGGCGTCCATTCCGCACCCATGCCAAACCATGCCGTCACCACCCATGCCACGGCACCCCACTATTAAGGCCCTTCGAGCCGGACGGCACTGGAAAGGGCCTAGGGGAATATACCTCCCAGGGTGTTCTCTGGAAGCCGCGCCCGGCTCGCAAACACTCACATCCCCGCTACAACTCAGGAGTATTCCGCACCCTGCAGCGCTCCTCCTCGTCTCTTCTCCCGTCGCATTGACACACCTCCCTGGTTACCGCTGCGCCAGGTTCTGGAAGACCCTCGCTGGTAAGGCGCCAGGCGGCCAGGCGGGTGCTGCAGCAGCACCCAACCTCCCATCCAGCGCGTTTCCCCACCACCCGCCACCCGCGGTAGTGGTGACGGTAGCCGGTCCTGCTTTCTCGACGGCTCTCCCTCCCCCGAACTGCTGACCAGCCCGGCCTGTCCTCCGTCCTGTCTCCCACTTCTGGAACACGGCTGCCCGCGTGTGTGCCGCTGTCCACTGCTCGTCCAGGCCAGAGAAGTGGCCCTTCCGCCCTGAGAATTTTCAGCGCTACGACGAGACCCCGGATAGCTTCTTCTACGATCAGCCGCGGTTCGTCACGCACATCGATGACAACGCAATCAACGCGCTGACTAAGTAAGTGGATGCACCGGCTTGGAACGTGGATGCACGGGAATACATGTGAGGCGGAAGCGCACGGGAGTGGAGCCAGGATGTCATCAGGTTGCTGGGCCGCCGCTCCCAACCCCCCATGCTTTCCCGGCACACGGTGCACACGAAGGCGGGAAGGCGGGAAGGCGACAGGGGGGACGTGATGAACTCCTTCGGGTCCATGCTTCACTGTCCCAGCTTGCCTCAAACGCCGCCCCCACGTACACACATACAGACATACAGACATATATACATATATACAGACAGACATATAGACATATATACGCGTACACATGCAGGTTTTACGGGGAGGTCTTCCCGCCCGTGGGTACCAAGTCGGCGGCCATTCTCGACATTTGCAGCTCCTGGGTTTCTCATTATCCAAAGGGCTTCACGGCCGGACGTGTGGCGGGTAAGCAGGCAGGCAGGCAGACCAGGCACGGCCAACAGGAAGCGGCATGCGTCTCCTGTGTGTGTGTGCGCACAACACTCATTCGCGCACACGTTTTACCGCACGGACTGCACTCGGAAGGACGGTGCCAAAGGTGGAGTGTGTATTTCTATGACGAACAGAAAGAACGGGACTTCATGGGCAGCATGCACCGGCTGGCGCACTAGCGTAAATCGCCATACTTTGACTTCTGCGTGAATGGAAATCACCCACCTTGCCTCACCCTGCCTGTGTAGCTGTAGCTGCATGATGACGATGATGATGATGATGATGTTGTAGCGATTATGAGAGTACAGCCCGGTGTGTATTCCTGTGATTTGCACCTCCGTCCCTGGGCCAACACGCTCCTGCGCGCCTCCCCCCCGGTCCCTGTGCGCTTTCGCCCGAGCGCAGGACTTGGTATGAACGAGCAGGTGGGAGCTTGGGCGTGTTGTGGAGGCGCAGGTGGTGTTTGCTGCAGTTTCTGGGTGGGAGTTTGGCGTTATCGCCCGATTAGGCGCATGATAGCTGGAGCCCGGCGTGCCAGGGGACTTGTGGGTGTTGTGACTGCGGGCGTATGTTGCTCTCAGCCAAGGCTGTGCCAGCGTAATGCAACGCAATGTGGGAGGTTGGGTTGGCGCTTGGCGGCGCCCTGTCCGGGGACCTAGGTTTGGCCCCCTCGTACGGCTGGAGGGCCGGACAGACCGCTGGGTAACGGGTGATGTATGTTAAGTAGGCGCCGGCGTTTTGCAAAACCCAAGTCATTCAGAAATCCAAGACGCAGAGCGACATACTGGCAGCGTATCGGAGTGTACCGCGTTGGATGTCTTAATCGCCTCGCCGCGCAAAAGAGAGTGGAGGAAAGTGCGGCTGCAGCACCTCACACGTGCGGCCGCAGCCCTGACTTTGCGTATGGATGTCTGTCTGCCAGGAGCTGGCGCGCAACGTCCAGCTGACCGAATTTGTGGTGAAGGATCTTAACGTCGGTAGGTTTCACCACTGCCACTGCTACTGCTACTGTCACTGCTACTGTTACTGCTGCTTACAAGTTTTTACAAGCTATTGCTACTGCCGCATAGAACGTAATATGAACCTTGCTTGAGGCTGGGCGGGTGCTGCATAGCCATGGGTCCGGGAGAACCGAGGGTAACCAGCGCCATCTTCGTCCAGTGGGAGGGGAAGGGAATCCATCAGAGCATCACCACCGCCGCAGACGGGTTCGTGAGAGCGCACCGCCTGTTCATGGTGCACATTGGGCTAGTGACTTCTTAGGACAGCCATGGGCACATGTAGAAGTCTGTGGGCACGCGGCGCACATGCAGCCCTGGCTTCGCCTTCGCCTTGCCTCGTCCGCACCGCATGTCACCTTGGCTGTCCTGCCCACCCCTCCTGTCTCCGGACGAGCCCCGGCGCGCAGACCCAAAGCTGCCGTACGCCGACAACACCTTTGACGTCATCACGAACTGCGTCAGCGTCGACTACCTGAACAAGCCACTCGAGGTGAGCAGTCGCACCCCGCAGCCGCGCAGTACAAGGAGTAGGTCACGAGCGGTTGGTTCCACTGCGCATGGAAGGCTTCCCAGCAGCCGCAAACATCGGGACAGGGGGGTTTACGGCAATGCTCGGGTTGGGTAAGGTACGAGTTCCCCTAACAAGTAGCAGGCAGGAGCCGAGGGCCGTTAACCTTGACAGATGTGATCTCCGAGGGCCGTTAACTTTGGCCGAAGGCACGAGATTCAGTCGATACATGCCTCTTGCGACACCTGGAACCGTGCGGTCCCAACCGGGTTTGTTAACCTGCGCTCCATGCTGCCCAGCCTGCAACTTACCCACGTGCGGGTATGCGACGCGATGCAAATGCGATGCCAACACGCCGTACAACAACATGCAAGCTCTTAAAACGAAAACCCCAATAACGTCCATGTCAATAACTGAAGAGATGGTTCGAGAAGGAAAGAACCGCAAACCTAGGGCATGACCAATGACCATGAAGGGCGAAATGGTTTGGAAGCACTGGATACGTGTTCGCATCCGGAAGGTCACGGGTTATGATCTAATGGAGACCGGCCTGCGGTCTATTTTGGCTGGGGGCCAGTTCCACGCGAGTGCACCTCGCGCAGGGTGCGGATGCGCCTCCGCTTGTGCACCTCTGCTCGCCTTCCACCTGTTGTTGGATGAATCACGTCGGAATGGGTTCCCAGCCCTTCAGGAAGGTGGGGGACCTTGCTGCTGACGGGGACAGGGAAATATTGCACTATCCTCACCCCGCAACCACTCCTAACCACTGCATTATCGTCACCACAAGGAGCCATCATCACCTCGTCCGCTGCATCTACCCTTGGTGGGGCAGGTCTTCCGGGAGATGCATCGCGTCCTGAAGCCCGGCGGCACGGCTTACATGTCGTTCAGCAACCGCTGCTTCCCCACCAAGGCCATTAGCCTATGGACGGCGACCGGAGACGGTGAGTGTCTCTGAGGGCGGAAGAATAGCGCTCTAGCTGCGGCATGTCCCCCTGCGTGTGCGGGAGATGTGTAAGTTCGTGCACCGGGCATGGGGTTTGTGCTGGCGGGGACGGGAAGCAGGTTTAAGGAAGGTCTTGACGTGTGCTGGAAATGACGGTGGATACTGCTCCGCGTATAACTGGATGTGGCTATTGCTACTGCTGTCGTTAATCCCTTTTGCTCCGCGTTGCTGTCGTTATTCCCTTTTGCAGCCGACCACGTTTGGATTGTCGGATCGTACTTCCACTACTCAGTGCCCGGCGGCTTCACGGAGCCGAGGTGTAAAGACATCACCCCCAAGGTGCAGACCAGGAGGCTGTGGTCAGGGCTGGGCTTGGGGGAGCTTTGGTCTGACGTGATTAGGGAAAGACGGCCTCGACAGGCGCTCAGTAAAACCGCAGAAAGCTGCCTAACGGTATTCGCCTGTTGATGGCGTTCATGTTCGCTGCGAACGCTGCACGGATCCATCGGCACACCAACACGGGTTCACGATAGGCGGTCCTGCTGGCATCAATTGACGTTTAGCCGTGTAGCATGCACGTCGCCTTACACATTTTCGTCACCATATAGACCAGCGAACTTTCAAGGTCCCTCCACGTGGAAGAAATGAAGAAATTATTTGAGTGGACCCCGCGCCCTACATTCCCCACACTGCGAAGCATCCGTCGGATCTCTCGCGTTTCATCGTGCCTTTGGTGCCGTGATGTGATAACGCAAATGTCCTCTTGTCCCATCCATTCTTCCCGAAGTCTGTGGACCTAAGAAAAGGACCCCCTCCATCCTGCTTTCCTGAACTGGTGCCAGGTCATGTTCGGGTACACGGACCCCATGTACGTGGTGTACGCCTCAAAGCAAGGTTAAAGAAGAGGTGGATTGATTGAGGCGGGGGTTTTGGCCGAGTGATTGAGTGCTGAGAGCTTGGCGAGGGCTGCGAATGGTTGCCCCGGTAGGGACATTTTGCTTGCGGTTCAGGGTTTGTATGCAAACGTGGAAGGAACTGGATGGATACTGCCAAGGCTTTAGGATTCTGCAGTTGGAAGGGGTGGGGGTGCGCGTAGTCCATCTGCGTGAAGAGGGACTAGGGCGGATTTCCATCCACTGATTGCTTCGGGAACTGACTGCAATAGAAACAGTCGCGATAGGGACATGGTTGGCTGCGCCCAGCGTGAAATGCTCGGTCTATGCTGCCGTAACTTACGGATGATGTGGTGACACCTTTCCCGTGTTTGACATGGCAAGGAACCATTCCTCTGTGTTTGCAATTGTCTAGACAAAGACTGTAGTTGGTGCTAAACTGTCCGGTGTCTCTACCTGCTTTGTGACAGTACAGGCGCGCCAAGAGGGTTTCGACTGTTGACTAGTCTTGGAATGCCGCCTTGACGATGACATGGTGTCCTGGTGTGTCTGTCTCGGGTACACGTGGCGGCATTTCTACCATCTGTATAATCATAGGTCACGACGGATTGCCTATCGGTAATTTCTGCAAAAAGTATAGAAGCAGCATCTCAGGGTCTCGCACACACCGTTCGCGGCGACGTGCCGTACAACATGCCATGCTCAGCATGGCATGCAATTAGATGCTGTCAACTGCTAGAATAGACTGTATCACGATATTAATGGTAAGCCTGGAGTGAGCTCGCAATTTGCTGGCTGCTTTCTTCCTTTGTCCATCCCCCATCAGCAATTGTCGTTTTTTGTCAATTATGTTCCGATATGTTACTATAATTGGTGCAGGCATGGGATCGTTAGGCGATTTAACCTAATTCAGACCTGAGTTGGTAGGAAAAGAAGTCTTTACAGTTGATCCAGTTGTCTTACCGAACTGCACATCCGAACGCAAAGAAGGTATAGGACAGAGGCTCACCTGGAGCGGTTGAGCCAAGCCTCTACGCAGTAGCTGGCTAAGTAGTTGGTCGTCATGGACGCGGACCACGAGCTCACCGGAGGTGAGAGTTGTGCTCCGAGGGCTTTGTACATAAATGAGCTTTTTAAATTTTGCGAACAATTGGCAATCCAATAATGCAGGGTTGGAGCAAGAGATGCAGAAGCTGAACAGGGTTTACGACCCTGTTACTAAGCGGGTACTGCCTTTCCATACATACTACGACGCTGCCGATGGGCAAGAACTTGATGCTGCCATAGCTGCGGGCAACGCGATGGTGGTCCACTTCGAGTTTGGGAGCACCATAAAGACGGACCCCGACGTGCCTCGCGTCTGCCGTAAGACGGTCTTTCGTGGCCGTTCTTTCGGAAAGTGCCCGTGCGTCCCATACCTCAACTCCTTACCTCGCAGGCCTGGCCTTACCGCGTCTGTGTCTCGTATCCTTCGCCAAGCGGGCCATATGCCGCCAGATATGTCCCGGCATGTACCCAAGCTTCATACGCCTTTCATGGCCTGACACGGGCGAGGTCCTGGAAGATAAAGATGCCGGGGCGCCTGCTCGGGCAGAGACTCAAGCTAGTTGCCAGCGTACCCTAGCGAGCTATGACGTTGGTCACCAGTCGGTTCTGCAACTCGATATCGTGGTGGGTGCGGCTCCACTCCAACCTCCGACAGTAGCGGCAGCCGAAGGCTTGCCAGGTTGATACGCATAGCTTGCGTGTCTGGCATAGCTGGCGTGGCAGTGGCTAGGTGGACTTGTACCTGGCACGCTTGTCCGTGTCCTGCACGGAACGATGTGGTACACGCAGGCCGGCTGCATGCAGTCACCGCTCTCCGCATTTGTGCAATCGTGGAGCCCTATACCTCCTACGAGTTGCTGGCCGTGCCAGAATGCAGGGGATTGCACGTGAGTGGTGCTTTTAACTAGCGTAATGTAGACCTGCGGTGTTCGTTTTCCTATAGGTCTTTAGGAACGGATACATGAGAAGCGGCCAGTTGGATGCGCCTTCTGCCTGCCCCTTCTGCAGGAAGGAAACACTTTTGAAGCCATCGACTACAGGGATTTGGCTACGGTTGGTACAACTACGCCAACTGCCGCCGTCGCGGCAACGGAAAAGAGGGAAAGTCCGACAGGGAGAGGACGGCAACTTGTTGCCCAACGGGCGCTTCGTGTGATCGGTGCCAATGCACAACAAACGCGTAACGCACCGCGGCATCAAACGGCCCAGGCGAGGCGCGCCTGGACGCGAGAAGAGGTGCGAAGTTGTGAAGGCTCTTAGATCCAAGCGCACACGCTGTTGGCGTGTATGCTTTCTGTAAAGCTGTAACCATTTAACGCACTGGCCTTCGATATTTAGCGAGGTTAGGCGTGTTGCTATTTTCTTTGACCCATCGTGCTGGCGGCTGAAGGAGCTCCAGGGCAATGACCCATCGTGCTGGCGGCTGAAGGAGCTCCAGGGCAATTTGTGCGCGTTGGTTGCATCGCAAGTCGTACTCTTTAATGGGCGCTGCCTGGAACCTGGCATGCAGACGGTAGCCTTGCTGAAAGGTATGAAAAAGTACAACGGCACAGCATGGAAGGCCATACTGGATGACCCGGAGTTTGCCGAGACACTGAGCAGGCGGACTGGGGTGAGTGAATTTGGGGTGCGCTTGGGCCGCGACGATACATATATATAAGGCCATACTGCCGTAGAGACTTATTCGCCACGCTAGAGAGCTGTACCTAAATCCAAGCGCATCCCCGGTGTGGATTTTACTAGCCACCGAATTCCACATTGTGATGCTCACTAGTTCATCTATGGGACGGAAATTAGATCCTGTGTCCTTGCTAAGGGACACATGCTAATTACGGCTATGGCCGCTGTACAACGCAGGTCAACCTTAAGGACCGATGGGTGAATCTGGAGAAGGCGGCGGACCGCAACTTCCAAAACATGAAGATGAAGGTCGCAGAAGATGCCGAGCTACATGACCTGGTGCAGCAAATCCTAGCCGGCCTAGGGAAAATTTAAGCTGCACGCGTGGCTGCCACGATGGCGCAGAACATGGGCTTAACTTCTCGCTTTGCAAAGGGCTGGCGACGGTTTATGTGGATTGGAATGACCTTTAGGTTGCAGCAGGGTTGCAGAAATGGTGAAGAGTGACTGAGGTTAAGCAAGTCCCTGGTGATGGTTTGTCCTTGGTGATGGAGGGTTTCTTCGGTGTCTCAGTGCTGCCCACATTGCATGGCCATTTCCCTAAAAGAAAAGCCAGTCTGTGGTAGTAGACTGTGAGGACAGTGCCTGAACGTGTGCCCATCATGAGCGAGTTGAGCCAGGAGATAATGGGTGTTGTGCACTCATTGTGGGCATGCGATGGGTTATCATATATCTGTCTCGAAACAATTTGCAAACCAGCCAAACATTCCCTTAGGGTTACGTAAGCCAAACCTGTTATATTGCAATGGTTCCCCGTGGCTAGTCAAGCCACGGACAAGAAGGTCGACATAGCTCCACCTTGGTAACCCCAGGACGGCAGGATGGGCTTTTCGCGTCCTTTTCCGTCGGCAAGGGGCACTAAACGTTATTCGTAGGATGACTGCGCCAAATCCTTTACTTACAATGCTGTTACACCTCTCATAGCCCTGCTTACTGTAGCCGGTGACTAACACGTCCCAGACTGACACGTCCCTGACGTGAGAGAAATGCTTGTGTCCCTTAACCGCGGAACCCTACGGAGCAGCTATGGAGGTAGGGTCCGCCGCTGGAAGAGGACGAAGTTTTGCTTGTGGGAACCCAATAGATAAATGTTCCAGTCTGTATTCCAGCGCTTCCCGTCAGACCACTTAATGGTATTGGCATAGTGCAGTTGCAAGCAGTTGCAACCTTAAAACGGGACGTCCACGCTTTCGTGCCGAGTTCTCTTTCCAAATTCCTATTTCCGGCACGAAATACGTGCAGTCTAACTCTAGCTGAAGTGCCTTTTCCTGTTAGAACTCGCATTTCCAATCAAACTGTCGAAAGCTATGCTTAGTAAGGCAGGTTTGCAGTAAGTAGTATGGGCCAAGTTCACAGGTTATGCAGGTTGAGGGAGCACATATAGGGAGTACAGAGTGCCCCGTACTGCCCGCCCAGCATGCAACGCATGCCAAAGTCAGCGGCATCATCTATCACTATCATCTATGTTGGTCCATACGTATCTATCTTGAGCTCGGATTTACGAGTTTTTTTGGTTAAGTTTATTCATCACGTTTATTGACCCTTTCATGATGCTCATAGTCCACGAGTTTATCTGATACAAGAATGAAAAAGGCATAAGTACTCGATATATGATATGCTATTAAGTATTGCTGCTGGTTGCAGTGCACTATTTGACCGGAGTCTACGGTCAGAGAAGTGTCCCAGAACGCATGGGCCCGGAGCCAAAAGATGTTCTGAGAGCCGTCGGCGTGAGTTGAAATATTGACATGGTCCGTAAGAGACCTGCTTGATATCTCGTTAACTGGTCGCAGGCCGTCGCTGTTGACATACCTTCTACGGTCCCTGGGAGCGTGCCACCTGCCAACTGGGAGGGATGGGAAACCGTTCTTGACATATTGGGATTACAGGGTGAGTGCCGTGCGACTGCGGTGGTCCGGGAAGCGGCCCTCCAAGCTGGACAGCAGCAGAGCCCTGGTGCAGACGCACGAACGGAGGAACACCACGGGCAGAGCACCGCGGACGGCCGTGATGGCGCTGGCCGCAGGCTTCAGGTTAGGCCCCACATAACCCTCTAGTCTTTGTCGAATACCGCTGCCAGGAACACGTTATATGGACCGAGTGTGCATCTATTGTGTCCTGAGCGCAGGACCTGCGCGGGTATGCACCCACGGGGCTGGGTACCCGCATCGTGGCTGACAAGAAGGTAACCCCCTCGGTAAGCTGCCGCCAGGCAACGCAGCCACGCACGTGTGTGGCATGCTTCCCACCTTGATCCGAGCTCAATATACCCTACAGACTGTGATGTACCAGCTCCGCTCCCCAATCCTACAAGGAGACCTCGAGATTCGTGCTTGGTTGACCGAAAGAGCCCTGCATGACGTGCTCAAGGACGCTGCCGAGCCCATGCTGGCCAGCTGGCGGGTGCGTTCCGCGCGCTGCATCGTATCTGGGATCCAATGGGCACCGTTACAGCGCATATACCGTCCTTGGGCTGAGCTCTTGACTAATACTATTGGCAAATATCTCAACTCGAAGAGTTTGGACAGTAAGAACTTATGATTCCTTCATGCTTTTGAGGAAACTGGCTACGCAGTTACGGCCGAAATACGTCGGGTATTGCAGACAGCCCCGCCGCTTTAGCGACCTGTTGAAGGATGACTTTCCAAGCAAAAGCACTGGCATGCATGTGCCCTGTCGTTCGGTATGTTTTCGGTGACGTGCAGAGGCCTGACCGCAGCCAGGCGCAGCCCGTTGCGAGCCCCTTCGACCCGGAGGCAGCGAATGCACTTCTTGGTCGTCTACAATCAGGAGCTGGCCGACCGAATGCAGATGGAGCCACGCTACCGGCACGGCGTGCTTCACCCCAGATAGGGAGCCTTCCAGCAGTGTGCTCCACCAGGCAGGCGAACGTGGAACTGGCCGGGCAGCCGGACAACGGCAGGGTCAGGCAGCACGAAGGCTTGGAGGCTGCTCAAGCTCCGGCAACAGTCGATCAGCTGGCGGCTGACGGTGGCCAACCAAGCCCGCGTCCCGGCATGCCAGGTGGGAACGACTGCGGGGCCACGGGCGCCAATCCCCGGGCCCAGCAGGGAGATCAGCGGTCCCCGGAGGAGCCCGGACGAGTGCCACACGAGCAACGGCGGCCCCCACGGCACCGGTCGCCGCCACTTTACGACGATGACCAAGATCTGAACAGCTCCTACTGGTGGGTTTGTGTACAAGGTGGTCAACACGGGTGTACGATAAAAGACCTACGGTGATGGATGTGCCTCTATCAGGGAATGTGCTGTCCGCTCTGGCGAGGGGTACAGTGGTCAGCGGCAGAAAATTGAGCAATCCATTCTTGAACCCGCTGGGTATAGCAGGATTGATGGAATGAAAGCATATCTAAGATGGTTTCCGAACGTTAATCTGTCTTCAGAATGCGGTCGCCTTCTGTAAGCACGGGTTTTGCCTGGGCTTCACATGCAATCCTATGCCCCCTTTCCCGGTGCAATGACAGTCACCCGGCAGCTGCTGCGGCCCTGTTAAGGACCTTCAAGGACGCTTTCGCTCGGGCGTATCAGCGTCAGAAACAACGCATTCAGGAGGAAATCCTCATGGCGCGACACGCAACTCTCTTCGGGGCTGGACGTGACCCTCAGGCTGGACGACAGAGACATGAAGCGGGCGGGCGGCAGCCGGCAGGCGCTGACGTCGAAGACGATAGCTTTGGTGAGGGGACCGTGCGGCCGCAGGCGCAGGGGTTTCGCAACAGTATGGTTGCGCCGGGAGCTGCAGCTGGGAGGACGCAGCCTCCGCATAGAGCCTCCGCTGGCGCGGCTGGCCGGAGTGCGGCGCTGGCCCAGCAGGAAGGCTTGGGAGCGGCCAGAACAGACACGGTGCCGTCGGGCCCGGGGAGGGCGGGCCTCCGTGCAGGTAAACAACAAGAGCAAGGGGAGCATCGGGAGGAGGACATGGAGGGCGAGGAGGAGGAAGGAGGAGGAACGGGCCATCAGAAGCACCTGGACGGCAAGTGCCTTGCTGGGAAACGTGGGGCAGTGGCGAATGGAAACGATGACCTCGGTCGCTTGAGCGATGAGGAGGCGGCAGTGCAGCGGCCACAGAAGCGGCGACGGCGAGTAAGTCTTCCAACACGAGGGAGCCACACGCAAAAGTTGGATCTTAGCCTATGAGCCTCGGTCGCCTCGTGCGGCTGTGACTTACCGTGGCGAAACTCGACCGCGCGTCTTTACAGTCCTAATCCGAATGGGACAGCCGGACTGTACTGCCTTGTAAAGGTCATGTTTCCATTGCGGACACACATAAGAGCGTCCAGGGCACCGTGTTCTTTCCACGCATGTAGCTTTCGATGGGTGAAGTCATCGTATCGTTACGAATTCGCCTCATGGCGCTTGCTGAACCCAACTGCCACACTACCCTTGTGCAGATGTTCCGCAGGGGCGGCGCTGCTGATCTTGCGGCCGATAGTGACGGCCGCGATATCTCCACACCGCAACATGCAGCTCCTCCAGAGCAGCAACCACAGGCCAAGGGCGCACAGCAAGCGCCCAGTCCTGGGCACACCGATGAGATAGACAGTCCCTCGACACCCTACACGTCCGCAACCAGTGCGGGCGTAACAATCTCGTCAACATGGACACCGGCTTCAGATGCAGTCCTGCAGTCCCCAGCTGAAGGGGATCTGAATGATAACAGGGCTCCTTCGGGGGCACAGGGAGAGCCGAGGCGTTACCACGCTGCAATCATCCCGGATGACCGCGCGAAAGCCGCCTGGAAGAAGCTTGGAGAAATCCTACAAGCAGCCAAAACTGCTGCAAGGTATGGTCATCCTGGCCAAGCTGTTGCGCTTCCGCCTCAGAAAGCCGCCGTTGAAGCGGATCCCGCTCAGAAAACGCGACCTTGTACGCTAGTAGGTGTGAATGCTGAGCTGCCAGGAGGCGGCGCAACCCTGCGAGTCAATGCCGATACGTCTGCGGGCAAGGGGTCGGGGTCGGCTGACGGCGAAGCTACGCAGCCTGTAGGGGCTGCACCAGCACACGGGGTGGCCGCGCCGGCAGGTGGGGAGTGCGTGTCCAGGGGCGCCTCCGCTGCGCCCACAGGTGATGGGGTGGGGGTCGAAGCAGGGCTGGCCCGCGGCCAGGCTGACGGCGAGCGTCAAGCAGGGCTCCATGCTGCGCCTGCAGGAGGCGCTGCCGTACCTCCACATAGCACGGCCGCGTTGCCGGGCGGTACTGGTGGCGGTGCATCGGCCAGTCCGCATGCACGCGCGCAGCTGCCTCAATCACCTGTTGGCCGGCACCGGCGTCTGCCAACCTCTCTTTCCCATCGCGGACGGCCACGCACTTTGCAATCAGATGGCGATACTCTGGCATCACCGAACCGCCTGGCCGGCTTGGCCAAAACGGACCAACATATGGACACAGTCACACCTAAACCGCGCCAAGCTGGCAGGCTGCAGCCAAACGCCCAGGTAGCGCCCAGCCCGTCCGGGACGGCAGCGCGAACAGCGAGCCTGAGCGGCCACGTTCCCGAACCTGGATGCTCAGCACGTAGCACGGAAGCGCCTCAGGGCGGCTCACCAGGTGCAGCTGTTGGGGACCCACCTGGCGCGGGCCCTGGCCGCGGCTCAGCCAATCAGAAAGGTCCGGGTTCAGGCGGTGCTGGGCACCAGGCGCCCGATCCCTCCACGCCTTTTAAGGAGGCTATCTGTGGGCAGCGCCAGCGGTTTGATGGACCCACGGCCAGGCAGCGCGAAATGGGCGCGGTGCACGGCACTCAGCCAGACGGCCAAGGGGTTTTGCTGCCAAATGAACACGCTGCAGCAGGGCCGCAACCATTGCCTCACGCTGTGTCCGCGCCAAAGCGGGTCCAAGGGGAGGATAGATCTGCAAGGCAAGATGTTGGAGGTGGTCCGGAGACCTTCGACGGCGTGCAGGAAGACCCACACCACCCATTGCGCGGCTCCCGGGATGCCTGCACAACGAGGGATGAGCGAAACGCGCCGTTGAAGGGTCCTGAAAGGATGTTTGCCTCCCAAGGCATCCAGACCAGCCAGCGATTGCTCGACGATTGGGTGCCAGGCTTGCAGTTTCCGGGTCAGCCTGTCGAACGATCGATCGCAGTGCAAACCTCACAAATTTGTGCTGAGGTGCTAGCACCACAGCCCCCAGCACAACCCCGGCAGAGCCAGCAGACCGGCAGCCTGGGGCCTGGTGGCCCAGAGCAGGGGCCCCTTACGGAAAGCCCTCCTGTCAGTGCCGACGAACAACCCACCAGCCAAGCAGCACAGCGAAACCAGGTCGGCACGGTTGTTGGAGTCCAGGTTGCCAGGTCCGATGGCCGACAAAAGGGTGGTAAGGGTTGTCGGCAAAGGGTGCATGAAAGTCGCCTGGCGGCGTGTGGGCCCTTAGCCGGCGGTGGCGTGCCAGCTGGAACAAGCGGCGCTGCGGCTGCTGCCCTTAGCCCAGTGGCAAGGACGCGGCCTGCGTCCACGGGAAAGTGCACAGGACCAAGACCCGTCAATGAGGACCTCGTTGGGGCGGCGATGTCGACGGCAGCGGCCCCCACGACCGCAAATTGCGTTACGAAGGCCCATGTGAACGTCTCGGGAGCCGCCGTGCAGGATGCAGCTGCTGATACCGGGGCAGCGGCCCCAACCGAGCCCATCCTAGCTGCAGCGTCTATCCAGGAAACCTCAATGGCAGCAGCAGGTGCAGCGCCGTACCTACAACAGCAGCAACAAAAGGCCGCTGGAGCACACTTCGTTGGGTCTGTAACACCAGCGCCGCAGTACGGCCGCCTTGCACGGCGGGGCATTCCCCTTGAGGAAGTGCAGGCGTGGCTGGGACCTGGATGTGCGCCGCTCGTGGCGCCCAGCCTGACACAGGATGTCCTCGATGTCCGGAACGTTGCAGTTGGCATCACCTCGTGGCCAGATGTGACCATGTCGGTCCTGGGACACCTCTACAGCAATCCCTTGCAGCCACTGCCTGCAGGGCCACCGCAGCAGGCGCCTGTCGCTGGTGCTGCTGCCAATAGTGGGGCCCCGTGGCAGGACTGCTGGCTCGGGTGCCATGTCCCACGCAATGTGCAGGACGTGGTCGAGCTTGAAGGCATCCTGCCTATGGCGCGTCAAGTGGTGGGCGGGCCTCCCACTGCTTGCGAGCCAGCTGCGACTCCGGCGGCGGTAGTGGCAACGCTTGTGGACGCCATGCGCCTTGTGGCGGAGCATCGTGCCGACGTCGCCGCCGCGGTGGCGGCTGTGAGCACGAATGGCAGGGCCGATGGAGATCAAGAGGAGCCCGACATGGCGGCAAGGGCTTCCTCGCCGGGTAGCAAAGGGTTGACCGACATGGCGGCAAGGGGCCAGCAAATGCCGGCCAGCAAAACCGGAGAGGTTAATGCCCCGCAGACAATGGGCGTAGCTCTTGATGGACGAGCCGCACGGCCGGCAGCAGTGGGTGATTATGACATGCACCAACGCTCAACTGAGCAGCTGCAAGAGGCGGCGGCGGAGCATCATCTGGGTTCACCTTCTCCGCTGACGCAGGATTTCGATTTTGTGTTGCAGAGCGCACCACCGGACTTTTTCACCCAGCCATTTTAGGGGCGGATCCTCCTTGCAGCTGGGTTGTGACCTTCATTGTGGTCACTTTTGGTTAATAAACTTGGGTTGATTTTATGTACCGTTTCGTGTATACAGTCACGCCCGTGTGCGTAAGTGCGCTTGCATGAATGGTCTTGTCACGTGGTGAAGATGTAATTGTGACAGTGGGGGTCAGGTTGAACTTATCTTGGTGTGGGATGTACCGCACTGTATGAGCTGAGGCTATACCAGCTGCAGCAGGCGGTACTCTTTGGACGTCTTCGTGCTTGGCATTCTCGTTATGGCTGGATACTTGTTGTGTGAAGGCGTCTGTTGCCGTGTTGCGTGATGCATGCGTATCCAGGCCACAGTCTGACCTTGTGGTAAGTACGTCAGGCTAGGGTGCGCGTACCATAGTTAATTCGCCAGGATTTTCTGACCTGCCTCCCATTAGTGAAACTGTGATTGTACTGCTTGCCGTAAAAGGACTGCAATGGCAGCTTCGTTGGCATGGGAGAAGTATTGAGGAAGTCAGTGCATGGCAACCTTCCCGTGTACTGCCAAGTGCCCCATGTACTGTGCGTTTAGGCAGAGGGACTGCGCTGGCAGGCGTACCACGCGTACCGGCTGCATCTTTCTTGTCGGTGTTACATCCGGGGAACAAGCCTTGAGTATGGACACGTGTGCGTACTCATGTGCAGTTACAATTGGCTTCTAGATACAATACGCCCGAAAGGGGCGCTTGGTTGGATGCCATCCGGGCCCAACGTATCAACCCATTATCTTCTTCAGAGGTCTTGAGTACTGGTGGGAGCCGGAAGGTTTAAAGTGAAGAGCGCAACGCGTTGGGCATATATAAGCACAAAGGGTGCCGGGATGCATACGTGCTCATGCATACGTGCTCAGCATACGGTCTTGCAAGTACCTGTCTTGCCCAACGCCCGAGAAGGTTTGGGAAGGTGTTAGGTGTTGAAACGCGCTGGAAATGTTCAGTGCGGATCGCTAAATCAAATAATTCACCGATGATCCGTCGTCATCCGGGTTCTTATTACAGGATCACAAATCGCTTCGCACCTCTTTGCAAGGTCCGTCTCCCTTGGATGCTCCAGTTTGCTCCGAAATCGGACCCATGATTTCCGCCCTCGGTGCACGAGCAGTCTCAGCGAGCAGCACAACTATAAAGGGCTATGAACACCCTACATCCACTGAGAATACGGTAGTGACGGCACAGTACACCACGTGCATGATGCGGCGATGCACCAGAAAACAAGCTCTGGGCACCAGGGCACTGATTGCCCACTACAAACGACAACCTTCACTTTACGCGGCCTGAGGGCCAACTGTAGTGGCGCGACGGGATAACAGTACTTGTATTGAGCTACGGGCCAGGATCTCAGAGCTCGGCACGCTATGTGGCTAACACAGGAAAGAACCGAAGCACCTTAAATGGCGAGGCACTCAAATCCCCAGGCATTGAGCGGCCCCACAGGCACGAAACGGAATCTGGAAATATATCTTCAAAGAGAAAAAATGTAACACATAATTAAACAGCTGAACATAGTGTGTCTATGACAGCATATTCTCCCTGGACACGGGTACTAGGAAACGAAGCTCCGCCCGCCTGGCGGTGTCAGCTGCTAGGCCCCTGCCCAGCTTGCCCACGAATTGGGCCATTCTACATTTCCTGGATAAAAAGACATGGTTCCAAGGAGTGAGCATGATTGACAGAAAAAGAGTGTGACCCTACGACCAACTATGTGAGGTCCACATGCCAGCATAGTGCACGCCCGCAAGCTTTGTTACAACCAGTCGATCGCCAACAATCCGAAACATAAGCATTTCGGCTGTGGAGTTATCCAAGCAATATTTGCGTTTTGCGCTACGGGCGTACGACCGGTGCCCCCTTCTCTTCTTGGCCGATTAGTACATCCCTACCATTGGAACCATGTTTTCTTACGCATCAAACAACGTATCTTGAGCGAACTAGTATCTGGGCCTGCCCTTGGATTGAAAGACCGCAGCTTACAAAGAGCTTCCAAACAAAGTAAGTCGATCTAACGCTACCTCACATAGCTGCTTTCGTTCTGCAGAACCTGCCTATTTGTAAGCTTGCTACTGAGAATGTTTGCATGGAATCCTGACTGCGTTGGGCGTGCTTTACAGTGGTTCAAGTTTAGAATGTTCTCGCGACTTAGGCACCGGAGCTCGTCGATTCCTAGTCCCGTAGGCTAAATTGCTTGCCTTCCTTAATGGCCCGGAACCCATTCCCATTTGGTTGTCCTGCCTCTTACAGGGAATGTCCCGCGGCAACCGACGCGACGTGGACCGTGCTCGCGCACAGAAGCGCGCTGAGAAGAACGGCAACAAAAACAATCAGGATGGTTTGACACCTGAGCAACGTCGCGAGCGGGATGCCAAGGCGCTTGCTGAGAAGCTGGCCAAGAAGGCAGCGGCTACTGGGGACAGTAAATAGAAAGTTGACTGAGGATTTTTATCAAGATGGCACTTACCTTAATAATAGCTGCTATAGGAAGCTGAAGAATTGGCTTCACGCGATGCTGTCATAGATATGCTTATTGACCTGCGGATATCGAAGGTGCACTCGGAGGTTATTGATTACCTGTAAATTATGGACGAGGGACGGTTTTTCACTTTACTTGGCAGTGTGTTCGCACTTGCTGACTTGTAACGGAAGCTTATGCGCTTGTGGTATTCTGTTCTCTCTGGACTATCGGGGCTTGTTTCGAAGGATTTGTATGAGCGAGATCCAGGCAACCTTGAGATCAAGCGCTTTAGACATCAATGACCTACTATCGACCGGAAGGCGTATGCCCCTTGCGTTGAGAAGGGCGGGGTTACATTTCAACCCCTTTGCCAAGCACAGCCGTCTGAAGCCGTACAGCGAAAGGGTGCACAAAACAACTACTTATGCCGCTCCTAACAAGCTGCGCAAAGCTTTAGTTCCCTAGTGTTGCTACAGCAATGCACGCAATCACATTGCTCATCTGTAGGACATTTCATTCCCTTGATGTGAGGGTCAAAGGTGTAACTGGATTGATGAATCCTCTGACCTCATTTCTTTCATCTGGTAAGGCTGGGGGACAGATCAGGCTGTGGCCTCGTCCAGCAGCATTTAGTTGCACATCTGCTCTATTCCGTTAGTAGGGAAACCGCTCCAAGCTCGACAGCACATTAAACACCAATTTGTACATGACGGCTCCGTGCACAACTTTTCATGAAACGGCAATATATAGGATAGCGAACTCCTTTTCGCATCGACAAGCCGCTTCGCTGACGACTACATTCCACGACGAGTCATACCCCACGGGGGCGTACGACATCTTACATATTGCCACCATTATCAATGCGTATCCCCAGCTCTCAAGCCAATAAGATTCGCGCGGTTGACCACATGGTCAACATTGTTAAAGCGCAACGCTGAAAGCTTTCCCAGCAAACCTGGTTACATTCGCCCTGCAAAGTTGATGCACGGCAATATTCCGAGATCACATAAAGGCGTACAAACCCACCCCCGATCAAAGCAGCCACGCGACCAATATGAAGTCAAATGTGCCAGGAAAAAGCACAAGAACCAACGCAACATCAGGGAAAGCTGAGGACATGCTCAAGTCGGTGCACGTCAATCCGCAGCTTCTGCCTAAGCAAGGTGGCCCCGATTATTATCCCCTGCATTTCAGACAAATAAGAAGGCCGACCGTCGCACGCGACATCCACGCCGCAAATCAGTCACAAAATGTCACAATAAGCCTCCTACCTGCGTACTATCCACAGAAGCTAGCTGAGGTGCTGATGCGGACACGATATCGTTTGGGGACCGCACCCAGTTCACAAGCCTGCTCACTCTTTTGAAGCCGCCTGCGCAGCCTGCTCAGACTTCTTTCCCGCAGGCACATCCGCATTCGCGTGGGCCCGTTGAGCTGAAAGGACCCCTGCTGAGGGCAAGGCCGAGGGTGAAGGAGGCCCTGCTGCCCTGGACGGTGACGCCGGTCGGCCTGAGGCAGCCGCGCCAACCGCCGCCAGCGGCGGCAGCGACGCCATGGCCGCGGTCGCGCTGGTCAGAGGCGACAGACGGCCGCCGTGGCCCTGCTGCTGCTGCTGGTGCTGCTGCGGTGGCGGCCCCGCCTTGGCAATCTCCGTCAGCAGCTCCTTTCGGAGAGCGACCAGGTCCTTCCTTAGCAGTGTCCCCACCTGCTCCGCCAGCAGCTGCACGGTGTGCTCATCCAGAACCGCCGCCGACCCTCCACCGCTACCATTGCCCCGTCCTGCGCTATACCCTGGATCCGGCTCCTTCGCTGGCCCCGCCTCACCACAGCTCTCAGCCCGAGTCCCAGTCTCAGCTGTAGCAGCGGCTTCCAGCGATATGTCAGGCAAGTTATGGGGAGCAACCTCAGCTGCAGCTGCCGCCGTGGCGGCTGCAGTTGCCGTCGTCATCACACTTTCCACGGTTGTTAATACCTTGCCCACCTCCCTCCGCAGCAAGTCCGCGGTGGCACGGGACTGTGCGGTGATGTGGCGCTTCATCTCGCCCAGGCGGCCGTTCCACTGCCCGTCATCATCCTCGTCCTCGCCGCCGTCGTCGTCATCTTCCTCATCCTCATCATCCTCGTCGCCAGCGGCTTCCGTACGGCGAGCATACTCAGGCTGCATGCCGGTAGGTGTACGTGCAGATGTTGTTTGCCAAAAGAGGCAAGCCAAACGCGATAATGGGGTTGAATGGAACATATCATCAGGAGACATAGGATGGAGGATCCTCTCCTCCTACAATGCGCGTTTAGGATAAGCCCCTCGCACCCTACTGGTTGTTCACGGTGCTACTTCCTCCTACAGCGTCTAACACTTCGTTACGAGAGCTCCATCTGTAACCCGTGAACTGTTTGTTCACCCAACCATAGCCAGAGTCAAGTGGACCCCCCCATGTGGGTGCACTCCAGGCGCTCTGTCTGGCAACTCGGGCCTCTGGTCGGGCCTCACGCATCGCCCGGTAGGATGACGACTCACCGCAATAACATACAAGTAGCGCTTGCCGTTGTCAACTTGACGCTGTCCCGTGCTGTCCCCGGCGGAGGGCGGTGTAAGGGTGGTGTAGAGCCAGTCCAGGAAGAACGCCCACAGCTGCGTTTCACACTCCACCACCAACAGCGCCTTGTTGCGCAGCGACTCCCACCTCTCATTCTCGCGGATGCGCTCATACGACTCGGAGATGATGGAGATGAGCAGGTTCAGCAAAATGATGGTTACCTAGGGAAGGGTCACGAAGGGAGGAAGCAGCCGAACAGAGAGAGGGGGGGATGGAGAGAGGGAGAGCACTTGGGAAGGGGTGATAAGGCGCAGGGAGACAACAGCAGCAGCAGCAGCAGCAGCCCCAAGGGCCGCTTCGAAACGTGGCGTCCTTTGCAAAGAGGTGATCTCCCACACCCAAGTGAACCTCTCTTATCAGGCCACAAAAGGTTTATCATCCAATACTACCCATATAAAAACAGTGTAGCAGCCTCAAGAGTCATGCAGCCACTTTTCCGTTGTCGCTAGCGCCTGCTCCCCCAGCACCGCAGCAGGCATCGCGAGCGGCTTTGGAAGTGGGGCCCCGCTTTCTAAGCACGTTGCGAACCTTCTACAGCCTCGAGGGGTACTGCAGGGGATCTGCAGTGGGCCGGACCTGGTTGGAAAGTGACGAGTTCCGAAGTCCGCAAAGTGGCCCCACCCCCACCCCCCACTTTTCCCGGGGCCGGGTGTCGTCAGGTCTGTCAACAAACCAGTGAGCGCACTCGACGCTGCAAAAAAGGCGGATGGGGGAACTAATGCCAGCTACTGCCCTGAACTCTTTCCCCTTTGTTCCGTGGCGCGGCGCCACCCACCAGGATCATGTAGACGGAAGCGATAACGCGGGTCAGCGCATCCAGGCCCAATGCGCCCGATTCTGTAGCGCATTGGTGGCAAGAGAGGGCCGGGGTAGACGGGACATTGTAACAGTGGCAGCAACACTGGAAGCAGGAGCGGGAAGAGGAGGGGATTTAGAAAAAGGAGCAGGAGGTGGCAACAGGAGGACGATGGAGGGCCGCAAGGAGAGCAGGGCACGGAGAGCAGCAGAAGCTTCTCGCGGTTCCTACGGCACTGCAGGTAGCAGCGACATGCATTCGCAGTGGTGAGGTTGGGAAGCCGGGAGCGTGGCATGGCGCGGGTGAAGCGGGTAAAAGGGCGGCAGCCGCCTGCTTGGACGTGGAGCGCAACCTGTAAAGGGCATAGAGGAGGGTGGCGAGATGAGCGTGCTCGCACTGGTCAACGGAGCCGACCGAGGACAAAGCAGTGGTGCGGTGAACGCAACCGCCGCCGACTAAAGTCCGGCTGGGGCCCCACCTATATCTGACAGGAAGTTGACGTCAAAGTCGCCGTACATCATGGTAAACAATTTTATGAACGTCTGCTCCTCGTTGGCCAGGCTGCCCTGTGGAGCGGTGCCAGGTGGGGGGGAGGGACGCGAGTCAGGCGAGGTGAGCTCGTCGACACGGTAGCAGGGTATATTCCCATCCGGGCGTATATGTGTGCATCTGTTTAGTGCCGGAGCTGCGAAACGATGTGGCCACCACGCGCATGTGTGGTGGTGGTGGGGGGGGGGGGAAAGAGGAGGGGATGAAGCCACATCATCCGCAAGCGCACCCACCTACCACGCCAACCCACACATTTACAAGCAGCCCATCCGCGCGCATTCCCTCACTCCCTCTTATCACGCATATACACACTTGACACCCCGACACACCCTCGCACCTGGGAGACGATCATAGCGAGTGCGAAGCCCACGAACACCACACCCAGGAACGCAAAGAACATCACCAGGTCGTAGGTCGTTTCCAGCACCATCCTGCAACACCGCCGCGATCGGGACCGAGGGAACGCGGGTGGGGGCCATCATACCACACCACACCACATCACACCATTGCAGAATCTACCGCATGACAAAACAAATGTCAAGGTCAAGGTCAAGCTGCTGTCCATCTTACTGGTAGGCGCACACAGGTCTGTGGCATCTAGGCCAACAGTGGCACACCTGTCTGTCCTGTCCGGCCGCTACCATCGCCCGAACCCCTACTCCACCCATACGGGCTGACTACACCAACCTAGCCAACGCAGCCGCCGACCGTTCCTTCCTCCCTTACCATAATTCCCATTTCAGCAACGCTAAGAACGCGGTTTGGCACCCCTTGCGGAGAGGCTCTCCAGCGGCCCCAGCTCCACAGCAAGACCCAACCGTACCACTCCCCCGCGCTCCACCCGCTGCTCCCGCTAAGCCCCCAAGAGACCTAAGCCCTTTCCTGCCTCTACTGCTGAAAAGGTAGGAGATCCACCCAGCCCCTCGGTTCCGTACCGCCCTTTGCCGCCCATGAGTCCTATCCAAAACGACGGGCCCCTCCCCGTCCACCTCAGGCCCCCCACCTCACGAAGGAGCCCAGCTTATCCGACGCCATGGCGTAGTAGAGCAGTCGCATGAACAGCAGCACGATCTGCACGGACGCCAGCCCCCGCAGCGTGAGTGGGCTGACATCCAAGGTGCATGAGAAGTGCAGCGCCACGGAGGCCACCACCAGGCTGACACTGCACACGTCCAACACGTCCCACATGTGGGTGAAGAACAGCAGCCCGAAGTGCCGGATCTGCGGGAGGGTTGGTGAAGAAGGGGGGGAGAGAGAAGGGGGACGAGCGGTGGGGGCCCGGCAGCGAGCCAAGGGAGAGGGCAATACCGGGGCACCGAGTAGGTCGCTCACGGTGGACGGCACGGGGCAGGCAATTCGTGGAAGCCCCGTCGCCTATCTGCCAAGGTCCACACCCCTCCCCTCATGTCTACACACCCATCCATCCACATGCGTGCGCACACAGATACACATACACACACGTGCGCACACACACACGCGCACAGATACACACACCTGTCGTAGCTCCTGCACCAGGAAGTCCACCGTCATAACCGCCAGCACGATGAGCAGTCCCGTCTGGGTGGCGGAGGGGGCCTCCAGCCGGCAGCCCCGGGTGTGGGCCCCCGGGCCGCTGTCCCGGCCCTCCACCAACTCCATGTCCTTGATGGTGAAGGCGTACGCCAGGAACACCGCCATGTAGCTGATGTGCAGCAGCAACTGGGCGGGCAAAGATAGGAGCAGCCGTAGCAGCAGTTTGTGTGTGTGCATGTCTCTGGGTCACAATTAGAAGGTAGCACAGCCAGACGAGCAAATGCTGTCATGTATAGAACGCAGCTAGAGAGCTCGGAGGGGTCGATACGCTACGGCGATAGGTGATGGAAGGTTAGTGGTGAGGCGGGACTGGAAAGTTATTTTCACGAGTTGCAAGAGGGTGCACGCAATAGGCCAGGTTTACCAAGGGGATTATCCCCTTTAGTTTTTGTCACGACACACGCACACACATACATACACGCACACACATACCTGCAGTATGATAAAGTACTTGGTGAAGTAGTTCCACTTGAACAGAATGAGCGCCCTGAGCACCTTGGAACCGAACACAGAGGGGTGCAGCCCCGGGACATTGAGCAGCTTCTCCAGCAGGGCCGTGTCCAGCTGCCTAGACCGCCCACCGCCACCAGCGCCAGGTCCCGAGCCCGGACTCTGGCTCTGAGCAGCTCGATACCGGCTGGTGTACGTGATGGGCATGGGAACCTGGCGACAGAGGCGGAGATAGCGAGGTAGTGGTGATCATGGCCGTAATCATACATACATACATACATACATACATACATACATACATACATACATACATACATACATACATACATACATACATACATACATACACATTTACAAACATATATCTACATATATATACACACACCTTCCGGCAAGATATGCTCGCTGCACCGCGGCCCCATCCCACCGCCTTGTCTATGAGCGCGTTGTGGCCATGCGCGAAGAAGGTCCGCCAGATGCCCCGACCCAGCTGACGAGTGAAGTTGCCGTCGTCCCTATGACCATCACCATCACCATCATCCTCGTCCACGTCGCCGCCATCGCCGCCGCCGGCCTTGGTTACTGCGGCGGCGCCGCTGCCGACACCACCGGGCGCGTGGCGCATCGTTGCGATGCGGCCGCCAATGCCTGTGGGCGAGTGCATAACGGGCCCCACAGCGGCACGCCGGCCGCGGATGCGGTACGCCAGCTGCCGTACAGCAGGGAACTGCACCGCCATAAACGCCCAGATCCGATACAAGATGCCGTAATACAGGATCCGTACCACGGCCACCACGCTCCTCGTCGCTACGCCCACCACCGCCAGCAGCACCCAAAACACGACTGCTACGGCGCAGCTGCCGGGGCCCTGCCACAGGAACGCGGCCACGGCGCAGCGCAGCACGCGCAGCAGCTGTCGTGTGGCCGGGCTGGCAAACTCTGCCGGCCAGAAGAGGAAGAGCAGCGCCAGCCAGGTGCGCGGGAGCACAAGCAGGGAGGCCTCGATGGAGGCGTCGGCCTCGCGCTGCGTAGCGAAGTGCTCCGCATCCTGGGTGGAGCCGGTGCCGCCGCCCTGACGGAACTCGTGCGCGTCCTTGTCGCTGACGGCCACGGTAGTGAAGCCCGGGGGCAGGCCAAAGCTGCGAGGGGGAGGGGACGGGATGGGGGAGAAATGCCACACAAATAGCAAATGAGGAGTAGTCAACTGCCATCATGTCCAAAGTACTAAACTGCTGTAGGATTCCCAAAGAGGAGAGGGGTTGCGAGGGAAGGTTAAGATATGGGCAGGGTAGGCATGGGCAGCCTCTGTGCCTCACCCCCTCTCTCTCTCTCCCTCTCCCTCTCTTTCCCTTCCTCCCTAGTAACCCAACCCAGATGTGACCATATCGGCGTTTGCGTAGCCCCCTTCAACCGCCCGGCTCTCCACGCCAGCGTGCGAACTTCCCCGGGGGAAAGGAGGTCAATATGCAACACCAACAACCCCCCCTGACATTCCTCTCGGCATCCCAGTCCCCCGGCCCCGGCCCCGCCCCCGCCTCCGAAACCCAGTGGCACCCCCTCCCCTAGGAGCCACTCACGGCAGCACATTGTCCTCCAAGTCCACCTCCTGCAGGGGAATGGCCCCCAGCAGGGACGCACACTGGTGCGGGAACGTCTCTGCCAGGTCGTTCAACATGGCCAGGTCTATGGCAGGCCAGGCACGTACCGCCCGGATGCACGCAATGGCATCCGACACCGTCGACAAGCTGCCAGAGTGAACCGCCAGGTGACACGCCTGCACCGCCAGAAGGTGCAGCTTGCGGTACCGAGCCGACCGCAGCTCCTCTGCCGCACGCTGGCGTTCCCGCTCCGCCTCAGCCTCAGCGGCCGCCTCCTCCTCATCATCCTCTTCCCCCTGCTGCAGTCCTGCCAAGACCCCGTCCGCCAAAGGGGGCGGCAAGGGGAGTTCCGCGGAGGCGCCGGCGCCGGACGACTGGCTGCGGGCAGCGGCCGCGGCTGCGGCAGCAGCGCGCACAGCCTGCTGGACCTCCCGCTTGCCTGCCAGTACAACATGCAGCATGGCCAGCGCCAGCGGTTTGCAGGCGGCAGCGCGGGGAAACAGCTCCCGGACCATCGCCCATTTGGAGGGCTCCAGCTCCACGTGGTCGCTGTCGTCGTCAAGCAGCCGGCCGCGAGTCGCGATGTCCACGCTGCCACACGCCACGGACGCCGCCGCTGCCGGCACCCCGGGAGCCACCACCACAACCCTCCTCTCCCGGTCATTCTCCAGCTTGCCTGATTGCGGAGGCGCCTCGCCCTCGGCTCCCCCACCGCCATCAGCAGCGCCGGGGGCGGCGGCGTCGGCCGCTGCCACCGCTAAGCTGAAAGACGGCGGCGCCGCCGGACGCGGCGGCGCCGCCGCTCCTGCCGTCCCCCCCGTCATCTGCACGGACAACGTGAGCTCCTTATCGTCGCGCAGAATGAGGGTCTCGATGACTTTATGTGCAATGAGCACTGCACGCGCACAGCTGCACTTGAAGTCCAGCCAGTCTATGGTGTGCGCCTTGGCCCCTGACCGCACGGGCTGCAGGGGCCGGTAGCGGGTGTAGCCCAGCCAGGCGGTCCGCAGGCGGCGGATGATGTCCAGCTCGTACAGCCCCGTGTCGGCGGCGGAGCGGCGGTACAGCAGCTGGGCGACCAGCTCGTAGTGACCCGACATGCAGGCGCCCTTAAAAAGGGGGGAACGGAAAGGAGGGGAATCAATATGGAATAAGATGACGGAAAGATGACAGGGTCAAAGGGGTGTGGAACGGAGCGGCTGGCGAGGAAACCCTGAGAAGTGGGACCCCACTTGAGACGCACGTCCGTCCGCCCACCTGCAGCAGCCAGCCTGCCAACGGTGTATTCGGCCTCCGCAACCGCACTGCATCCAGGAGCCTGACAGCCAGCCTCGCCAGAGCCTCCGGCATCGTCGTGCCGGCCTCCCTCGCCGAACCCTCCACCAGCGCCGCTACGTCCGCAATGCTGCGCGTGTGGCTCCGTGGGTCACACGGCGATTGGCTGCCCTTGACCCCCTCATCTAGCACCGCCGGCTGGTAGGCCGCGAACGTGAACGCCAGCTCCTGCAACTGGCAGTCCTCCACTCCCGCCAACCCCTCTCCGCAGCCACCCGACGTCCCCGCATCCCCAAGCAGCTGTTCCGCGGCCTGGATGCGCTCCTCCAGTATCCTTGCCACGTCCTTGCGGCTGCACGGCTGCAGACACTTGGACAGCAGGCCCGCTACGGGCCCCAGTGCGCGGGTGTTTTCCGCGGCGCGGCGCGCCAGCGCGGAGGCGGATTCAGGTGGGTCGGAGGGACTGATCTGGGTCAGATCGACGGCGGCGGTTGTGATAGCGGCGGCGGCGGGGGAGCCAGCTGCGGAGCCGCCGTGCGCGAGCTGGTAGTTTCTAACGATGCAGACCTCGATGTTGGCGAGCAGGACGGCCTGGCGAAGAGCATCGCGAAGGCGGGCGACAGGGTCTGGTAGCGGAGTAGTGCAACCGGAGGTGGTGGCGGTGGCTGCTCTGGAGGGCGAGGAAGCTGTGGTATCGGGGACCTCGTGGATAAGGAAATAGGAGCGGGCGTTGAGGTCCACCAGCGTAAACTACAGTGTAGGGGGAGGGGAGGGGGAGGGCGGGTAGCGGTAGGAGGGCAGAGGGGACAGTACATGAGCAGAAGGGGAGGGGCCACCGATGCGGTAGCACGTAACGGACGTCGTACTCGCGCTCGTTATCTGAGTACGGAACTACAGACACCTCCAGGACAACTGCCCTTACCTTGTACGGTACTTCATAGCTCGCCACGTCCGAGGGCAAAGACGACAAACTCCTATTCGTCTCCCGCGACGGCAGGGCCACTGCTGATGTCGGAGTGTAAACGCCGCCAGGAAGCCCAACCTCCTCTGTAGGAGGAGGCAGCCCAGTGCGCTCGCCGGACTCAGCTATAGCCGCTACACTGCGGACGCTTGGTGCTAGTGAAATATGCCTAGATGAGCTGGACATTCTCCTTCGATAACGCCGTTACGGGCCATACGCGTACTTAGGTTAACATAGGGAATAAGACGTGAGACAACAGCCTGGTTAACACATCTGGAGGAACAAGGCACCCCTACGGGACAACACTCCAGAGCGTCAATGTGAGGAAAATTATGCTCCAGCACGTAGAGAATTTTTGCAAGTTTATTTTCGCTGGCTGAGCGGTTAACGGCAAATGCACTTTCCTTTGTAAGTTCCATCGCAAAATCGGCCCTTCACGGCTGACTGAGTACGGCTTTCAGCGGCGCTTCTACAGTTAAGACGATCTTCACCAGGCGCTCCGCACATCCCAGCATCACCATTATAACAGGAGATAAGTACTATTAGACGCAACCCATTCAAGTGGCATGGTGCTGCACTTCAACACTCCATGGCAAAGTCAAGGCACTTGTATAACAACAGCGGTGTGTTAGGATATAGCAAACCCTTCTGACAACCTTTCAACGCCATGGAGACAGCGGGGAGCAAAAACTCCTAACGACAACCCACAACACCTTCAGATGCCACCTTTGCCTTGCAGCCTCAACCCTCGGCCAGTTCACACGCAAGCAAGTCACCAGGGTTTCAGCAAGCCAAGAATCAACTTTACACCATCCAAATTGGCGAACTAGTACCAAAACGGCTTTCAGGTTGCCCAAGCATACCTGCGCTTGACGTGCTCAGAGACACCCACTGCTCGGCGGTCCTCGCGCCAAGTACGACTGCCATTCTAGAAGACGCACCCGCGGGTTGCACGTGCTATCGTAAACGTCGCCCAACCTGGCCCATTCGATGCTCGCCCTGGCAGCCGGAACTTCGTCTTCACGCTCACACAGAAGCGCGATGGGCTTGCCAACCGGCACCTCCTCGCCCTCCGCTGCCAGCAGTCGGGCCACAAAACCCTCTTCCTGAGACTCCACAAGGAGAGCCACCTGGCAGCCCATAAGCAAAGGCAAGTCCGTTGGTAAAGGGAACAAGGGTGAGTAAACAAAGATGCAGCTGGCTGCGCAAAGCAGGCGCCTTACGCAGCCCGGTTGCGGAAAGGGCTGCTTCCCCTGCAGCTGGAGGTTCCGGGAACGGGGTTCCGGGAACGGGGAGCAGGTGCATCCATGACGCTTACCTTGCCGGCAAATTGATCCAACCGGTAGGCCTCCTCCACAAGGGTTTCCGTCTCCACGGTGAGCAGTACGTCGTAAGTGTTGACTGAGGCTCCTTCTTCCACATGCCACTTGGCTATTCGGCCGGACGTCATCGCGTGCGAAAGCTTGGGCATGGGCAGGACGATTACACCGTGCTCTGCGCCATCACAACGCCTATCACCGTGCTGGTCCGCGTCGTCCTTTTCGGGGCCGCTCTTTTCACCTCTGACCATCTGGTTTCCTAACAATTGTCCATCTAGCCAAGGCCTGGATACCAGAGCGCATATCGGTAGGCCATCCTTTCGACCTGGACTGCACAAAGTTCCAACCCAACTTCGCAAGGGGCTACGCATCGCCAACTGCCGCACAGCCATCCATGCAATATGTGTAACGCCTATCAAGATATGTTCTTACAGTATGGAATAACCATCAGTCGGTTTATCGTTGGCCACTAAAACACCGTCTTGCGCATCGATCAATCCTGGATGTCTGCTATGGACAGTGTCAAGTCCTTTCTAGCAGCTGGAACAACTCCACCCTTGGTATGAAATGATTCTGGCTCGTGCCATGTAGTACGGGCTCCTTCCCGGCAAGTCAATACCGTCTTACGTTGGTACATACAGGACGCAGCAAAAGTTCAATATATTTGAAATGTTTAATAACATCAAAGGTATACTGCTCGGGCCTGTAGGGTTTGTGGGGCATCATGAGACCGCACCCGCTTAGACACTCGTCGCCTTCACAACCTCAGCGTGGCTTCCGAGCAATTCGTAGCTGGTCACAGCATAGCGACTGGGTCTTGTACTGGAATCGGGCCCTGACAGCTCCCGCCGCCACTGGTGGGACCTCCCCAGCTACCACCAACCCGCAATACGCTTCCCCATCACCCGACGCTACAGTTCCACCGATTCCGAAATCCGTCCAGCAGAAATTGACATCTGCCCGTTGCAGCTGGCTGGACAGATGCCTGGATTCGCCTTTGGTCGACCCGGCCACCAACTCTCGCGTGCATGTGTACGGCAACGTACATTTCGCGCCCTTCGGTGGCCCGGTCGGCCTGGCTGACCTGTACCATTTGCTGGACCGCGTACAGCCGACGGTACTGGCTATTGAGCAGCCATACGACCTTGGTATGCAGGCTGGACTGCCATACCCCGATGTCATCCACCATCTCACAGCCCTCTGCCCCGGCGAGGCACCGCAGCCCGACGACAGCACTCCCGGGATCGACGACCTCAGACTCGGAACGCAGCACCCGCCTTTCGAAATGGGAGCATCACCACGTGACGCCAAAGGGGCACCAGCAGCAACCATACGGCCAGAGCAGGTGGAAAGGTTGCGGACACTGCTGCCGGGACTTGCACAGCAGGCCCGTATCGGCCGCGACTTGCTGGATCCATTTGAGGTGCTTGGGCTGTACGGCGGGTGCGACTACGTGACCCGGCCCAGCCAGCTGGTCGAGGCTCTGGCGCTATTTGGTTACCTGCCGGGCTTGGAATATGCGGCGCTGGTGTCGGCGGCGCAGCAGCGGGGTGTGCAGGTAAGCCGGGGACACTGCGCGACGAGGCGATGTGAGCCCTAAGGCACCTTCATGGCCGGAACACTGGTCTGCCCGCTTCTCGCTGGGTATATTACCGGGGGGTTACTGGACTGAAATTTGACATCAATCAATGCCTTGCACTGGTTAGGGCAGAGCCATCACACATAAAGCACCGTGCGCCCCGTGTGGCTCAGGGGTTGCTCACAGGCCAGTGATAGTAAGGCAGGGGCCAGAGACGATGCTTTCCCTCCAATCATCGGTGCCAGTCGGCTTAGGCGGCCCTGGTGGACCTTAACATTGCTGTGATCAAGTCGACAACTTGGCAACATAGCTGGCAGGCTCCTGCATGCGCTTCCTCACCGTGATACGCACCGTCGAACACAGCACCTGCTGGGGAGCTGTCACAGTCCGCCAGTTCTTCTGGCGAGCCTTGTTGAGCCGTCCAGCTCCCCACCTCCTCACCTCGTTCGTGGTTCGTCTTTCCCCCACCTCGCCTTCCCTGCCGTTACATGCCAGCACCCAGCATTGTCAACAGGTCAAACCCATCACCTCGCCCACCCGCCCACCACCGCACTTCCAAAACCAAACGGCCCTATCCAGGTGTACAGTGTGGATGCGCCTTTACGGCTTCAGGAAAAGTGGGTGTCGCAGCTGGTGTCGGACTTCACCCTGCAGGAGACCGACCTGATGCGCCGCCTGCAGCATGACCTGGCCCGCGCACAGGCCCTCCTGCCCGCAGAGTACCTCGCCTGGGACGTGGCGCTGGCAGAGGCCCTGCAGCGGATTGACAGCCGCAGCCAGCGCGTAGAGGCGGGAGAGGGCGGTGGCGCGGGTGGGAAGAGTCCAGGGAAGGGCCCCTCAGACAGCAGGGAACCATCGCTGGGCATCCTCACGGGCTTCAAGGTGTCCAGGGCCGTAGCGGCGGCGACGGTACCGTACGAGGCCTCCAGGGAGGCTTTCGGTCTGCAGGCGGCGCTGCAGCCGCTCAAGTTTGCGCTGTTCGCCAGGCGGGCTAAGCACCTGGTGTTGCAGGTATACAACCTTTCAAGGCGGAGGGAAATGGGCTGGCAGCGGCGAGTGATGGGGGTCGGAGTAGGAGCGTAGGACGTGGGGACGGTGGGGTGTTTGCCTGGGAGGGTATTGAATTAGCTTAGCCCCCATTTTGCCTGTTTTGTTTATGCACGCTGGCCCCTGGGCTGGCGCTTCGGTATATGCGCCCGGAGAGTCAGTGCGTGAAATCTAGGGTGGGGGGCCGTGCATGCCGTAGACTGGGAACGTGTGCAGGCAGCCTGGTGTATCAGCGCACTTTCATTGGGTCAGCAACCTTGCCGAATGGGCAATCGGTGCTTGCTCGGTTGCTGCGGAGCTGACTCCTGAACAACCAAGCGGTCTCTTAGCGCAGTGAGGTTGGCAGCACGCCAGGCTTGCCTCTGCTCCTGCTCCACCTTCCACTCCGCCGCAACGCATGCAGATACGGGACCTGTGTCAGAGGATGTCGGTGCGCCAAGTGCGGGTGGACGCAGACAAGTTCAAGGGCATTGCTGCTGCCGCTGCTGCTGCAGCTGGGCAAGCAGGCGGGCGTAAAGGAGCTTCGCTGTCGTCATCGTCATCGTCGTCGCCTATGGAGGAAGATGTGGCACTTGTCGACGCTTCAGAGCAGCCGGAGAAGGTGGTGCTTGCCGTGGTCGGCAGGCAGTACGTGCCGTACATAGAAGAGCTGTGGGCAAATGAGCGGTCTGCCCTGTGGCACGGCGACGTACGGCGCACGTTTGCGCGGTCCATGCTGGACCAGCGCGGGAGCAGTTCATAAGTTTCTGTTGTATGCCCATCATGATGGATGAGGTGGCGAGGTGGGTGACAGCAATTTGTATATTTCAGCAGGCGCGGTGTGGCAGTGGAAAGGGAGAGGGCTGAAGCAGTTGAGATATGCTGCAGCCCATGTTGCATGCTGAGCATTGCTGGCTTCGTTGGTGATGCGGTAAGTGCAGCGTTTGCTTGTCAGCCTTGCAGGCCCTGACCATGGGGGCGCGAGTGTCGCGGTGAGCGGCTTCGGCTAGGAGCTTGTTGGGCAAGATTGGTGACCAGCGGAATGTTGATACAGTATTTGACCAACAGGAACTTCCTGGAACTTTCCGATTCATAAGAATTATTTCTCATTCAAAAACCTACTAGGCATTGATCCTGACCCGGTCAGCCACTTCCTGGGATCACGCCCGCCATGTGCCGACCAAGCCCGCTATCTAGCGCAATAACCACTGGATACTCTAGACAATACATGCGTGATCGTCACCCAGTGTCCGCCCCGAGAGCTAGATGCGGAAAGCGCCCTAGCCATGTGCGAATCGAGTCGGATGACTGGGCCGACAGGGTTTCCCAGAATGGAAGGCTTGCAGACGTGCCGCCTTCCTCTTCGGCCTGTACGGACATATGATGCTAAGGTACGGTGTTGAGCTTGAGCATGTAGTCGCTTTCACTTAGAACAGACATCCAAGTAAAAAAATGCCGCAGAAACGCAGCTTCACAGATCTGGTGTTCGACTACTAACAAGCGCACGCCAACAGACAACTAACGGTCTTGATATCGAGGAGGCTTGCTAGTCCTTCAACTAGGATGACCCGTTTATGTTTCAGTGCTGTAGGCTTGGGGTCGTGCAGCCACGCTGTCGCAAGGGGAAGGGCGCCGACGCAAAAGGCAGGCTTTGTCTGTAGAAGTCGCCACAATGAATATGTTCGCAAACTTCGGAGATTGCAAATTCTACATTATGCACAAGTCCAAGGCAGTACATCTGCCGCCGGCAATGGCAGCGCAAAAGACGATGTGTCAAGGAGATACAATGTAAGTTCAATATTGCGCTCTTGCAAATTCAGCCAGCATCAAGAGAAAGCTGGCTCTGTGTCTATTACAGGTTATGCTCGCACTTGTGGCGCGATTTTTAGCTCTTCCGGACAAGAGACAGTTGCATAGTTTCCTTACCGCAAAGCCAGAGGCCGTATCGGTCTCCTTTCTATCTTGGCTTGCTGACCAAGAGGCTAACGCAGTAGGCGAACAGAAGAAGGTGAGCTGTTTCGGGTGTCTAGGAATTTGTCGCTGTTAACCACCACAACTGACAAATGTCGCCGCGTTTGCAGGTCTTATCCGGCATTTGTGAGGTGCTTGTCCGCTTTCGTGAGCAGCTGGGTAAGGATAGTGATTAATGATTGACGTCTATTGGGTTGGTATATATAAACCCTGTCATGCGTGCAGCGGCAGGACCGCCAACGTCCCCACTGTCACCCAGTCATCAAACTCCCGAGTCACGGGCACGCTATTTGCTGCGTAGAAGGGGTCCATGTATTAATACGTTAATAAGAGAAACACACTTTCATATGCGGTGGTGCCACGCTTCCGTCGTCTCCGAAACCAAGGTAAGACAAAGGTCAACTCAAAGGAAACAGAAATCCTTAACATTATTAAAATTAAACATTAAACATTACCATTAAACAGAAATCCTTAACATTATTAAAGGTATATGGGCCGCCGTGTGCGCAGAGAGCGACCGCATGGATGCCCTGTACACGGACACGCTTGTGGCGCTGACTGAAGGGGAGGCGGACCCAGGCGCTGCCGCACTGGCTCTGGCAGCGAAACCGGAGCAGTACGCGGCCGAGCTAGCACAACGTGTGACGGGTAGCCCGGTCGTGACGGATGGGTTCGACCCCGTGTACGACGTTCTGCTCAAGGTGGCTCCACCAGCAGCCCTGACACCGGAAGGCGTTGCAAAGGGCCACGAACTGGTAAGTCCCCGAGGACACTTGTACGGCCAGGCCATGCCCTGTTGCCTACGTTTACGGCAAACAGGCTGTTGAGCTTTTAGCTCGGGGGAGGCAAGGGGTAGCCAGCTTGGTGACGAAAGTTTGGGCCGTGGATCCTATAACCCTTGGTCCTGCTGTCTCTTGCAACTCGCCGGGGGGTTGGCCTGTAGGCGCGGGAGCTTGCAACGGACCTTCGGGATCGGCGCAAGCGGTCGGTGCAGTCCATGATTGGGCGCGCACAGCTGACACCCGAGCAGGCGGACAAGCTGCTGGCTGGGTCCAACGCGGTGAGTGAAGTCACTGGTGGCAGCTTGTTTCAGAAGATTTGGGTACGTTTAAGATCCGCATAATGGTAGCTGCTTAGGGCCTTACGTAGCGCTTACTACGAATCTTGGGGGCTGTAATGTGGTTCATCTGAGACTCAGCTTCAATCATCTTTGCATAGAGCGGTTACAGACCCTGGTGTGGTGACTGCTGAACATTCATCCGTGCGTTGTTTGGTTTAGATTGGCTATGGTCGCGTGGTTAGGGGCCACAGCTGACTGTGCTGTGGCCTGTCCCGGGGACTTGCCTATGTCCGTGCGTTGGTTCACTTTTGCTTGCCGTAAGTCACTTCGCGCGTGTCCCGCTTCCCCAACGTCAAAAACTGATGCGTCCAGTCTCGCATTCTGGACATGCTGCTGACACTACCGTCGAGCGCGGATCGCTTGGCATGTCTGCCCGACTGTTTCACGCCACCGGATGAGGCCACGGGCGAGGCGGGTGGCGGCCGAGAGGGCGAACTTCCGGCCTCTATGACTGCGCCCTCACCCGCATCAGACACGGAGGACCTAGTCTGGTGCACCCCGTCGCAGCTGCTGGTGGAGCTGGAAGCGAGATTACAGCGGCTGGACGGTCGGGGGCCACGACCCGTCCCCGTGGGGTCATCAGGGCCGCCTCTGCTGGGGCCGGCCGGGTCGCCCAACCTCACCGGAGAAAACTTGCTAGCGGAGCTGAAGCTCCTGCGGGACGAAGTGCGGCGGAGATGGCTGGACACACTGGATGTCAAGTAGCTCAGCTTTTGTTTATACACGCGTTGTTTCTTGTGCTCGCGCCAGAGTGATTGTCCTGGAAAAATGACGTAAGGTGTAACCAGATCATCGCCGAAGGCTGTGGAACTAGAGTCCAGACGCGAGCGGTTTTAAGTGTGTTTAATTGCTGACGCTAACGTTTCACGCCTATAATCGGCATAACATGCCTGCGTGTATTTATTTTGCTTCAAAAGCTTGGGCATCGACGAATGTACCAAGAAATCAAGCGTGACGCTTCCATGTGAACTACATACAGCTTGCCCAACCTTTGGAAAGGAAACAGGCACCCGTCCGTTGAATGAGCTGTCATGCACCGATGCCGGCGTATCCATTCAAGCAGATTGTGAGGTTTTGGAACTGTGTCTGCTTACAGCGTGGCTCTGTGGCAAACCAGGTTTTGCGACAGATCGTAGAAGCCCACTCCAACCCCGAAGGGGCCGGATGGGGTTCACTAGTCCTCCGTTTTCTGAGTTTTCTGTGGCAGGACGTATGGAAAGAGGCCCCGCAAGGGCTACTTGAGGCAGATGAACGAGTGGAATGGCTCATGAACAGGCCATTGCCAGAAAGTGTGGTATCGGAGTTCAAGGATCGGTTGATGAGCGGTTGAAAGCCTACGTGGCGAGATGTCCAGCCAGATGTGTACCCGTCAGACGGTAAGCAATCGGGAATGATTGGATGGGTCTGGCGGCCGAGCAAGCGGGCAGGAAGGAGGTGCTCCGGCTTATCACAACAATTATCCCGCATTCAGCAAACTGTAAGCTTATGCAGTTTAGGCTCTGCTGTTGGGATTGGCGGTGAACAGAGCGGATATGCCCCCTGCTGCGGCATTGAAAGCCATATTGAAGATGAGCAGCACGTCTTGCCGAACAGTCTTATGTACGGCGAAACCAGATCTGTTATGGATTGCCCACGCTTTGAGCATATGAAGGACGCTGTAAGTGAGAACCTGAACGTCTGGCGAAGATGCTGCAACGGATGTGGTTCCACTAGATCTCTATCGTTCCCTTCGGTCGTTAGTCTCCTTTGTCACTTGCTTTTTCTACAGTGCTAGGTAGGATGGTACTTGTAGACGATCTGGGAGCCCAAGCCTTCTGCTCGTATTAGGCGGTTTACATGTACGGGATACGCACCCACGTCCATGTAACACACATTAAATTTAATGGCTATATGCATCAGTTGTTTTCTGGATATTGAACCCCCAACCATGTGTAAGCTTGTGCTGGGCAAGTGCACAGCCCAGCTATACATGTAGCCTACATTACAGCACGTAGTAAACCTGGCAATTTTTTTGCAGCCCTGACGTAGCAGGCGTGCAGCGGTAGTCCAGCCGACTTCTTGCTCGATCGCTGACGCAAGCGCGGACTAAGAACCAGCTGGTACTTCGCTTCAGAATCAGGCAGCTTTTTCTTCCTTCGCCGACTGACACAGCCAACTTTCGGAACTGGTTCCCGCTAGTTAAAATTTCACTGCAAGTCACAATACCCTGCGGCTCTTATTTCCCCTGCATGCTCAATTGGGAGAGTTACGAGACAGATACCCAGCCAGGGGTTACAGTGCCGAATGTCAACGCTTAGGGCATGTAGCGGCAGCTCAAACGCCCCCTGCACAAGCGGCTGTACAAAACGTTTACATTCGTCTCTGGCAGCCAGGACCGTCCGCTTAGATCGAGTGGCTCACAGCCCAGACACGGATCTGGCCGTCGGTGTAGCCCGAGTACAGGGTCGAGCCATCAGCCGACCAGGCCAGCGACACGCAGTAGGGAACCTGAGCTTTCTTGCTGGTGATGTTGAACTCCACCTTGAGGTCGTCGACGACGCTCTTGCTGCAAGGCGCATGGACAGGGACGCATCCACATATTTAAAACGCCTGACTTCAACGAAGACGCAGTGACACGACAGAAAATTGTTTCGCAGCTTCATCCCAGGTGCAAAACAGCATCCGCTGATCAGACAGCGAATAACGGCATATCATTACTTCTCTCTTGGTTGCACAACAACCTGAAACACATTGATTTCTTCACAGTCTCCTCACCTCTCCAGGTCCCAGATTTTAATGGTCGACTGGGTGGCAGCGCACAGCCAGTAGCGGTTTGGCGAGAAGCACAGGCAGTGGATAACATCGCCAGCATCCAGGCTGTAAAGGCGCTTGCCCTCAGCCAGGTCCCACAGCATGGCAACGCCGTCCTTGCCGCCAGACGCGCACAGCGAGCCATCGGGGGAAACGGTCACGGTGTTGACGTAGCCCGTGTGGCCGACCAGGTTGTTCTTCAGCTTGCAGTTGGTCAGGTTCCACACCTTAACCTGCGCAGAGCAACATCAAAAGCCCCGGTCCCGTATCAGCATTAATGGGAGCGTACAAGAAATGCAGCGACAGAAGGTACGGTCCTTGAAAGGGTGAATTTATGGTATACGGGCAAGTATGGGGCCATTGCTTCGTCGACCCATTTAACCCACCATCTTGTCCCAACCACCGGATACAATGATAGGGTTGACGGTCGTAGGCGAGAAGCGCACGCAAGAGACCCACTCCGTGTGGCCCTCTGGCTCGCCAATCGTGTACTTGCACTCGCCCAGGGTGTTCCAGAGCTTGATGGTCTTGTCACGGGCACCCGACACAATCTGGAAGGGGAAGGGGTAGCGACCTTTCTTAGGAAGGGGTAGCGGCCCATGTCGGGCAGTTGCACCGTTTAACCAGACGAGTCAAACGAACAGAGCGGCATCTGTGCTTCCCTACATGGCTGGGTTGACGTTTTCCATAGGCCCATTGTCAACTAGGAGTAAGATGAAGGCTACACCTCTGTTAGCACGGGGGGGGGTCAACAGCTGGGAACGTCAGGGCCCGGCCTTGCACTGACCTGGCGGTTATCCGCCGAGAAGGCCACGGACAGGACATCCTTGGTGTGGCCGACGAACCGGCGAGTGGTGGTACCGGTGTTGAGATCCCACAGGCGGAGGGTGCCATCCCACGAGCCGGTCAGGCAGAACTGACCGTCAGACGAGATAACAACGTCCTGAACGAAGTGGCTGTGCCCACGCAGAGCCTTCTTCGCGTAGCCATAGTTCGACTCAGAGCGCTCCAGCTCCCACACAAGCACGGTCTTGTCGCTGCACGGGTGAAGGCAGTTCCAAAGAAAGAATGGAATCAGCATCGTGACGTAAATGATTCTGGAATATTATCCTTGCAACGAAGCGTCCTGATCTATGCTTATAGCAGATTTCGGGCCACGCGTTAACAATTGGCGGCTGGGCTTCGCATAAACTTAAGTGGATATTTCACTGCGATATACATGTGGTTGCACGCACCGAGAGGCCGACAGAAGCGTGTTGGACGAGGGGTCCAGAGGCGTGGCGATGGCCGTCACCCAGTTGGTGTGGCCCTTCAGGGTAGCGCGCAGGGTCAGAGTCTCGGCCATTGCAACTATTTACCTTCACAACTGCTAAGCTACAAAACTAGAAAGAAAGAAACAAGGTGTCTCCTCAACCTAAAGAACCTCTCGCCGCCTCCCGTACGGCACAATTGTGCTGATAAACATTGGTAGTAAGCTTTTTACAGGTTTACCTAGACCGGCTCTTTGCTATGAAACCTCAATGAGAGGAGATTTCCCTCTTCGAGCGTCCACGTTCGTTACAAGCCTTTGATTGACAAAATGTAATCGTCGTAAGCAGCCCCGTTTGCCTTGAACACACCCCAATTGAGGATCCGTCCTTGTTACCTGAACGCGCACGTCTAACCTGCTTTGAACACAGATCGCCATGTCAAACGGGTAACGGCATGAAATAACACACGGACGCCGCAACACACGTTTACGGACGGGACGCACGGGCACAACTGTTGGGAGTCGCCCAGGATCAAAACTCGATCAGCTCCATTCAACAAAGCCAAGCTTGACTGGGAACTTATATTGCGCGGCCTGTTGAGGGGAATGGGGCGCAGGGGGCAAACAAATGTTGTGGTTAAGAGCTGCTTGGGTCCCAACCAGGAAGCTCCTCAATTGCAAAGATTACGTGGAGCAACATAAACAAGGGGAACCATATATAAGTATTTCTTCAGGACTTTCGTTCGCAAAAGAGTAAGTTTGAACTTATACGACAGGGTGCTGCACAACTCGCCAAACTCGTAGTTCTGATCAAAGGTCCCGCCCTGTGTTTCAGGACGACCGGTTACACTCACGCCTGTCCCTCCTCACCTGCATAGCTTGTAGGGCCACGGTTCGGGGCACTCGATCCATCTCGTATATGATTTGCCCCGGCCGTACCGCTGTGGCATAGAAAGCGATAGCGCCCTTTCCCTTTCCCATGCGAATGTTCAGCGGCTTGCGCGTTACCGGCACAGTTGCCTCAATGCGCACCCATAGCCTTGCAGTCTTTTTCAGCTTGCGCCTCAGCGTCCTGCGGGTGGGCAAAGAACTGACTCGCACCGCCTGATAATGCCAAAAAATTCGCCGATGTCGCCCCTAACCACCCGACATTGCACTCCCAACAGAGCACACAGCGCCCTCCGCCCAAGTTCGATAGCACCATGCAATACATCATAGCGCGGCGATGCACCAACCAGGTAACCCTCCACGCACAGTTCAGAGAACTCAAACGTGCGCCTTAGTTTATCTAAGCACAGAGCATGCCCCGTGCTTAACCAAGCCCTGGTTAGCTTCTTGAAAGGAAAGTAGTGAGCCAACAGCTACGACTTCGGCGCAGCAAAGTTCACCAGACGCTAAATGTTCGAAACGTCGCCGGAAATGGTCCGCTGGACACTCACGTGCCACGAAGCTTAGATGGGTCAGTACACATGGACGCCATGAATGGACGCATTATGGTGATGCACAAAGAAATCCTGGAGCCCTTACCGGCGGACAGCTTCAAGCGTGTTGGCGGCAACACGCTTTCCAGCCAAAGCCCGAATACCATACAAGCCGTATTTGAGCTGAGTTGTGTTCGGCATGATGTTATCGTTTATTGCAGCACCCTTTGGCACCCGCTGCCGGCTCAACTGGCCTTTCTGACACCATCGGACTTGGCCGACCAGGGAGTTCCACACGCTGCCAGGCGCCAGCAGGAGGTTCCCTAACCCAGGCGCCAACGAAGCAGTCACGCCGCGGTGTGTACCATGCTGCAGAGCACAGGGATTGACATGAATAGCATGCTTTCAAGGCACTGCCAGCAGCAGGATTCCCCGCTCCGTGGCAATTATGGCGAACACTTTGAAAAGGTCACCAATGCCGGCATGGGAGTTGCAGATGCTGGCATCCTAATTACCACATATTTGTCACATCCTAAAAGACCTCTGGGTACAGACTTGGCGATGACGGATTGGCAGTGATCTAGACTGCCTCTAGCCCCAAACCGCCGTACCGCCCATACCCGGCGTCACCCGCCGTGAAATGCAAAGCAACAATGTGCAACCCTCAAACAACGGCACTTACCAAAGCGCTTGCTTGTACAAGGTGTTCGTTTTCCGCTGCGAAGGTGCGTACCGACGGGGAGCACGCAGCAAATCCAAAGCCCCACGAGATGATGTCACGCCCACTCGTGCAAGGTAAAGATGCTAGAGACTGATTACTCAGCGGCCGTTGGCTGCTCAGGGGTTCAGTTGCGACGCTGCGAGCTTGAGAATGCAATTTCCGCACTGGTGGCACTCGCCCCGCTATAGAACGGAAAAATCGACACCAAGCCTGCATATTAGCACAGAGTTGATGCTCCACTCGTTCTCAACGGACATCCAGATATTGAAGGACGGATTATTTTTGCATCGTGACGGTAAGTTTTATTAAATAACAGCTTTATAAGAAAGAATCGAGTTCTGAAGCTTTGAAGCTTTCGCCGTGTGACATGATGGAAGCTAAAAAAAGTACTGGGGTACGGCGCCGGGGTTGCCCTTCATCGTTTTGGGCTTCGCAACGACAACATTTAGGATGTCGACATACCTGCTTGTGATCGCTGGAATGTGGAGTAATTTTTGACCTGTTCATAGCGCACCGTCGGCTCGATCGCCTGAACCGGCTGCGCGCTTTTTCTTTACATGACATATTTGATTAGATATCTGGATCAACTTAAGTAGTTTATGCTGTGTTAGTGCCAACGTCATGGCGTCTGGAGGAGCGCAGCCAAACCAGCCTCTGCCTTCCAAAGAGGCGGGGCTATTCAAGCAAGTGTTACGCTACCATGAGTCTAAACAATACAAGAAGGCTATAAAGACTGCAGATCAGATCTTAAAGAAATTCGCGGAGCATGGCGAAACATTGGCGATGAAGGGTCTATGCCTGCGCAACTTGGCGCCTGACAGCGAGAAGGAGAAAAAGGAGGAAGCATACGAGCTCGTTAGGAAGGGTGTAAAGTGCGACTTGAAAAGCCATGTGTGCTGGCACGTCTACGGGTAAGAGTGTTGTGCCTGCTGGCGGCGGCTTACTAGCGTCCAACCACAGAATGCATGCCCAGCACGGGATTCTGTACCTTCCTTTGGTTATGGAACACCGCTTATGGACTTCACCAGTTGGGTTTTCTAGGGTTACACGGGTGGGACCACTGGGTCTGTCCTCTACGGGCATCGTGTTATGCAAGCCGCCTTGGGCAAAGGAGCGCGGGACTTGGTTAGGAGCTTTTCATGTTATGCGGTCCCTGCAATGCTTCCGTCGGGCGTGTACACAGGCATGCAGGGCAGAGGGAACAGAAGAGGTTGATGGCCGTTTGGCAGTTGTTTGACCACAATGGTCACGCGGCATGTAGACAAGATCATGCTACAGCGTGTGAGATGCGCTTCCTGTCCGTTTGTTTGCTCTGCCTTCTGCCGCCGCTATAAATTTCGTCTATCTAGCACCTGAGCCATTATCCTATCAGCCATAGGGCCCCCGCGTCTCTTTCATCCGGGACATTCCCCCCGGCGGCCTGGTTGCGACAAACCTGTCCTGCGCCGTGCCCTTGAACATTGTCTACGTGCCGCCGCAGCCTACTTTACCGCCAGGACCGGGAGTACAAGGAGGCCATTAAGTGCTATTTAAATGCTCTTCGGATAGACAAGGAGAACATCCAGATTTTGCGCGACCTGGCGTTGCTGCAGGTGGGCAGCCTGTTTTGGAGGCTGGCAATTGCTAGTCGGTGGCCGCTGGCCATGTCGCCTTCTCTGGTACCTGGGAGGGCTAAATAATGAATGCACGTCTGAAAACATTTGATGGAGGATCCCTGATTTGGTACCAGGGACGGCTGTGAGTGAGTAGCCCTGGGATATCCCATATCGACCCTTCGTCCTTCTTGGCCCCCAGGCATGATTTCTTGCAATGCCCTCTGCACTTGCCACTTGGATGCAGATTCAAATGCGTGACTTACAGGGCTTCGTGGACACGCGGCATCAGCTGCTCACGCTGAAGCCCAGCAACCGCAGTCACTGGATCACCTTCGCCGTGGCTCATCACATGAATGGAAACCATGAGCTGGCGGTCCAGGTAAGGCCGGCATTGGATCATGAGGGCCAGGGAGCTGTGGAGGGCCCCCGTTCGGTTGCGTGTTGGAGCTGGAGATGGGTATATTAGCGCCGGCAGAACGGGTAGGGGCGGAGTTGTTGCTTGGTGGCGTCCTCACGTGTTGCATAGCCTTTCGTTTGATGCAGTGTTGATGGCACCGCAAACGTCTTGAATTTTGGGGGCCCACTCGCCATACAGGTTCTCGATCAGTTTGAGCGCACTCTGGATGAGGTACCTGCGTCGGAGGCGTATGAGCATAGTGAAATGTTGCTGTATGCGGCGACGGTCCTGGCAGATGGCGGCAAGCCCGAGGAGGCACTGGAATACGTGGAAAAGCGGAAGGTGCGGCGAGCGTTCGGGTTGATAGCCGTGAAAGCGGACGGCTTTGGCCAAGGGCGATAACAGGGAACTGGGTTTCAGCAGGGAGCTCAGCAGTTGTGTGTGTCCCTCCGGTGTTTCCGTTTTGCGGTGCGGTGCGCGTATTAAAGCTAAACTTCCTGCGTTTTGGGGATCTGATCCGGAACTGCAGTGTCTAGGTTGACTCTCAAGAACAGTTGGTGTTCTGTCGTTTTGTGAAACGGTTGCGCAGGATAAGATTAAGGACCGGCTGGGGCTGGCGGAGATGCAGGCAGGGCTGCTACTACGGGTGGGGCGCAAGGCTGAGGCGGCGGCCTCTTATCGGCGGTTGCTGGCGACCAACCCAAATAACTACAAAATCCATGACGGACTGCGGGCGGCTATGGAGCTGGTGCCCACATCAGAGTCGGGTGAGGTCGCAGGGGTTGGTGGACAAGATGGGAGGTGGCCAGAGTCGCGGCCACCAGTACATGGGCTGAAAACCGGAAGAGCCCTTGGGTTGCAGGCCTTTCAAATGCTCCATCTGGTCGGGGCCGCCATTCAGATCATTGGGGTTTAAGTTTACAGATACACACTGCAAGGTGCCTGCTGCTTGTTTCCTTTTTGGGGCGCGAGGGCTGTAACCCACTGCTTTTCCCGATGCCCGTGCCTACGCAGGTGGCGTTCTTACGGATGAACAGCGGGCGTCCCTCACGTCGCTTTACGACGAGCTTCAATCCCAGTTCCCGGGGAGCAGCGCGTGTCGGCGCATTCCCCTGGACTTCAAGGTAGGACTTCAAGGCCTGCTATGAGGCAATGGTGTAGGAACACCGTGCTTATGCCCTGCGGGTGGGTGATGTCTTACACACGGGGCGCATCACAGCACCGGCCTAGGCACGTGCTGCGCAGCAACCTCTGATGTCACAGCTAGCTAGATCAACCGCCGCCGGGCTAACGCCTTGTGGCCTGCCCCGGTGCGGCTCCGGCTGCTGTGTGGCCAGCCTTAGACCTGGCTCTTGCCCTTGCACCTCTTCCATATTGCCTCACTTGCCAATACTGGGACAAACCCAATATCGTGCGGCTGGTCGTTATGGCCGCGAGAGTTTGCCATGGTCTCTACATTTCCACCAGCGCGCTTTTGTGGAACGCAAGCTATAAGCGCGTTCTGATTCCCGCCATGTGTAGCGCCATATCCCTGGTCTGATTCCCCTGGTCCAATCGCGGCTGTCTGCAGGTGGGAGATGCCTTCAAGGCCGCAGCAGACATGTACTTGCGGGTGGGCCTGACGCGGGGTGTCCCGTCGCTTTACGTGGACGTGCGGCCACTGCTGGCGGACCCGGTGAAGCGGGATACCGTACGTCAACTAGTGGAGTCGTACCGGGACACATTGCGCAGGTGTGTAGGCGGATGGGAAACTAGTCGGATGAGGCTGAGGTCTGCAGCCGCCGGCTTTTGGCAAGGGGCCATGCGGGTTGTCAGGCGATCGCTTAATGGCAGCCGGGTGACGTCAGGGTGGATGGATGCAGGCCTGGGTAGGGAGGGACGGGCTTGGTTAGGGGCAGGGTACCACAAGGTCGACTTGCTGCTGCTGCTGTGTTTGTGTACTGGCCTGTCCTTTCAGACATGTCGCTATCGCTGAGCAATGCGACCCTTTATCCTCCTAGGGGATTGTGTTATTGTCCATTTGGTTATGGAAGAGGTCTGAAAGAAAGGGCTTGTTCCCTGCAGCAGCTGGGTCATGTCTTACTTTCAGAGTTCAGGCCGTGTGCTGACGCGTTGCTCGCGTGGAGCTGTGGTACGGTGTGGACGTAGATGTAGCTGACAGCGCTCATTTTCCTTTGGCACCCTCCCGTCCAACCCTCGAACAAATCCAATCCAATCGATCCTCCTGTTTGTCCTGTCCTTCGCCGTTGCCTGGACCCGCTGCTTACAGTGGAAGGAAATATCGTTCGCGTTTACCCCTGCTTAAAACCTGTGTCCGTGTGTATATGTCTGTGCGCAGCACGGGGGCCTACCCACCCCTTACAGGCGCAACTTCCGACTCGGTGTCGCCGGAGTCGCCTCAGACCCTGGTTTGGGTGCTCCTCTTCTTGGCGCGCTTCTACGACCGGCAGGTTGGTTCCCAGGGCAGGGCCGCAGTGGCAGTATGGGTGTCGTTGTGGTGTTAAGACGGATTCGACAAGATATGAGTCAAGGAAAATCATCACGCTGCCATGGGGGCAGCTCCGGACGGGACACGTCCTATTTAGGGCGCCTGTGATCACTCATTCGCTTGTTAAATGTCAACCAGCCTTAAGTTATCCACAGCGCCAGTTTCACTGGTTCTTTTGGACTAGGCGCAGGGACTGCGGAACCGCGTGGAGGATCCAAAACAACGTGGGAAATCCAAGCAGTCGGGGCCAGTGACTGGCAAAGTGGTAAAGGCAAAGGAAGGAGCGCTTATGTATCGAAAGGCGCTCCTTACAGGAACGGCATGTCGAGGAGTTCACAACGGCAGTATGCAATCTGATCAGCCATCCTTGAACGGAGACGCATGCACATTGTGCCGCTGCCGCTCCTTATCCCGCAGGGTCAGTTGGAGGAGGCACTGGCCCACATCGACGAGGCCATTGCACACACGCCAACTTGCATTGAGCTGTACGTAGCCAAGGCCAAGATTCTAAAACATGCGGGAGACCTGGAGGGTGAGTGTGCTTTGCCGTTCATGGTAATGGACCAGCCGCTGCCGTCGCCTTTGTGTCTGGGATCTCCATAACGGCCTAGCTGCAACGCACCTGCACGCCAATCTACCGACACACCGTCCTAACTGTGCGCCTCCCCCTGCATCCTGCAGTTCATTTCCGATTTCCTTTCATTAATGATCCCCCCTGCACCCGTGGGTTGCTCTTTTCTCCCTCAGGCGCAGCGCACATGGCGGAGACCTCTCGACGGATGGATCTGCAGGATCGCTTCCTTAATAGCGTGGCCGTCAAGGCGCTGCTGGCAGCAGGCCATTGCAGCGCAGCGGAGCGCACCGCCGCGCTCTTCACTCGCGATGGCGAGCAGGGCGCATACTCCCTGTATGACATGCAACACATGTGGTACGAGGTGGCGGCAGGGCGTGCGCACACCGCGCGTGGGCCGCAGGGCGCCGGCCCCGCATTGAAGAAGTTTATGGCGGTGGTGCAGCACTTCGCGGACATCCACGAGGACCAATTCGATTTCCATTCGTATTGTGTACGAAAAGGCACGCTGCGGTCTTACGTGTCGATGCTGGGCATGATGGACCGGTTGTACGGCCATGCATTCTACTCCAAGGTAGGCTACGGAAGGGCTCCTCCGTGAGCTGCGGTTGAGAGGATGGCCCGCAGCGGGCTGCGGACGGCTGGCGCCCCATGGCAGCACCACTAGAGCAGACATGGGCCGTGCTGCCTGGCTGTCCAAGGACACATACTCTCTGGAAACACTGTTGCATTTGCTCAATGACCGTAGCTCCCTTTGTATGGCAAGGCAACTGTGCATCAGACATGCTGCTCTTGTACAGCGACGAAAGGCATCAAGGTTTGGGTTGACTGGGTTTCGGTATTGCGACACGGCGAACGCCAAAAAAAGAATGCGGCCAGTGGCTTTGCGGCATGGCGCGAGATTGATGGCTGCCTGGCCGCCCCCTGCGGCGGCGGTTGTGGATGCGTGCAGGCGGCCGGCGGCGCCATCCGCGTTTACTTGCAGCTCCACGACTGTCCGCCGGGATCCGCCAATGGAACGGATGAGGAGGCGCTCCTAGGGGGCATGACACCAGAGGAGCGCAAAAAATACAAGTTGGCCAAGAAGAAGGAGGTGCGGTCCGGGGATCCTTACTGTACAGCGTCTTCGCACCTATTGCAGACGCAATGCTCAAGGGTAGTGGGCCTGGAGAAGGAGGGCGGGTTCTATTCGCTGGCTGCTGGCCTGTGAAGCGAGTTGGTGGTTAGGTGGTTACCTTGCCGGTGTTAAGCGCTGCGCTTACCAATGCGCTGGAGGCATGTGCTGCGCTGCGGACGTCAACATTGTGCGATCTTTCCAAGGTTCCGGTAGCCTGATTCAATCGCCAGCTGTCCTGCAGGAGAAGGAGAAGGCGCGCAAGGCGGCCGAGGAGAAGGAGCGGGAGGAGCGGGAGAGGCGCGAGCGTGAAAAGGCAGCGGCACAGAAGGGCGGCAAGAAGGGCAACGCGGCTGCAACCAAACGGTATGTAGAGAATCAAGAAATGTGCGATGGCGACGGGCGCGCAGCCGCATGCCGGGCGCGTGCCGGGGCCGTGCCGGGTGTCGCCAGTGATACCTTAGCGCGCGTGCTGTAAAAGCTGCACCTGCAGAATGCCACAATCCCCGGCTGCCGCTGACAAAGTCATGGCCACCATGAACACGTCGTTGTACTCCTAATCGCGTTCAGTGGCGTCAGCGGCCTACGACCGCGTCGACCGCGTTTCCAATTTCGGACGCTCACGATGGGAAAGCTCATTCGATTAATTCTGCATTGCACAGTCCCGGTTGCCATGGTTGTGACGCCCCCGGTGCTGCCCTCAATCCTTTCCCGCCTTTGGCATTTTTACTTTGCATTTTGCATGTGGAAACCATGAGCGTTCTTTTGGAGCGGTAAGCGTGTGCGTTTCGTTCGGACCCACACTGTCCCCTTGCCCGAACCATCTTCAACACCACCAACAAAGTCGCTCCCCCCATTTTTCCCAACCTTCAGTGAACCCGACCCCGACCCTGACGGCGCCAAGCTGGCCGCCACTCCAGATCCGCTGGGAGAGGCGTCCAAGCTGGTGGAGATGTTGGTGCGCCACGCTGGGGAGCGCCTGGCAAGCCATCTGCTAGCAGCAGAGGTTGCGCTGCGTAAGGGCCGTCTGGTGGTGGCAGTGGGGGCAGTGCGCAAGGCGGCGCAAGTGGCGGAGGGCGGTGCAGCGCATCCGGACGTGCATGTGCTGGTGCTGCGTCTGGCGCTGGCGGGTGGGTGGCTGAATGGGCGAATGGGGACAGGGTGGACAGGCTAAACCAGCGGTAGTAGAGGGCAAGGAGCAAACAAGTGCAGCGTGGTAAAGGAGTGGCAAAGTTCGAGCGGGCGCGACATCGGCGGGCGCCATCGCCGGCTAACCTGGGACTGGAGTTTTTGAGTACTCACATACGCATCGTGTTGGTGGAAAAGAGTTACTGCAATGGGCCTCGACTGCTTGCAACTGGGCGACTCTGGCCGTACGCGCTGTCCTTGGCGAAATCGTGCTTTAGTCCGCTGCTCCTGGTAGTCTTATGGAACAGCACCGCCCGCGAAGTCCACAGGTTGTTGCGTTATTTCTTGTTCAAGTGCAATGTGCGCGTTCGCAACTTTTCGCCCATCATTTTTCGCCCATCATTTTTCGCCCATCAGCCGTGCCACTCCATCACTAATCCTGTTGGCGAACTTAATTTCCCTCGCGTCTTCCCGTGCGTTTGTACGTCTGCGCCTGCAGTCCAAAGCTCTCCACCCCAGCACCCGGTGGTGCGGTCCGTGGTGGCAGCGGGTGTCGCCACCCTGCTGGGTGACAGCAGTCCCACGCAGTACGCGGAGGCCTGGCGGGCAGCCCATGGCACCGCATCCTTGGCGCACCGTGTAGCAGCGGGAAACGCCATGGTGCTGCTGGGCAGCGCGGGCGGGGCGGAGCAGCAGCAGGCAGCGACCGCCGCGGCCGTGGCGCACGTCACGGCGGAGGACATGCGGTGAGGCCATTGGGGAGGACAGGGAGGGAGGCATGATGGGCGGCGCACCCCCGTTTGGAACTTGGACGGCGGGACGGGGTGCCTGGCCTAGGGCTTGATGCTCCTCCCCTGGGTCAATAAGGTTGAGCCGAAGGATTGAGGCAGACGAGCGAAGGCTACGCGTGGTGTTGTAGACGCGACTGAATATGAGACGATGCTAATGCGCACGTGTGCAACTCTGCACAAGGGTGTGTGTCGGGACCGGTCCATTGGTCTCTAGCAGCAGCAATCCCCCCTGTTCGGCCCTCGTCCCGTCCGCAGGTCCACGCCACACGACCACGCACAGTGTGTGGACGTGCACAAGTTGTTGCGTGACACGTGGGGCGACGCGGCAGCGGCGGAGCGGTGGCGGACGGTTTGCGCGGCGGTGTTCCCGCGCTCGCGCTACTTTGGCGGTGCCCAGCTCATGGCGTTGAACCTGGCGTACGATTTCGAGAATATGCGAGAAGCGTTTGGGAAGCTGTCCTTCTAGACGACCGTATCCCGTTTATGTGATAGTGTAGTTACGTTTCGTCTTTGTTCAAGGCACAGGAGGCTTTTAGTGTTGGGGGCTAATTGGCTATTGCGACGTCGGACCCGGAACGAAAGCGGGAAGGATGGTTACCGTTATTGTCCTTAAGTGGAGAGTAATGCTCTTTCTCGGACGCATGCTCGCACAGCTGGGGGGCCAGACCAGGTCACCAGCTCGCTCCACGTTGTTGCGTGTTAGGTGTGTGGCATTCTTGAGCAGGAAGTAGGGAGTGAGATGTCGCTTGGACAGCAACATGTGGCCGTGGACCGGATGACGTTGAGGCCCATGGGTTCCGCGTGGCCCCTCGGCATGTGAGGGCTGGGAGTCGAGTATGGTGGGATGCGCTGGCGCCGACTTTATTTCGTTCCTCGGAGTGCCCTGGGGTAATGCATAGTGGACATGAGCCTAGGCAATGGCCCGCAGGAGGAAGAGAAGGAGCAGGAAGTGTTGGCGGGCAAGGCAGCCAGCAGCAGCGGTTCTGGTGGTGCGGCTGGTCCCTTTCTAGAAAGGGGCTGTTGCGCGAGCTCGTGCGTCTGGGCGTGAAGTGTGCGTGCGCTTGTGTAGAGACACTGTTGAATGCTTTATTGCGCAAAACACTCTAGGCTTTGCACGCTATAGGTCTTTTGTGAGTACTGGATGGCAGGGCCTGTTTTTTTGCGGCGTAGCGAGACCTTGGGACAGACGGGCCGAAGGCGGCGTTTCTTCGGGGCGCATGGGAGTGTTAATGGCATAGGTAGCGTTAACGGAAGTGCGATTAGGTGAAAGTGGTCACCGGCGACTGTTCTGTAGTGCCAGGGGGGAAGTACTGCACGAGTTCTTTTACTGAGCTGCAGGAGGCGAGCCGCCGAGAGCGATGGGAACATTCCTACACCGATGACGATGGTACTTCCCTGTCCCCATGGACAGCACCCCGGGTATCTTAAAACCAGGGGCTCACCGGCGGGACAGCTTTGGGGCTCCGTTTGCACTTCGCCGCCTGTCATAAACCACAGTTTCGGCGGCAGCAGGCCTAAGAGCAGACATGATATCGACCCATGTGGGAGGACAGAACTGTGTGCGTGGGGACGGGTGGGAAAAACACCGTGTGTATGAACCTGTACGGGTGCGGTGACTATGACGGCAGGGGAGTCGGCAGACGTCATACGAGTAGCGAAAAACGCTGCGGTTGGGCGCTGGCCTCTTTCTGTTGTGCATGTTTGGAGACGTGGCAAAGCTGTAGGGCACGGATCTTGACACCCTGCCTCCCCCTGCCTTCAGTAAAACGGCCCGACATTGTGCGGAGTAATAATGGATGGCCATCAGCGCAGTTTGTGCCGAATTGTCACGGTGGATTCTCTGGCGAACCGTGTGGCTGCTTGGCACTGTATGGCAAGTCGGACTGGACGATATTGCATGTCGCTTCCTGCTGGCGTTCGGCATCGCCTGGCCTTCAAGGACGGACCAACCCCAGCACGGCGCTGCTAGGAAGAGCAGCACAAGTGGGAACATGAGAGGAACAGTTGCTACAACAGCGTGGCAAGAGCCGCCGTTGTTGATCGCATCTCTGTTTCGACATGGGTTCGAATTTTCACTCTTTGACGTGGGGCCACCAGGAGCTCGGCTGGCATCCATGCGTCCACCGGTCGTTGTTTATACTCGCAATCATGGGCACCAAAGCTGCGTAAGCAACTCGCCGGGTATCCACGTTCTCCCGCCGTCGTCGCCGCCAGCGACGCGCCCGGCGATACAGCCCTACCAGAGATAATGCGGCTGATGCTAAGGCACCGCCGGATCGAACCGGCGAGGTCGCCAGTCGACTGCACAAAGCTGCCGGTGTCCTATGCAGGGATTAGCTGGCGTATACGCCAAACACTCCGCCGTGACTGCCGCTGCCCTTGCTTTGTGCGCACGGCACGGCGCCTCTGCACGCCGCACAGAGACGGCTCGGCCGCTGCTAACAGCCGTACGTCGCACTAGGCTTCCCACACCAGTCCCAGCGGAGCCAGCACAGCCAGCAGCATATGCAGGCCGTACAGGCCTGCTTGTACCCGTGAACAACCCGTGGGTGCGAGCAGCAGCACTTCCCGACGCCACGGTTGTCCCGATGCTGCAGTTCTCATCAGGCCGGTTGACACCGCGGTGCTCGGTAAGGAAAACGGCCAAATTTGCGCAAAGGACAGTGTCCCTTCAAGAGAGGCAGCTTCAGGCCAGCCAGACGCCACCTGCGCCACAGCGAGACGCAGGATGCCCGACTGTATTGTGTCTGCAGCGAAATACAGGGGCGTGTAGGCATCCCAAATCGACCAGGGCCAGGGCTATGCCGTATCAGGGGCGGTGGGGAGCTTGGCTCAGTTAATGAGCGGACAGAAGTCTTTGGCAGCAGGACTTGCAATGGTCAGATCTAGACAGACAGCTCCTCACAAGTGCACAGCCCACAGCTAAGGTGGCTTTTCCGACGTGCGTTGGGTACATGATTTCGATTGGGGGGGTGTTGCTATGGATTTGATCCCAGAAGCTTGCCGGCGCAGTGCCGCGAACTGTACGGAAGCTAAGCAGCGAGCACGGCCACATCCAGGAGCCCCCTTCACACAGAAGAAGTTGACGGTGGTCCCCCCAAGCCACAACGCGTACCGAGCGCACTCGTCATGTGGACCAGCCGTCATATATGCATTTCTCATTCGTTGCAACGCAACCCCCATGCATTGGTCTGGCAGAGGACTAGAACTGGGACATCGACCCCGCGTGTCGGATCTATGGCTACTGTTACCGTTGGCCTACGTGATTGTGCTCAAAGTGTATTTTCGGGATTTGCGAAGCGTCGCAATGGTAAACGGCAGGAAGGCCTATCCAGGAGCAGCTTTTTCGCTGCAGCGGCACGTCTAGGGTTGCAGCGGTATGTTCTGTCCTCTGATGATGGCCGCTATACAATCCAAAAGATCTGACCTCTTTGCCCAGACATAGAAGGTAACGGACGCGCGACAAGAACTGTAAGAAATTTATGAATAAGAATTCCGGTATAACCACACAGTAACTGGAGGACAGGAGCAGCTCTTGAGGTTCCAAAATATATTAAAAAATGACAACATCCAGATTAGCTTTGCTGTATCAGAGTTTCGTCTTTTGCAGCACGGTAGAGGGAGCTGGGGGAGTCGTATGCCTGGTGGCACTACTAAACCGAGCGTTGGGCCTCAAGATGGCTACAGTTCTTCTCCCAGATGAAATATCCTCATAATTTAAGAGTTGTCTTGGGGTGGTTGGCGCTTCAAGTGGAAACTAGTCATCATGACCATGATGTTGACTTTCCCAGAATTGTAAGCGTATGAGGCCAGCTGGCCTGCAGGGAATAAAGATTGATAGGTAATGTTTTGAATATTTGAGCGTCATTTCCTTACAGTGTAAACCCGGCGCCTGGGGACATTTTCAGATTGTGGGATTTCTATATAAGTTTGGGTCACTTGCTTATTTATGCGTTAAATATTGTAATATGTGTCCACAGAATTTCTGTATTGTGTTTTGTCTGTGGTTTTATACCGTAAGTACTGCATTTTGTCCGTGCGTTCACTGTCACGAAAAATGCCCTGCACTTTCTTAAGACACGCGATGGATAATCGTAGGCTCAAATACTCCTTATGACCAATTCTGTTCGCACTTGTCCCAAGTTCGTAGTAAGATACAGCGCTGTGTCCTTACAGGAGGCTTACATACAGGCTCTCTGGAGGAAAGATTATCTACATTCTTATCGATTAGGATAAATCGCTCCTGAGAAATTGCGCATAGCGTACTGCGCTTACTACTGTTCCTAAAACATGCCTTGTGCTGTGCAGCTCAGAGAGCCCATCTCAGAACGCTAAGCATGTACGTCCAATGAGAGAAGAGAGCGTACGGCTGTTGCGCTCCTGTCCTTAAAGCTGTGCATACCCAACCAGCAGCACCTTTAGTAAATGCATGCTCAACCCATGAAGGTGACTTCATAAATGCGTTTACATCATGCTTTGCCAGGGGCTTCATCATATCTCCAATTGGAGCAGGGGCTGACTATCCTCGTCGCGAATCCTTGCGAGCTGACGGGCGATGCGTGTCCACATGGCCCGGAACGAGAAACTGCAAAAATTACTCTACTTTTTAAGCCGTTAACATCCTTTCAGCATTTCGCGCTCAGTCACGGAGATGAACGAGGACGAAACGACCCGACGACAGCCGCAAGGAGGGAGCGAATTCCCCCCCGGTAACGGGCAACTATGCAAGGTGAGTGAGAACGCCACGGTCGATGACTGCTGTGCCCCTTTCCTGACTATTACTCATCGTTCGTCGAACTGGTAGCATGGCGAACAGCCATTGCTCCCCGCCAGCCCAGGCTGCGAAGCTGCGTCCATTACAAACATTTACGATACGTTCTATAAATATAACATTCCCCAAAATGTTAGGGGTACCCTTGGCATGCTGTCACGACCTTACCTGTGCTATGAACAGCTGGGCTTTTTCCCTGGAACCGCACGGGCTCCCTGTCTAGTCCACAGTATTTCGGGTCCCATGCGCTTAATGGATGCGCCTATCCTGGCGGCTGTGTAGCACGTTGCCCACACGCCCTTCTCCTGGCTCCCACTGCGGGTCCTGCAAATCACATGTGTGAAAAGAGCCCGTCGTGGAGCACCTGATTGTTAAGTGGCACCTCGTCTCCCTTCCCTCGCTCCACCATCCCCTTGCCTGCCCTTGCCTGACGACCCTGACACTCCCCCGGCTCGTGCAGGTTCAGGGCTGCCAGCGGCGCATGAGCTTGGAGGACACCTATTATCGTCGTTATAGCGTGTGCAAGGATCACCTGCGCGCGCTACAGCTCATGGTGGATGGTCGCATTCAACGCTTCTGTCAACAGGTTTGTCCGTCCGTCTGTCTGTCGCTCTGTCAGCCTACTGCTGGGCTGCCAGGGTTCTCTTGCTGCGTCTCGCCACGTGTTTTGCAGCCTCACGTACGGCTGTGTCGCTGCTAAAGATTCCAGAAGCTTTTAGCCAGCAAGATGCAGGTGCAGCAGTCGAGAACAAATATGTCCATTTGGCACCGCATCATGTGAATGCGAACTGCAAATGCCATGCACTTGGAGGGCCTAGTTCGCACCATCATATTGCGCCTGTGCGTTTTTACGTGCGTCGGGAGGGAGCATCCGCAGCGACGAAATGGGTTGCATATGCTTGTGTGTTTGCATGGAGCGTCCAGAGAGCCGGCTGCTCTTTCGTCTTGCTGCAACCCACGGCGCGTCCAGAACTCATATGCCTTACGGTGCATATATGGAAGACAGGCCGTCCACATGCTAGCTACTTTATGTGTCCACAAGACAGCGCTTGCGCTTGTTGAACTGGCCCGTTGCAAGGCGGTAAATTGGCAGCGTGGATATGCTTGCACCGTGAATATCTAATCTAGGCTAGACTTGCCTGTGAATTTAATCAAAAGATAACCCCCCCATATTTCCCGGGCTTTTTTGCCCACAACAGCAAATATTCACGCGGCGTGTGCACGTCTCTCGGTGTGGCTTGCGTGGCATCTGTCACATCTAACGCATGCTATCCAACCGCGCTTCAGCAACCAACCGCGCCCGACCGCTCCGCTCTGTGTGTCCCTTTTCCTTGCCTGCCACGTGTGACCTGGCTTCCCATGGCTTGTGAACTGGACTTTGACCGATTGGATTGGTGATAAACTTGAGTCAGTGCGGGAAGTTTCAAGACCTTGCGGACTTCGACGATGTCAAACGGTGGGGCATCGCGTTGTCCGGAATAACATTAAGTAGAGGCTCGTGGTCGCTGTGGGGTCGCGACCGGTGCAGCGCGGGGTTAGACCTGGGGCAAATGGTTTACACGCTGCCAGTGTGTGGTTAGCACTGCTGTAATTCTCGGGGTCCACTGTACAAAACGTTTTGGCACAATCCCTTAGGCAAAAAGGCTTTGGGGGCCGCGTGTACCCCCGTACGTCAAGCCCCCTTTTGGCAGACATTTGGCACAAGCTCAATGTGGGCAATACATTTTCTTACTCAGCAGTTTGCAAACAACACAACACTCACTCACACAATCTCTTTGGTTTGGAGCCTTCCTAAACCCTCTCTTGCCTCCGCTGCATCCCGCGGGGCGGCGGCGAACTCCTCCGCAGCTCTTGCCGCACCCAGCTCGCTCGACACAGCTTGCGGCGCCGCCTTAGGTTGAATGAGAGGCGCCTGCAGCGGGAACAGCTCCAACGGCTTCAGGAGCAACAGCAACAACAACGCCAGCAGCCACTGCATCAGCGCCACCAGCCGCCCCAAGACAACCCCTACGAAAATGATGATGATTATGATGACGATGACTACGGCAGCCTTACCGTCGCTGGTGTTGGGCGGCCTGAGCCCAGGAATTCCTCTAGGTCTGCTCCGCGACCCCGTGGAGGCGCTGGCGCCGGGGCGTCCGCCTCGGGACCGTTTCAGCTGCCTGGGGCGGAAGACACCGCCGTGGACTTTGGCTCTCGGGGTGTGCTCGCGGCGGGGATGCCCAGCGGACATTGGACCCGAAGAGATCATTTTGCAGACGGGGTACGGAGGCAAATGACACAATGAAGTGCTGGTGATGATGGATGATAGCGGTTTTGGTAGCTACTAGCTAGGCTTGTAGTGTTGGTGGCAATGGTGGGGGTGGGTGTTCAGCCGATGCCCAGGAGTTGATCTCTCCGGAGCTGGATTAGACTTCTGGAATCCTTTTAAAGGATTACAATATGAGGAAAATATCTCGGGAATATTTCTGGGATGCGTCCTGAAGTTATCTCGGGGCTTCATTAGCACAGTGCCTAATTAAGCGCGCTGCATGACAACCCCGTAGCGGTCGCTGGCAGCGGCGGGTGTTGGTTGTATCCCCCATGCCGGCCTACATGGTGTGCGGCTATGATGTCCCACGGTACGTGTTAAGACGTTTCCGCGGCAGCGGCCCTGCGACCTAATCTAGTTTACCCTTCTTTGATCCATCGTGCATGCAGCCAACCTTGAGACCGCTCTCCTTTGGCATATCCCGTTCCGCCTGGCTCAGGGCCCCGGCACCTCTGCGTGCATCCCGCACCGTCCACCGCATGTCGCTGATGACGCATTGCCGCCGCTATCATACAATACCACCGCCCTCCTTTCCTTCCTCCTCCCCTGCTGCTGCTGCTGTTGTTGCTCTTGCTCCTTCCTCGACCCGTGGAACAGCACCATCAGAACTTTGCCAGGGCGGCAGCCAGTGACGGCGCCCGCGGCAGCGCCAGTGGCAGCGGCGGACTGTTCTGTCTGGATTTGGAGCATCCCAGGTCGCAGAGCTTAAAGCTCGCTTTCTGCGCCCCGCTCGGTGGTGATGGCGGTGGTGCCAACCCGCGACTTGGAGGCTCCGAAGATCTGGATGGTCTGGGTGGCAATAGCCTCGTAAGCATCACCCACAAGCCACCTGGCAGGTGCCTCGCCGCGGTGGAGGTGGAGGCGGCACCAGCTGCTATGCTGGTGGATAGGAGCGCCTCTGCGGGAGGCGGCGGCTGCGGCAGCGGCGGTACCGGTAGTGGCGGCGGCGATGTCAGCATCAGACGACAATGGTTATTGGGTCTCAGGGCGCAGCAGCAGCATTTGGAAGGCGAGGATGAGCGAAGCGGTGCGGCTACCAGGCCGTCATCACAGCAGCAGCTTCAGCAGAACCCCCAGCAACAGCAGCAGAAGCAGGAGCAGGAGCAGGGGCTGCGGGATCAAGGCAAGTTGGATGCGGCGGCGCCGCTGGCCGCCACACAAATTTCATTACCTGAGACGGCGCTGCGTCTGCATTTAAACGCAATGCCAGCTCTCCCCCTGCAACGGCAGCAGCGGCCAGAGCGCCACCAGTCGCAGCCTCAGCAGCTCCTTTGCGGTCTCCTTCAGGGTGGCGATGTGCGCCGAGAGCCCTCCGCCTCCGTCGACGCCATGTCTATGCCGCCCACACAGAGCGGTCAGAAGCTCATGCTTGGCAACAAACAACAACAGCAGCAGCTGCAACAACAGCAAGACCCCCGGCAGGTCCGGGATCCCTTCGCTGTGTGGAACGTGGAGCAGCAGGAGCAACCGCTGCAGCCACTGCAGCAGCAGCAGGAGGAGCTGCTGCAGCCGCCAATGCTGATGAGTGGTGCTGGCGGCGTCGAGCGCCCACACCTGACGGCGGCGGACGCGTTTCCCCGTGACCCGCAGCTCCTGACCGCGCGGTCCATTGTACAGGATGTACGGCTGGAGCGTGAGCTGGTCTCCTTGCTGGGCAACCTGGCGGCGGAGCAAGAAAAGCTGGACGATATGTACAGCAAGGGGACCTCCCGGATCGCCCAGATAGCGGGTGCCAGTGGCAGCGGCGCTTGGACGACTGGCAGCGGTGGTTCGGACAGAGTCGGCCTTGGATCCTCGTCTGGGTCCCTCGTCGGGCCCTCCTCGGGTTCCGACTTGCAGTCCGGTCCTCTGGTGCAGTCGGGTCCTTCCCCCGCGGGCTGGGCCACCTCAGGGGCCCTGCGCCTGCAGCTGCAGCAGCCGCTGCCGCCATTGCAGCTGCAGCAACAGCAGCAACAACAGCAGCAGCAGCAACAACAACAGCAACAGTCTCTGATGCGCTCGCCGCTGCCCTTGGGGCTGACGTCCCCCGCGGACGGCAATGGCAATGGTGGCTGCAGACTGGAGGATGGTGGCGGCGGTGCCAGGCGTTTCGGTCATGATAGCGACGCGGATCCCGGCCCCCCCACACCCCTGTTCGGCGATGATCTGCACATGGTGAGCCACACCGCAGGGGAACGGGAGTCCGCGCATCCAGATGGTGATGGAGACCGCTTAAGAACGGGACGGGTCAGAAGCGGGGAGGTTTCGGCGCCGGGGCCGGCGTCACTGCCGTACCTGGCGGCTGGTGGCAGTGATGCCGCCATCGCGTCCGCCAGGGCCACCGGCATGGATTGGGTGCCCACCGTTGGCGGCGGCGGCGGGGTGGAAAGCGAATACGTCAATGCCGATGGCGTACTTAAGGAGGCCGCAAGACCGGGGACCAGCTTCTGGCCGACATCGGCGCCGATACCATCACCATTTGTACAGCCCGGCAGCAGTAGGGGTGTGTTTTACGGCGGCGGCAGCGGTGGCGGTAGCGGTGGCCACCGTCGCAGCGAGCAAGGTATTGTCGGCGATGTGGCCTCTCCGTTGGGCGGGCCGGATTCTGTAGTTGCAAGACAGCTCGAGCACCCGGCCCAGGGGAACCTGTCGTACAACCCACTGACGGCGACCGTGTGCGACACGGCCAAAGCGTCGCTGCCGCTGCCTTACCCGCCAGGGACCGGCCAGCAGCAGCAGCAGCAACAGCCGTCACAGCAATACTTGGTGGCTGACGGCAACGGCGGCGTCCCGCGACTGCTGCGGCCGCCAACCGGCCCCCAGCTACTCCAGGGCTCTGCGGAGGAGGCCTCTGGTGCGCCCTTTCCCTCTCCCTACCGGCCTGAAGGCGGAGCTTCCAGTGGAGAAGAACCCGCGGGTGTTGGCGCCTGGCCCGCGGTCGCCTCCCTGCAAAGGGGATTTCCGACTACTTCCTACCCGCCGCAGCCACAGCCGCAGCCACAGCCGCAGCCACAGCCACAGCCGTCGTCGCTGTTGCATCATCCGCTTGGAATGGAACAGCAATACTCCCAACAGCAGCACCACTACCCGCCGCCGCCGCCGCAGCAGCAGCAGCAGCAGCCGCCACATGCTGCGGCGCTTGACCACCCCACCCCGGCCGTGATGCTGCCCGGGCTCACACCCGGCCGGCAACTACAGCCGCTACAGCCACTGCTGTCTCAGCAGCCGCCACTGCCGCCAAGCACCACGAGGCTTGATGAGCAGCTGCAGCACAACCAGTACAACCACCTCAACCAAAGCCAGCACAAGGCGCAACCCGCCGCTACCCTGCCTGGCCATGTTCAGCAGTCGGCGTCCTCACTCCTCGGCGTTGGACCGCACTTCCAAGACAACCAGCAATCCCATCAACACCAGCAAACCCACAACCCCTACCACAACCTCCCCAGCAGCCACTCGCTACCTCCTGTTGAGACCGCTCCAAATGGCCCCCCACCGTACGGCGTCGTGCACTCGCTCTCGTTGCCCGCGCTGTACAACCCAGGCCGGCTGCTGCAGCGCCTATCACTCAAGCTCCACGGCTGCTCCCCCGGCGATCTCATGCCGGATAGCCGGGCCACATTGCAGTCCTGGCTCACCTCCATGGACCTCCAGATGCTGCAGTACACCACCCGCAGCGGCTGCATTCTGCTGATAGCCGATGTACTTGTCCCGGTCAGTTGCGGCGCCGCCGCAGCCCCCGCCACCAACATCGCCTGGTCGCTTCTGACGAGAATGGTGTCAGATGGTCCTGCTGCGGGTGGGCCAGGGTCACCATGTGGGGGGCTGGCGGCGGCGACGCTGCAGTCGCCGCCGCCGGCTGAAGGAATGGCTGGCGCGGTGTTATCACCGAATCGCAGCGAGCTCCCGCCGTCGGCATCAGTGGAATCCTCGACTTCCTCGTCGGCGGCATTGTCGTACCATGAAGGTACCGGAGCGCGGCCTGGCAGCAGTAAGAGCAGCAGCGGCGACGGCGCTGATGCGGACACCGATATCGGCTGCGGGGGCCACGCTGATAGCGGTGACGGCAGTTTCTCTGAGGCTCCGACGAGCAAAGCGGCGAGCCCGACCAGGTGCGCCATTGAGCACAGCCCTAGCGGTCCTGACAGCCGCACAGTCAGCAACAGCGGCAGCAGCGGCAGCAGGGAAGGTGAGCGCGCGGCTACCGGTGGCTGCGGCAACGGCGCTGGCAGCCCCGCCGCCAGCCTCTCCGACGAGGGCCTTACAGGCGGTGAAGCGGTCACGGGTGTCGCCACTGCTTGCGGCGATGGGAGCGGTACGGCCATCGGCCACCCTCAGGACCACTATGGACCGCCGGATACGCTGCCGGCGGCGGCGGCGGCAGCGGCGGCGGTCCCCGCCGCCGTCCCGGCATTCGTCAGGGGCGCTGTTGACGAGCCCCTGGCCAGTAACGCACAAGGACATATGGGTCCCGTCAGTGGCTCTTTGTGTAATCTCCTCCGCCAGCTGCTGGGTCCGCTGATGGCGGGACCGGGGGCGGCGGCAGAGGGAGCGGCCGCTACTGCTACTGCTGCTACAAACCAACGGCTGGTGATCCAGCTTGATGATCAGGTAGCGCCCTGCCGGTGTGGTGTGGGGCATGGGGTGTGTCGCTGATGGGGATGGGAAGGGTGGTAGGGGCCATGGGTGGTGTCGAGTTGGGGGCTTGGGGTCCTGTGGTTGTATTGAGGGACCACTCAGAGGAGAAGCTATTGGGACGTTGGCGGTGATGGTTGTGAGGTGGCTGCGCGTGATGATTGTAATCCTGATGATGTAGGGGATGTAGGCCGCCGCACGGTCGGTTAGTCAAAGTAAGCGTCAGCTCCCCAGGAAGCCTCACCTGCCTGCCCGCCTGCCTGCCTGCCTGCCTGCCTGCCTGCCTGCCTGCCTGCCTGGCGTTTGTGATTAGTTGCGCACCGTGTTTAGTTCAGTCCGTGCGGTATATGCGCAATATCGTATGTAGCCACGTTCCGAGGGAGCTCTCTGGCCTCGACCCGCGCCCTCCCTCTGCTCCATCCCTGCGAAGGTGCTCAGCCTCACCTGGCCGCCGCATCTGGTCGACGGCCGTCAAGCAGCGACGTCTAGCGGCAGCGATAGCGGCGATGTGGCTGGAGCCGGAAGCGATACGGCAATCTCCTCTGCAAAATCTTGTCCCCACGTTCCTCGTGGGGGTGTCGCTCCCCCTCCGCCCACATTACTGGGCCTGAGGCCGGCAGCTGTCGTTGCGGGCCGCGCCAGCAGCCTCAGGCTGACCCTGAGGCTGTCGCCCCTGTCGCGGCTCGCCCGGCAGGAGGCGAATCGCACTGCTATCAGTGCTGACAATTACGTCGTAAGTGCAGGAAAATTACGTGCCGTAAGCCCTAGCTAGATGCTCAGGAAACTGGATAGAGGCGAAGAGAGTTTCAATTACATGAAAAAAAATGAAGAGGACTGTGAAAAATGAAATAACAAAAACACCTCCCCCTTTGTCACGTTCTCAATATGACTTAGCGCTCCGAACAGTTGCCTAGATAGGCGCCGGATGGGGAAATATAACAATTAATCGCATACCCAGCATACCTAATCGGGATCCATCGCAGCATAGCAATACAGATCTAGCTCGTCGGCACATGCCCTGGCACAATCCATATTTCGCCCTGTAGTGCGCTCGAATGCTGCCCGTACTAAGATCCCCCGGGGAAAGTTTCCTCTCCATGCTTTCAGCATGGCTCCGCTATGTCTGTGTGAATTTCAGCAAAAAAGAGCATCTGTCTCCATGGGAACGTATAGGGTGTATGCGTGTATGCACTGGGGCTGTCGATGAGTAGTTTGGGTAACTACTTGTGCAACCAGCTACCTAGACAATCCCAGCAGCAGCCACAACAGCCCGCCCAGCAAGCAGCTGAGGAGAACCCTACGTGGCACCGAGCCCCGGGTGCCCCAGGAGCTGATCCGTGGAAAGCCGCCTCACATTGGGCGGCCGAGGGGACCGACCTGAGCTGCCCTAGGTACCTTCTGCCCGAGCGCGAACTGGCCTCCGTGCCAGCTTGCTGGAGTGCTGGCGTTTTTGCGGATGAGCGCTGGAGGCAGATAGATAGACAGATAGACAGACAGACAAACATGCAGTCATGAGGAATTTGGTGGAGGAAGGGTAACCGCCTGCGAGCCCTGTGGTGCGCTCCGAGGGGTCGTTGGCTTGGAGACCCCCACAGCATAGCCCGTGACCTGGAATGGGGCTTGGAGGGGAGCCCTCAGCTCAACCCTGCCATGGTCCTCGTCCCTGCCGCTCCCCACCCCCACCCCTGAGTCGCCTGTTTATCTCCTCTAACTTCCAGGCCACTCAATTCCGCACCCGAATCCGCACCAGCAGGCAGAAGAAACAGAGGCTGGTCGCGATTGGGAGCAGCCCGCAGAGCTGCACCTGCGCTACGGAGGAGACTGCCTGGTCAGTTGTGAGCTGTGTCCCTCGGCTTTCCTCACGTCGCCGGACACCTTGGTCGCACTGGGGGGCCCGGCGGGGACCATGGGGGCGCCCGAGCAGGCGCCTGCTGCTGCTGCTACTGCTCTTGCTACTGCTGCTACTGCGACCGTTGCTGCTGAGCCGCCGCCAGCTGCAATTCCGACTGATCCCGCGGCAGCGGTGTCACTGGGCAAGACGGGTCCAGGCGGCACATCCGCTGCTGCTGTGGCTTCACTTGCTGCCGCCGTTGCCTCATTCGGCGGCGACGGCCATGCGTTCGGTGCGTTCGCCGCGGAGGTGGGGCTGATTGCGGATATGGGACTGGATGCCCCCTGCTTAGCCACTCCAGGGTTGGCATTCGTGGAGAGCAGCTGCGGCGACAGGCTGGGTCCCTGGCTGCCGCTGCTGGTGGTGCCGTCGGAGGGTGTGGCGGAGGAAATCAACACGCTAGCGGAGTTGTACGACAGGTACGACAAAGAATGGAAACCAAGGAGCATATCTGATGGTTCTCGCGGTGGTAGTGGTGGTGATGGCAGGGCCTGGTGCGAGTGGCTGTGTGCTGTCTTCCCCTCGGCTGGGGAGCTTTTAAGATGCGCACTACCGTTGACGACCCGTGTGTTGAACCAGGTGACATGCCATGCATTCACAGCTTTCTCTCCAGGATGCAGGGCGCCAAAAAGGTGGAGAAATTTGCTCTGCTCCAGCGTGTGGTCCCGCGTGTGTGTACTCGCCGTGTGGCTCCACAGGTGGCAGCTGCAGCCGTTCCTTTGTGACCTGGGTCGACTGCTCATGTTGAGCTCCGCGGGCTCGTGTCTGGAGGAGGCCGGCTACACGGAGGACTGGCTCGCCTACGAAGCCTTCAGCGAGCTGCGGGAGTCCATGCCGGACGCGGCGGTGGCGGCTGGACGACTGCTACAGAAGTGCATTGAGTGGTGCGCGACCGATACCGGAGGGCGAGCAAGGGAGGGGGAGGGGAGGGGACACCGTTGCACACCTACCGTATCAAAGACCACTACAGACCACATACTCTGTAACTAATCGCCCTGCCGTACATCGGTGTTTTGCTCCCCAACCCACTTCCTGCTTCCCTTGCCTTCATATACTTGCCTTTGTTGACAAACCCCTCTGCCTTTCGTAACCCACTTTTGCTTTCGGTGCCGACAGGCGACTTCCCGAGTGCACAGCTCTGGTCACCAGCGTGTTCCTCGGACTGATGGATGGACCGATATGACGATGTGGAGGGGTGGGGGCGCCCAGGATGCGATCCAGTCCTGAGAAGTGCCTAACCTAGCCTAGGTTGTATACCACAGCCTTGCGTAGGATGCCTAGAATGGTCAGTTGCTTGTTGTTTTACTCTGTGTGTTTCGTGTGTTGTGTGTGTGTGGGGGGGGGGAGGCCCTCTGATGCAAAAGATTGTGTAGGCCCCGCACGCCGCAGCCGGGCAACCCAAGATGTTGGATGCACCCTGGTAGGAAACAAACTTCCGAAGCGCGCGCGAGGGGTGCCCACGTAGCGCTCATCTCTCACAGTGACACTCGCACGTGATCAAATGATCTGAGCCGCGATGAGGGGATTGCCGATAGTGGTACGTGTGTGCGTGTGTTGGGGGGTTCAGCTTCACGAAATGGATAGGTTGCTGCACTTGCTGTACGAAACAAACTAAGCGATGTCCGAACCTGCCGGTATGCAAAGGCATGTGGGTACGGCGTGTTCGTTGTCGCCGTGTCTAGGTGTGGCTGGTGCATGCCTGAGAGGGACAGAGGGGGGGGTACGTGAAGGGCTTTTGTGGCGGAGGGAGGGCGGCAGGGCAGCGGGTTTGTGGGCACCGGGGGCGCAGCAGGGTGGCGATTGTATGGGCTTGACTGGGTAATGTGGATTTGGGGGGAACCCCGGGTAAGGCCGCGCAGGGAAAGCTCATGTTAGACTACAAGCGGAGGGCGGTGTAGTAAGTTAGGCCTAAGAGCGGGCGGTGTAGTAAGTTAGGCCTAAGAGGTGCTTCATTCATGTACAAGTTTATGTAGGTGTACGGGTATGTGAGAACGAGCGCGTGGAAGTGTACTGCTTATTGTGTGTGGTCGGGTGTTGGATGCAAGCAGCGCGTGGATGGGTGGAACTTACACCACACCCTTGGCGCACCTGGAGGATAGCTTGATTCACTGAGTTGCGGGCCACACGCGTGTGTTTATGTTTGTATGTATGTATGTATTTATGTATATGTGTGTGAGAGTGTGTATGTATCTATGTACGTGTGTGTGTGTGTTGGGGCCGCCCCATGATGGGTTCCACACTGCTACTAGGCAGTCGTCCTGCCTGGGCGGGTGGGTGTCGATGGATGGTTGTGTACTCCACCACACTGCCGGCATTTGTGATCACTGACAAACCAACATACTGCTCAACGCGTGATGGAGCCCCTTCGGCGGCTGGGCAGGCTGGGTTGTGCCGGCTGTGTTGCCTAATTTGGAAAAGGAATGAACCTGCACTGGGCAGGCAGACAGGCAGGCAGGCTGCCTGGCTGGGTTGTTTCGCAGATAGATGGAGGATTGGGAAGGGGGGGAAATGAATATTGTTAGGGTTTTTTTTCAGTTCATTTGATGCTTTAGCACTTTGATGCCACGTCGCCGTCACTCTGTATTGAGCGCGTGCAGACAAGCTTGTAGGGGTATGGGGCCCTTGATTTACAGCTGGACAGTCCTAGCCTCAGTCATAGCGCTGCGGCCCTGAGGCGGATGAGATTATCGCCGCGCAGTAACTGCAAACTGCTCATCTCGGATTGAGGGCGCCGCGTGAAAGGCGGCGGCGCTCTTGTTGTTTTTGTCTCTTTCTTCTGCAGCGGACCTAGCTGCCTGCTGGGCTGCCTTGCTTACTTTTATTATCTTTTGCAGGAATCGCAGAACACACGTCCGGCCTGCCGGAGGAAGAACATCGCCGCAAACCGCACCGGCCTAACAGGACACTGCGGCTTTAATGCGGGTCGTGTGATGTACGGCAGACAAGGGCGACAAGGGCGCTGCCTTTCTTCCTCCTTGCCCCTTCCTGCCTTGATTTCTTCTTAATATTGGTTTCATGTGTCCCTCTCTCTTCACCTGTCGACTTTTCACAATGTTGCAAGCATGTCTCGTAAGCTTTTTGTGCTTTCCATTAATCTGTGGCTGAGGGTATGTATGTATGTATGCATGCGTACTCGTGCGTCACAGGGCGCCGAGTGAGGCTCCAACGATGGGTGCGTTGGAACGTGTGGGTGCTAGGCCGGTGTTTGCAGGGCCGGTGTTTCCGGCCACTTAGAACTTTTGCGGGATAGGGCTATGTATGTTGGGCCGGATGAGGGCCTCACACCCCTAAATGGAGATATGCACGCCACCGTGCGGGTGTGTATGTGTGTGTGTGAGTGTGTGTGTGTGCGTGTGTATGTGTGTGTATGTGTGTGCGTGTGTGTGTGTGTATGTGTGTGTGTGCGTGTGTGCGTGTGTGTGTATGTGTGTGTGTGCGTGTGTGTGTGAGTGTGTGTGTGTGTGTGTGTGTATGCACGCACCTCCTTCGCCTGCACCTGCTTGTTATTTTCCTGAAGGGTAGATGGCTGGCATGCTCGCTGGGTTGAATTGAATGCTACGTTCAGATGTGGGATGGAGAGATTTGGTAGCTGGCGTGTGTGTATGTGTGCGTCGGAGGGAGATACCCCCTATTGCGCAGCTGGCTTAGCTTCTTGCCTTGTGCCGTACTTCACTCAGCTGTCTGCAGTGCTCTCCTCGTGGATCTGACCTCACTTGCCTCTGATACGGACAGTCGTTGAAAGGCCGCTTTCGTCAGTTTTAGAATCCATTAAGAGGCGGGTAGGGCTGTTAGTTGGCGGAGAGTGGCACCTGGACCCGTACGGGCTCCTGGATTGCTGAGTCGGTGGGGTTGTGTTCTGCATTGCCTAGAACGCGCACTGGCGGAGGGTGCTCGATGTTCGTCTGTTCTTGTCCGTCTGTCTGTATGTCAGCAGCCAGCCTGTCTGTCTATCTGTCTGTCTGCTTGATGGCTGTTGTATGTGTAAGTGTGCGTGACACTCCTAACACAGTCCGGGACCCCCGTAGCCTGTTTAGGTTGGTTTGCATGCGACCGAAGGCTATCCGAATACCGATACATTATGGACACGATACCATATGGTTCCCATGTGGGGCTGCTGAAGTTGGCTTTGAGTTATAGCAGGTGTGTGTGTGTGTTAAGTGGTGGGCTCGATATCGTTTGGGATGTGTTGTCGTCCGGGTGATCCCCACGTGAGGTAAGTTGCGCGGCAGGCTGCTGCGAAAAGAAATGGAACGGGGGAAAGGCTGACGACATTCTCAAACCCCGCGGGCTTGCGGCACTGCAGCTCCCGCTGCTGCTGCAGCGGCAATAGTGGCGTCTGTTTGTCCTCTAGTTTCAAAGACTTACACACATAACGCAAGGCTCCATTCGCTCCATTGGCGAGCCACGCCGTCAAAACCATGGAGATGGGCTGGGACACTCTGTCGGTGGTTACGGACCTATCTGCTGGTGGTGATACGTAACCCCTTTTGCTGGTAATGCTTTAGACTGTTTAGTGTGCTTTAGGGTGCCTCCGGGAGGAGGTTGAGCTAAAATGCGGATACGCGCTGGGCTTAGACGCGGTCCATTGGTGATCCTAGTACTAGCTAATGTGTGTGTGTGTGTGTGTGTGTGTGTGTGTGTGTGTGTGTAACTCCTTGAGTTGCGTTGCCCTCCAAGGTTGTGACAGGCCCATACAAGCCGGGGACGCCGAAGCCTGTCCGGAATAGACAAATATCATTAAAGTTTACTATGCTCTATCGCTTGAAAAGAAGTTTTTATGATGCTGCAAGCCGTTGATGAAGGTGTTGAACCAACGCCCTTTTCAGTGCGTGCGTGGCAGTGTGAAAATGTAAAGCCGTACTCTGCTGGAACCGTCCGGAACGAACACGGTTTGATTGCTGTGGTGGAACAATTATTGTCCGTTAATTTTGTAGTTCGCGGTGATGGTGAGGTTTGTGAGGTGACTTCACAACTCGGAGGGACCCTGGCTTGCTTGTCACAGGGCGGCCACAGGACGGTTATGAAGTTGTCTGGCTCGTTGCTCTTTCGGTCGGTTAGTTGGTTGACGCAACCGCTTCACTGGCTGCTGGTATGTGCTCTAGCTACGACTGAGCGAACCGCAATGCGTTCTTGCATCCTTTCGGTTGTTCGTTGCCGGGTAGACTGTTATATAGTAGGCCTGAGAAAAAGGTTTTTCCTGCAGGAATGGGAGGGATGGGACGACGAGAAGTCCGGTGCAGAGGTACGGTGGCTTCCTTTGGCCATGTCGCATCAATTACGCTCCGTTGGGCCGCCGTGATTATTCGCTTTCGAGTTTTGATAGCATCGGTCGATCACTGCTTTTGGTCGGCGGTAGTGATTGTCTGTTGGAAGGAGGACTGAGGAGGAGGGGGGCGGGCAGGCAGTAGCTCTTACAGGGGACTGAAGGCCGCTGCGCGTCGGCGTCGCAATCGAGAGTGATGTGCTGCCTTGTGTCGGGAGGGGCTGCGTACTTGGAAGGGCGTTAGGGTGAAGTCTGGTGAGCCTTGAGCAGCTCCCCTGGGTTTGAGCTGAAGGTTCTGTTGGCAGTTTTGGGGGCAGCTTGCATTGGGACCCCCGACGCGTGTCATGGCGTGGTGAGGTGATCCAGCCAACCTTAACTATCTAGTTGGGTCACACACACCTACCCTGGATGAATTCGGGGCTAGGTTAGCTGGTTGAAGCTAGATTGATCTTCCCTCTGATCGATTTAGATCCAACCAGTCGTTGTTGAGTTGGATCTTTATGGTTATCCCTGACATCAGTCTCTGATGTGTTGAGCTACGACTTGTTGATGTGGATCTGCCGATATACGACAGATTCGGCGGATAATGTACAACCAGGACAGGTCTACCTTACTGCAAGGATTGAGATTGGCTGGACCTCCTGGAATTGGCGTAAGAACAACTGGGTGGCTTTTTGGGCGAGGCCCCTGGCGCAATCCGCCTTTACCGGTCGGTTACCGACGCTTTTAGACCGCAGGGGGTGCGGTGTGCGTGCACGCTGCTGCACCCGCTGCTTGCTTCTGCTCATGCTTCTTAGATTTCTGTGCAGTCGCGCGGCTTTAGACGCTCTTTCCTTGGACTCCCTTGGAATACAGTTACAGTTACGGTTACAGTGGCCGTTACCAGTGCGGAGAGGGGGTTCCATCAAAGCCTTAAGGGGGCCCCGTGGACCGATTATGGAAGTTAATGTTACGGTGTCGGTGGGGCGATTGTCAGCCATCCTACCGGCCCTGTTGGAGCGGGTAAAGCGCCGGAGCGCTGAATGCCCTACTAGTAGTCCCCCTGACCTCGGAGAAAAAGCTTTAGTTAATGGCAGCGGGGGAGCCTCCGTCATGATGGTGCGCATGCTGCGCCCTTGAAACACGAGTTTACCCCCATACTGAGCCCGCATGCCATCCAAAGCAGGGCATTCCCCAAACACATGCAATTCATCTTCCACCACTCAGGAGTCACAAAGCCTGCAGGTACGTGCGGCACGCTCAGGGTCGAGAGCTCCCAACAGCCCAACCGAAGGCGCATGAGAACCTGGTGCAACCGCTGGGCGAGGGGGTTCTCCCTGTGAGTGAGCCACCCGGGGTGCGATGCCCCCTCACAGGGCGGTGCTCCCATCCAATTATGGTAACGACATTCGCCCTGACCCCGGTGACCCCGGGGGGTGGGGAGCCCCTGGGTCCACCCTGGGTGTTCTCACACGCCCTTGGAACAGCTGTTTATGGCTCACCTCATCGCCACACTCCGCAACACACACGCAGCCCATCCATGCCAGCTGCTCCAGCACTCCCCTCCTTGCCTTCTGCTCCGTCTCACGCACATTACACCCATGTCCTACTCTCCAGTTCGACTAGCAATGGGGAACTGGGTTCCAGTCTGACTGGCAATGACTTGCTATGGGCTGAGTTTGCGCACTAACAGGAGGCTTTAGATGCTCAGCCGTTCTGTTGAGATGGAGGCGGCGCGCAATGCACTGTCCATGGATTCCCATGGCGCCTTAGCAAGTGTATACATCAGACTCATACATCGCTCCAACACCGCCGGCCGCCGCACCCGGCCCTCGCAGTTATTCATAATAATGAGCGCATAGTCCAACACGACAACGTGCCTCCACTTGCAGCCCAGTGCCGTACAGCCTCCCCTGGCTGCACCGGGGCCGAGCCTTTTCCGGCTTCGAACAAGCTGACTACCCGAGATGCAGCAGATGGTCGTTGCGTAAGGAAACTATGTGCATTCAAGGTACAGTCCATCGCCGCCATCCACCTTGTCGTACTCTTTCTGGGTCATTCAGGTTCATCCCCATGTCAACGCGAACGATGGACGGTTGGTTACGATACGGCAATTTGAGTCATTGCGGTTGATCGTGATGGTGATTGTGGTTTCGGCGCCCAAACGCCGCAGCGGATGCCGCGGCCAGGTGGTCCAACCCCGCTTCAATGAGGGAGCCGCAGGCAGCCCGAGCCGACTCAGCCTCCTCGCGACCAGTAAAGGCGTACGGCAGGCGATAAAAAAGCCAGACGTACAAGTCGTACACTCTGTGCAGCTCCTCAAGTCGCTTGAGCTCCGCCTGCATCCATCACCAACCACCAACCAGATTTCAGTTAATGTGGTTTCGCGTCATAAATTCCGTGTTTGCTGGGTTAGTAATGCTATGAACCCATGACGTGGCTGGCCATGAGTTGGCGTGGCCTGGGGTTGCACAAGTATTAAGCAAGGTAGAGGGCTGGCTTGGTCACCGGCTTGGTCCGGAATCACCGGAGTTTGATGCTGAGTGGTGCGTTCGTTGGGTACTGCGTCGTTGGTTGGTAGTTGATCTCTCGGCAGTGGCGGCGCTGCACGCAGCGACGTGGCTTCAACAGGGTTTCTTCTTAGGTCCCAGAGTCCTTTGTGCACTTTGGACCTTGGCCTTCCCCCTCCCTTCCCTGCTTTGCGATGGATGGATTCGCAACAACATGCATGAAGCAGCCAGCTCCCTCCCGACCCAGCTCCCTCCCGACCCAGCCACCTGCCTACCTCGGATACCGGGGTTGCCCGCAGCAGCAGTGGCTGCTCCCGGCCCTCCGTGATGTCCTCCGGCCCCACACGGCCCCGCCTGCAGTACAGCTGCGCGAACCTGAGCAGCGCGGAGGCCACCACCGGGTCGTCCATGTCGGCGGGCGCTGCAGGGTATCGGAACAGTAACGGTAACGGTAACGGTGCCATGGGGCCTCGTGGCGGCAACAGCGACGTAAACGGGCGGGAACGGAAATCAACCTCGAAACCAGCCGCAACCCGCACCCCCAGCCAGCCAACCGTGCTAATATCTGTGGACCCAGACAGCCCGCAATGACTAGAAATCAGGGGTGGAGGGAGGGGGAGTGGAGGGAGGAGGAGTGGAGGGAGGGGGAGTGGAGGGAGGAGGAGTGGAGGGAGGAGGGGGAGTGGAGGGAGGGGGAGTGGAGGGAGGAGGGGGAGTGGAGGGAGGGGGAGTGGAGGGAGGGGGAGTGGAGGGAGGAGGGGGAGTGGAGGGAGGGGGAGTGGAGGGAGGGGGAGTGGAGGGAGGGGGAGTGCAGGGAGGAGGAGGGGAGGGAGGGGGAGTGGAGGGAGGGGAGTGGAGGGAGGGGGAGTGGAGGGAGGGGGAGTGGAGGGAGGAGGAGTGCAGGGAGGAGGAGTGGAGGGAGGAGGAAAGGGAAAACGCGTGTTGGCTAATCGGATGAGCCCCCTCACCGCACTCAGAGAGACTGCGGGGGGCTGGAGTGATGTGTAATTACACAAGCCGGAAAGGCAGTAGGGGGCTGCGAGCGAGTCGTGCGAGGACAGTAAAACTGTGTCGTACAGGCGAGGGGACCAAGCGTCCAGCTGTCACACATTCACACCGCCCACCTGTGCAGAACAACATCATTTCCTCGTAAGACATGTCCTCGCTCAGCTCCCGTAGCGCGCTGGCAATGCCATACATCCCCTCATAGTTGCCGTACATGTACGACGGCCCCAGTCGCGCCGTGGCTGCGAAGGTCAACAGGCTTGTTGCGAGGGGCCGCTCGGGGTGCAGCGCCGCGTACTCCGCCAACGCCTCGCTGCTGTGTGTCGTACAGTGCCATACCGTGCCATGTCGTACCATGCCGCATATATCGTGCCGTATACACATTATATTATGGTGTTAGGTTACGTCGAATACGTGTTCGCAAATGCACAGCTGTTGCAACGGGCAAGCCAGGGAGGCCACGGCCACTCAGGCTCTGTCCTCATGGACCACACCCACTCGCCACGCCGCAAAACACCTCCTTCTCTCACCGCCCTCCTCCCCTCCTTCCCTCCCCCCCCTCTTCCGACCCCGCCTCTACCTGGGCAGCAAGCAAGCGTGTGTGATGTGTTCGGGGGGTTGCGCCAGGGCCCGGTGCAGGGCGCCCAGGTCCTCAGACCGCAGGGTTGTCACGTAGCCGGCGGGGTGGGAGGAGGAGAAGCGACCCGCGCGACCCGCAATTTGCCGCACCTCAGCGGGCTGTTGGGTGGGCCGGCGGGGGGAAGTGGAGGCGGAGGTAGAGATAAGGAGGTGGGGGTAAGGGAAACGACAGACATGGCCTCCCGCCGAACGAGCGGATGGAGGGCAGCGCGCCACATTCCTGTAATCCTGCAGCAAAGCGTAGATGTACATCGAGAGAGTACGTACGTACGTACGGCATTAGCCGTAGCCGTTGCCGTAGCAACGGAGGCATTAACTGCCGCAGGCAGTGGGTCGTCCTCCACCCGCGAATCGGCTCCGCCGTGCGTACCCTTGTCCGTACCTGCAGGGGCCGTACGGCAGTGCCATCGTACTTGGTAAGGGACGTGAAGACCACCCGACGGATGTTCAGGTTGAGCCCCATGCCGATGGCGTCACTGGCGCACAAAACTCGTGATCCAGCAGCAGGCCAGGATCCGGATTCGGAATCGCCTTCATGTGATCCAGGAGCGGCGCAGCCCTGACCATCACCACCGGATTCCGCCGCAGGATCCTCCTCCTCCTTCTCCTCCTCCTCCTCCTCCTCCCTCTCCTGGTGACCCCCATCTCCCTGAGAACTACCTTCACCTTGCTGGTGCCCCTGGTGCCCCTGGTGCCCCTGGCATGGACGGGCCCGCCGGACTCGGGTCCCCGGACCAGACGGCGCAGCGTAGTCACCAGCGGAGGCGGCAGAGGCGGAGGCGGCAGCGGAAGGGTGCGGCGACGGCACCGCGTTGAAGAGAGCTGCCTGCTGCCGTCGGGCCTCGGGCGGCAAGGCGCCGTACACCTATACGGCACGTGAGATACGAGGCACTGACATGTGCACTCCGCCGTTCGTGCTTTTGCTGCTCCTGTGCACAGACGTCACTTCATATCGGGAAGTGCACAGGTGCTTGCGGCTCTGACAATGCTAAGAGGACAGCCAGCAGCACCCACCTTCCCACCTACCCTGCAAGCCTAGGCCCCATCTCGACCACCCAAGCCCAAGCCCAGGAAGCACTGCTTAACTCCGCCCGGGGACGGATCCAGCCAGACCCTACCCCGACCCAACCCACCTTCCTTCACATTTCTGGCCAACGGTCTAGCAGCCCCCGGTTTCCTCACCCACCCAACCTCCGTCCCAGTCCCGGCATCACCTCCAGTCCGCCACAGGGCCTCCCCCGATTCCCCGCCCTCGCGGCCCCCCGACCCACCAGGCACGCCTCCCTGCCGGTGCACCTCGCCACCTCCCTCCGCAGCCCGTGTAGACTTCGCCGCGAGAAGGCCACCAGGCAGTCCCCCCCCGCCACACGCGCCACACTGCCCAGGGCCTCCGACTGAACCACCAGAGGGGACAAACGCCGGTAGCGGCGAACCTGGGGGGGGAAGTACACATTAAGGTGGGGGAAGGCATGGGAGGCATGAAGGCAGTGTGCTATGAGCAGGAGGAAGTGAAGCCATCCATTGCTCCCCAAAGGACCCATTACCCACACGGTCAGGGGATGGGGAGGTCATGGGGGGGGGAGGTCAGGCGAGACCACCACGCCAACAGCCTCATCACACAAGCCCTGGATCCCCTGGAGGTGGGGTGGGGTGGGGTGCGGCTCTGTTGCTGCTACTCCCCCTCCCCACCCCCGCCGCCTGGACTGCACCTTCCAAGCACATATTTGCACGCACTTGCACACATACAAACGTACATACACCCAGCAGTACAACCCTCAGCCCCGGCCGCACCTCCAGCTCGTCCCCGCACTCCGCCGCCAGCGCCCGCAGCAGCGGCAGCACCGCCGGGTCCCCGGCCACGTGCACCTCCCGAGCCGCCAAGCCCAGCAAGGCCCGGGTCCAGGCCCAGCCCCTCAGCCGGTCGCCCAACATCTGGATTTCGTCCAACACGGCCACGTCAAGAGCCCACGAGGCAGCGCCGCCGCCCCCTGGGGCGCCTCTAGCGCAGCCACCGTGGGCGCCATCATCACCACCACTGCTGCCGCTGCCGCGTTCAGTGGCAGCAGCAGCAGCAGCAGCAGCCGTGGTTCTGTTCAGTGCCCCGAGGTTCACCTCCGCCATTTCGATGGTGCACGCCGTGTGAGATGCCTGTTTAGGCTCTCCTGCTGGCCCTGTTGCGGGCCTGACCTCCTGGCCGGTCACCAGGTGGCAGGGGAGGCCCTCGGCAGTCAGCCGGTCCGCCACCTGAGTACACGTGTGTGGGGCGAGCGGACGGGGAGCAGAAGGTGGAGGGAAGCAGAAGTAGGAGGGGAGCAGAAGGAGGTGGGGAGCAGAAGGTGGAAGGGAACGGAAGGAGGTGGTGAGCAGAAGGAGGAAGGCTGCCACATATGGTACAGTGGTTCATTGTCCGCGTCCCGTGTGGTTCCGCGCACCACCTCTATAGGGACACGAACCTGAATCCACGACACGGGTAGTCGCATCCTTCCTTGGCCTCCACTGCACGCGTCCTTGGTTTGAGTCTGCGTCCATGGTTTCCCTTTGCCCACCCCGTCTACCATGATCGCACTTTCTCATCACACACATTTTTTTACCTCACCTCACCTTACCTCGCAGGCCAGCAGGCGCAGTGGGCCGCAGTAGATGCCCGAGGAGGCGGACTTGAGCGCCTGAAGGGCCGCGTGGGTCTTCCCTGGAGCGGCCACCACAGTCGCAAACGCCACCAAAAGGAAGAAAAGGAGGACACAGACGGAGTAGGGGAGGATCACCCCAGCCGCCGCCGGTGTGTAGATGTGTGCGTCGGTGGGTGGGGATGGAAAACGCCGAGAAAGTGGGCAGTGGGCAGGAAGACGGGGGGGATGGCTGAGGCGGTGGCAGGAAAACGGGGGTTATGGATGATGGCTGAGTCAGATAATCGTAGACGACGGGTATATGCAGAAAGGATCGGGGTTTCAAGGCTGAAACATGTTTAGGACGGAGGGAAACGCGCGGAGGGTCTGGAAATGGCTTGGGGACCGGCATTTGTAAGTCGGCAGTTATATGTTTGAAGTGGGTGTATGAAGCGTATGTGGAAGCATAAATTTCCCGGCATATAACATTAGGATAAAGCTTTTATCGTCAACAGTAGAAACCAATTGTTGGCTTATCGCACACTGAAAATGCAAGAGGCGACACGTTAGCGACCCACCATCGCACCAGCGAACGCGTCTTCGTATGCTACGTAAATTGGGTGTCATGAACATTCCTGAAATGATATCTTTGCGCTTGGGGCAATGTCGCAGCCTGTGAGATCTAATCGAGGCGCGACTATTGCTGGTTGAAAACTTATTCCTTCCCCGTCGGTCGTGTCCTTCGGGACCGTCCGCAATATTTGGCGTCCCAGTAGGGACCACCCATTGAAAATAAAAATCAGACATCAAGAGCTAGAACTTATTACTAAATTCACAATGCTTTGTATAAGATAAAACAAGGGTAAGTAGACCGTCTGGTTCGTAACGTCACACGGCTCTTCTCAACAGGCTGGGTATAGAAGACGACTGGACAGTGCTAACTGCTGGTACCAGCAGGGGGACATGGCCGATATGGCTCCCTACGAGTGATAACCTCGTGTCTCTGCCAATACCGGCAGGCAAATTATTGCTGAGTGCCTAATTGAGAGGAAGTGCGGCCGAAAACAAAAAAGATTGATGTCCTTATCTGCTGTGACTGTAGATTCACTCAAGAGGCGAATATACCGTTTGACCGTCGTTATGAGCGGATCCATGCAAAATAGATTACCGTCCACAGATTACCCGTAATGAGTGTGATGGTGAGGTCCAACTGCGTCCCAACCACGCATAGGTCGGCATAATGCGGTAAAACAATGAAAACGCGCCGCAAAGTCGACGATCACTCTATGGATGGCCCGATCCATGATTTGGGCCTGATGTACGACTTCCTGGCCGTGTGCTGCCGTTCGCACCAACCGACGCCCCGTCTCCATCGCGCTAACTGCCGCCAGGACCACTTAACTACATCCCACACATATTGTCGCATTTCTGCCGGAGGTCGCATTAGCCAAACCTCCTCTCGGGATACTGGATGACCCAGTCTTATAGATTTTGGCCAATGACCGCTTGAGGTATGATATTGTAACATTTCACAGAACTGAGACATAACAGAAAAACGAATAATGTGGAATCTACATCTAATTTGAATTGCAAGTTGCACCGCCTCTTTCGCCCGGTCTCTGAACGGCTTAGGAACACATGTACTGGAATAGGTGTACGGGAACTCCGCGCCCCGGGTAGCCTTCGCGTTCGAGTCTTCGCGCAGAAGATATACTGTCCAAACTCCATACTCACTCACTCCAAAAGCCCCAAAGGAACCAAGTCCCCCCAACAAATGCAAACCTCTACTATATAGGTAGTCGTATACCAAGAAGTCAGACACCTGATGTCCCAATTCTACACCCCAACCCACCCTACACCCCAACCCACCCTACTTACCCGAGTTAGTGGGCCCCAGATGGGCCACCACCTTCCGCTGGAGGCTGCGGGCCAGAGGGTACCAGCTGGCGGGCCGGGTGAGGTCGGTCAGCGATGCTGCAGTGGCGGCGGCCGCAGCAGCGGCGGAGCTGGAGCCGGGCCCGGGTCCCGGACTGGGCTCGTCTGGAACATCCCCCCTGCCCTCATCTAAGCTCTGTTTGCGCCGCCTGTCTGCACCGCCGCCGCCGCTGCCGCCGCCGATAGTGCTGTCTGCCGGCGATGGGCAGAACTCCTCCTCCGCTTCCTTCCTCCCGCTCCTAGTTCTAGTCCGCCGCTGTCTAGTCCCATTATCGCGGCTCCTCTTCGTCGAGTGCTGTTCGGTCGCCACCCGGGGCCCGCCAGCCTCCGCCGCTGCGGCGCCGTCTCCTCCGGCGGCGGTATTTAATTGCCGTACCACGTAGCTGCGTGCACTGGTAGCCCCGTGTAGTGTCCACGAGGGGTAAGGAAGCTGCTGGGCGCGGCGGCGGGCGGGGGCCGCGACAACAGCAACAGCCACACTACGCACGGCGACGGTGGGGAATGGATCCATAGATCCAGTACACCTGGTACAAGGGCTAATTGATGTTGAGGCGGACGTATGCCTGCTGCTGCAGCTGCTGCCTCCGTGACCGCCGCTGCTGGTTCCGCTTCCAGAACTGCGTGGGCTCAAGTTGTGGCTGGGACAGCTGCTGCACCAGCTGCCACCACTGATACTGGTGTTACTGCTGCTATTGCTGCTACTGCAGGCGCTCCATGCTGCAGGGAAGGCGGCAATGGTGGTGGTAGCGGTGGTGCTAGTGCAGGCGGTTGCGGCGGGAGACGCTGGGGTCGTGCTGTTAGCTGAAGCCTTGCGAACAGGTGTAATGTCCAGGGATGTCAAATCACCGCCTGGTGGAATCATCTGCTCGCAACCCCAGGCAATGCACTGGTAGCCTGCGGGGAGGGGATGGGGTCGGGTGATCGTCGGACAGGCGTCGTCGCATACGGAGAGCTTAGTGGGACCGGACCGGGCAGCTAGCGGACAAGTTGAAGTGCACGTTGGCGCGTAGTAGGGAATACATATCGAGATAACATGCAGATGTGTGCTCGAAGATGTGGAATGCGGCATGCGCGGTCAAACTATAGCGCGATAGTTGCTTTGCGTGCACCTTTCCGTGGACCAAGCGTAATATCCGTTCTATGTGAGAGTACCAAGAATCCTGCCGCAGCGCTTCCAAACGCATCGTCGGCGTGGGTGGGCGCAGGGCACTTACCCTCGGATGGTTCGTCGGCCGTGAGTCGTCGTTCGCCAGTCAAGGGTAGCTCCGTTGTGCTTGTTGAGGGCAGATTATGTGAGAAATATCTTTCCCAGGGGCATTTGGTGAAGCGTGTTGTGAGGACCTGTATCTGCGCCGCTCTCATAGCGGGTCGCATTTTACCCACAGCAGTCAGAGTTAGTGCAAGTAAGCTAGACAGAATGCACTAAAGAGTTTAGTCTATTAAGATCCTCGAATATGAAATCTCGTTACTGCAACAGTCATTATTACCGTTTCTTTGTAACCGCCTATAACTCCCCAGGGTTTACTTTTATAGAGGTTCTGCTCTTTGGTACGTCTTAAGCATCAGAGTCTCACGATGTCTTACCTTCCTTTGTATAGTTTACATAGGTTGATTGTCCCGTATTGGTAAACATTCCTGCCTTTGCATCTGCATTGTGGATGCGTCCGCAACGACGACTTGAAGGCAAGGCTGTAAAATTTAAAAACATTAAAGCCTGCTCCTCATTTGTTTATGGAGGAAGATTGTGGCTTTGCTGAGCTGGGCGTCAGAGCACGAAATGCAGCTGTGCTTGAAGAGGAAATCCTTCGGGAGGTAAGAGCCATACTTAAATGATGTTGTCCCTAATACCGTATTAACATCTGGTGCAAAGTGCGAAAGCTCTCCTGTGCCGAACATTAAACTCCGGAATCGCAACCCCCATATGCAGTCGTTGGCTGCTGTAGGGGATGGCACCGGCGACTGGGCAGTTAACCATGACCCGCTGAATCCCTCGGACGATAGCAATGGAGCCGCGGACGCTGTCGGAAGTCTCAGGGCCGGCAACCGCGCCGCTGCCACTCCTGCTCCCCCGGCCGGCGCCTCCACCGCGGCGGATGGCCTCCGCCGCGCCCGGCACCATCTGGCCGCTCAGCTGTCCAACGTTCAGACAGAGATCGCGGCCATGGAGGCCGCACTGGAAGCCGCCTCGGCGGAGCCGCAGCCGGGGTCCCCGGGGGAAGCCGTGGACACCGGCGGGGACGCGGTGGGGCCAAGCCAGGTACGGGGCCCTCTTGCGATTCGAACAAGCTGTGCGGGCGAGCAGCTTTTTTGTTCAGTCTGAGTCGTGCGGTCTAGCTCGTATAGAGGGCTGCCACGGACTTTTAAATGCGACTTTTACACCTCGGGCATCACCGCGTCTTGCCTAGCCCGCCTGCCATTATTCCATGCTTCAGCAGGAGGGGGTGTTCCCCTGCCCCTGCCCCTGCCCCTGCCCGATGTATGTCCCTTATGCACACACACCCCATATGATCACATGTGCTTGCTCCGTGCGTGTATGGTTGCCTTTCCCCCCCCCACACACACCCCAATTCGCAGCAGCGGGAGGCCTCCCTTCAGATGGCGGTGATGCGGGACCGTCTGGCGGGTCTGCGGGAGGAGCAGCAGCGCCTGCAGGACAGCATCAAGGGCCACTACCAGCACCAGGGCTCCGACGTGGGGAGGGAGGTGGAAGCGGAGGGACAGGGCAAAGCCGGGGCAGCGGCACCGCCGCAGCCGCGTCGGCCGCGTTTCGGCGGCCGGGCGCTCGCGCGCTGTGGTACCGGTGCCAGCAAGCAAGGCTCAGGAGCAGCAGCACCACCACCACCACCACCACCAGGAGCAGCACCAGAAGCAGCAGCAGCTGCGGCGGCGGCGGCAGAGTCCAACGTGGTCGCAGAGGCGAGCGGCAGCGCCATGAGTCCACATGGCCAGCAACACCAGCAGCAAGAGGGGCACCAGCGGCCCGGTAAGAAGGCTCGCACGACCGTCGTGATTGATGACGAACTGCTGGACGACGAACTGCGGCCTTTCAGTGCTGGCGACCGCGCTGACGGCGGCGGCGGCGGCCCAGGTCTAACGCTTGTGGAGACCGAGAAGGACCGCCGCATCCGCCTGGGCCTCCTCACTCCCTTCGACCGCCTGGCGGGATTCGAACGCAAGGTAACGAGCGCACCCACTGCGGCAGCGGCCGCCAGCGTAGCGGGCGCCGAAGCCTCCGGATGTGCGGGTGGCGGCGGCCCCAATGGCGGCGGCGGTGGTGCGGTGCCGCCACCTCCGCGGCAGCACCGGGCTGCTGGGTTCGGGTCGCTGCGGCACCTGGGCCGTCCGGAGTTGCGGCCAGAGGAGGCGGCGGCGCTGACTCGCAGCGGCAGGCCCGTGGGGCAGGTGATTGCGGAGGCGGGCCGCGTGGCACTGGAGGCACGTACCAGTCGGCGGATGGCGCAGTTTCTGGAGCCGGAGCAGTTGCCGCAGCAGGTGTGGGGGTGTGGGGCCTGTGTGGACGTCTTTGGGGTTGGCGGCGCTTGCGGCGGCGTCCAGGACCTTAGCTAGGCGATCCCCCTGGGGTTGCGTGGGCGGATCGAGGCAGTGGCAGCTAGGAGGGTGAGAGGTGCGCCGGCCAAGGTGTCGATCCACATATAGCCTGTCTAGGCTATGTGTGGCCCGGTCCAACCTCTTCCCTTCCGCATCCGATCACCTTACGCGGTACGAGTTTACCCGTATGTTTGCCCGTCGTCGCCGTCATCCTGCCGTCCAAGTATTTTCATCGCTCCCTCTCTGTTCTCTGACAACAACGGTACGGCGCCGGGATGAAGTATGATAATGTCTTTTACTAAACAAAGTACAACCAAAACAGTTTTCAGGGGCTACAGTATCGCCCCAGTGTCGCTACTGCTATTGCTACTGCTGTTATGGCAGAACCCCTAAAGAAACAGGTACCGAGGGGGCTTTCCGTTGCGGCCACCTCCCCCTCGTATTTGTTCGTCTGTCTGGCAGGAGCGGGATGTGCGCCGAGTGCCTCAGCACTTTTGGCGCCAGGCCGCGTCCTCCCATAGCGCCGGCGGTACCTCCAGACTCAGGCGCAAGAGCACCCTGCCGCGGGCCAACACGGCGGAGGCACGGGCTGCGGCGCGAGCGGCGCGGAGGGCGGAACGCCGTACTGTGGCGGCAGCGGCAGCAGCCATCGGCGGCAGCGTCGCCGGCGGCGACGGCAGCGAAGGGGCTGGCGATGGTGGCGGAAGCGATGGGATCCGACGAAGGGAAAATGAAAGACGGAAGGGGGGGAGAAGGAGGGAGGAGGAGGTGGGAGGCGAGGACGAGGAGGGGGAACGGGAGGGGGAGGGGCAGCGGCGACGTAGGAGGAGGACGACGCGGTCGGGGCAGGCGGCTGGCGGCGGTGAAGCCGGAGTCCATCCTGGGGTCGCCGGCGGCGGTGGCGGCGGAAGGTGCGTCTGCTTGCCTGGCCGATGCAGCTCCCCGCTGACTTCCTTTCATTGACCATGCAGGATGTCATGGCCAATACCCTAGCCAACCCCCCCTGTATGTATGTATGTATGTATGTATGTTTCCCTTGCCTTCGGGGCTTTCCCTCGGCAGCGGCGGCGATGCCGAGGCCTCCGCCTCCGTCACCTCTTCCGCTGAGAGTGCGGGTGAGGGCGAGGACCACTCGAACTTCTCCGATGAGCTGGCTGACGGCGGCTCCAGCGGAAGTGAATCGTACGGCGGCACCAGCTGCAGCGCCGCCGCCGCCGACGACGACGACGAAGGCGACAGCGAAGTTGGAGCTGCCGGAGACCGGGGAGATCCTTCCTCCTATGATGATTCACTGTACGACGACGCTGACGAGGACTTTTACCAGGAGCGGCTGCGCCGCAGCCGCGCTGCAGCGGCGGCCGCCAGCGCGGGCGGGGGTGGCGGGCATGGCGCGATGCATTCTTCCGCCGCCGCCGCCGCCGCCTCTGGACCGCCCCGCCAGCGGCGGCGGCGGCAGCGGCAGCGGCAGACTGCCGGTTATGCTCACCTACGTAACGGTGATCCGGACGAGAGGCAGCACGAGCAGCATCTTGGTGAGGGCCCCAAGGTGCCCGCGGAAGAGGAGGAGGAGGAGGAGGAGGAGGAGGACGTCGTGTTCGAGGGCGGCTTCCGTGTTCCGTCCCGGCTGTACGGCAGACTGTTCGACTACCAGCAGACCGCCGTCAAGTGGTTATGGGAGCTCCACACGCAGAGGGCGGGCGGCATCCTAGGGGACGAGATGGGGCTGGGCAAGACGGTTCAGGTGTGTGGGAAAGACCAAGCGTGTCTCCCCCTTAACCCTGACAAGCGCGCATACACATGTGTGTGTTTGTGTGTGTGTCTATAATGTGTGATTGATGTGGGCAGTGATGCGAGGACACACCGAAATGGTGCACAAAGAACTGTCCCGATGCGAGTTCCGTAGTCCAGTCCTTACGTAGCCTTTTTCCTAAATACTGTCGACATGCCTGCTTGGATTGTTCATTGCTTGAATGTTGAACAAAAGCCGTGCTAACGTGAGCCCGCGTGAGCCCGTGTGTGTGTGTCTCTTTCTCAGCCCCTCCCCTGCTCTTTCCCCCCCCCCCCAATTTGCGCGCCCAGCCCCACCCCCGCACCCCCACACACCCCCACCCCGCAGGTGATAGCCTACCTGGCAGGTCTGCACCACAGCGGGCTCTACCGGCCCTCCCTGATCGTGTGTCCCGCCACCGTCCTCCGGCAGTGGATGCGGGAGCTCCGGAGCTGGTGGCCCCCCTTCCGAGTGGTGCTGCTGCACGAGAGCGGCAGGAGCCCGCCGGCCGCTGCGACGGCGGTGAGACCGGACAGGTGGGTCGTGCGGGGGTGCTGGAGGGCGGTGGGGGCAGTCTCGGGGTGGGCCCGATCTGGAGGGGGGGATAGGGAAAGCGAATTAGACTGGTGCTGAGGAGAGGGGAGGGCGGGGGGGAGGCATATGCCGGGAGGAACAAGGAATGAGCTGCCGTAAGGCGTCCAAGCATCGGAACTACTGGGGGGCCGAGGAGGAGGAGGAGGAGGAGGAGGGAAGGAAGGGGGAGGAGGAGGAGGGGGGAGGAGGAGGAGGAGGAGGGGAGCGCTGGGAATGTCTGTTTCATGGGTGGAGCAACCGGTCGTCAGCGACCCCTGGTCAAGGACTACGGATTCCGCGTGTGTGCATATGTATGTAAGTGCGTTGGTGCGGGAAAATGGGGACATATTTATACCCCCTTGAACTACTCAGCCATAGCCCGCTGCGTCTCTGAGCTCTTACACACACATACACACACATCTCTACATATCTCAATCGACCCACACCAGCAACCCCACGGACCCCTTCCCAGACCCGCACTGCTAGAAGTGGCCCTGAGCAGTCCCTCCGGACTCGTACTGACCACGTACGACAATCTGCGGCTACAGCGGGACCTGCTACTGCGAGTACGGTGGGGAGTGGCCGTACTGGACGAGGGACACAAGATCCGGAACCCGGACAGCGAAATCACCCTGGTGTGCAAACAGGTCGGCTGGGGCCCGGGGGGAAGGAGGAGGTTTAAAAAGGGGGAGGGGAGGGGGGAGGACATGAAAGCAGAGATGGCGCACTGTGTGCACATGTGCGTGGGTGTGGGTGTGGGTGTTGGTCCGTGTGGGGGGGCCCCGCAGTGCAGCCCGACGCCATCGCCCTGGAGTCGCCCCCTCATGCGAGTGAGCTCCTTACTCGCCTACGGACTGGAGCTGGGGTGTATAGCGACCCCCAGCAGGCATTGCACGTGGCAGATGGGGCTTGATTGGACGGGTCCCTGACCTCCCGCCCTTTTGTTCCCATTGCCTCCTATTCCCCTTCCTCCTGCACCTTTCTTCCTCCTACCCTCCCCCCCTTTCCCCCTTCCCTCCTTCCCCCCTCCAGCTTCACACGGTCCACCGGCTGATCATGAGTGGCAGCCCCATACAAAACCGGCTGTCGGAGCTCTGGTCGCTGTTCGACTTCATATTCCCGGGAAAGCTGGGCACGTTGCCCGTGTTCCAGGCGCAGTTCGCGGTGCCCATACAGGTGGGGGCGCGAGGGGCCCTCCACCCCCAACCCCACCTCCACCCCACCTCCCCTCGACTCCACCTGCCGCTTTCCCCTCCTCCTTGGGTGTGGTGGGTGGGGGCTGGGGTGTTCCTGTGTGTTACTGTGGGCTGCTACAGCCTGATGTTCCTGATCCGCTTACTGCCCACTGCCCCAGTGCGCCCAGGCTCTCCCCCGGGCCCCCCCCCCCTTGGCCCGCCCCACCCCCCCCCCGGCCCCCCCCCCCGTAGGTGGGTGGTTACTCCAACGCCAGCAGTCTGCAGGTGACCACCGCGTACAAGTGCGCTGTGGTGCTGAGGGACCTCACGGCGCCGTACCTGCTGAGGAGACGGAAGGCGGATGTCGCGGCGCAGCTGCCCGCCAAGATGGAACAGGTATTGCTACTAGGACTCCTACTGCGACTGCTACTGCTACTGCGACTGCGACTGCGACTGCTACTGCGACTGCTACTGCGACTGCTACGGCCTCTCCTCCCTCGCCCCCTAGCTGGCCCTCACGGGCGGCCCCGACCGGCTCACACCGACCTGCCCATACTGCTACTGCTACTGCTGCTGCTGCTGCAGGTGCTGTTTTGCACATTGGTTTCGGAGCAACTGGAGTTGTACCGGGCGTACCTGGCCAGTACCGAGGTGAGGACGTAACGATTGTGCACATGTAAGTATGTATGTACCTTTGCGCACGTGTACGTGCATGAGTACGTATGTACGCCACGAAAATGAAGAGGAAATATCCTCTGGCGTCAAACCACGTCATGGGTACGAGAGGGCTGTCGTACACTCTTGGGGCAGACAACGACGTGTTCACCACGAACCGAACCGACTTGACCTGGCGTGTTTTTCACCCCCTTTCCCCCCCCCGCCCCCTCCCCCTGCCCCCGGCTCCTAACCGGCTCAGGTGGGTGAGATCTTGGAGGGCAGTCGGAGGGCCCTATGCGGTATCGACATCCTCCGCAAGATCTGCAACCACCCGGACCTGTTGGAGCGAGTGACCGCACAAGATGCGGAGGATTACGGTGCGTGGTTTCGGAGCCGGGAGCAAAACACCTGTGGCCTCCTGTGTTCATTCGTTTGGCGCGTTGTGGTGGTGTTCCCAGTGGGGGGTTTAGTGGGGTTTGACATCCGGCTTCACTTCCTTGTCCCTTACCCCTTACCTTACCTTGCCGTACGATGAAACCGCCGTGATCTCCCCCCTCCTCCCCAACCCCCTCCCCTCCCAACTCCTTTTGGTCAAGAACGCCTTTTGGTCAGTTCTACGTCTGGTACACTCTTGCCCTGGGAGCAGCTTCACTCGTTCGTGGTTCGTCTTTCCCCTCCCACCCAACCCCCCAGGTAACCCCGCCCGCTCTGGTAAGCTCCGAGTGGCGGAGCGTGTGTTGACCTCCTGGCACACGGCCCGTCAGAAGGCGCTGCTGTTCTGTCAGACTCAGCAGATGTTGGACATCTTGGAGAAGCTGGTGGCGGGTCGGGGCTGGAGCTACCACCGCATGGACGGGGGCACACCGGTGGCGGTGCGGCCCCGGCTGATTGACGACTTCAACACCAACCCCGATGTGTTCGTGTTCCTGCTCACGACTAAGGTGGTGGGGAGGGAGGGGGCCGCCGAGGGGGGGACGGGGGAGAGGAGGAGGGGAGGCGTGGCGTGGGAAGGGGGAAGGGAGGGGTGCCGTGCTCAGAGAGGAAACCGGCCGGGCAGTAACGGTGAGTTGGACCCTCTTGGCTTATGATCTGCGGCCCGCGTCCTTTCCCGCGTCCTTTCTGCTGCAGCTGATACTCGCCCCTGCTGCTGCTGTGTGTGTACATGTGTATGTATGTTGTTAATGGGTGGTTAACTTCGCCAACGGCCCCCTTTCCCGGGGCAGTCCCTGCTCTCCCCTGCTAGAGGGGCACCCTAATCCGTCACCCCATCCGACTTCAGAATGTATTCGTTGGGTTCGGCAACTCAAGACCAGCATCCAACCAAATCTAGCGGATCAACGGCGCATCAACTTAGTTCCTGGTTAGCTCGCAAGTTGATTTTATCACGTCCTACATCGTCCATATGATGTGTATGTATGTATGTATATATATGCGTTTCACGCCAGGTGGGCGGTCTGGGTGTCAACCTGACAGGCGCCACCCGGGTTATGTTGTACGACCCGGACTGGAACCCCTCCACGGACATACAGGTGTGTTGTGTATTGGGGGGAGGGGGGGAGGGAGGTGGAGGGGGGAAAGGGGAGGAGGGAGGTGGAATGGGGGAGGGAGGGAGGGAGGGAGGGGAGGAGCATTATCACTATCCCCCTTCCCTGAACCTACCATTGTGTCGTAGTGGTTTTGGTTGTCAGGGTTTGGCGGACCTGTCCATGTTTTCCCCCGGCCCCCCACACATACGTACATACATACGCTAGATTTGGTTGGATGCTGGTGGTGAGTTGCTGAACCCAACGAATACATTCTGAAGTCGGATGGGGTGAATGGATTAGGGTGCCCCTCTCGCAGGGGAGAGCAGGGAACTGCCTCCAAGGGAAAGGGGACCGCTGGTGAAGCTATACCACCCTGTAACAACATACATACGTACATACGTACGTACATACATACATACATAAATACACACTGGGCCACACTGGGCGCACCGAGGCGGGGCCCAGATCTCGTTGTGGCTCAAGCGGGCCCCAGTACATTATTGGATGATGATTACCCCGCACACCCACTTCCCGCTATCTGCCGCTGCGACCCCTTCCCTCTGCTCACGTTCCCTCCCCTCACGTCCCCCTCGAGTCGATAACTTCATCGCTCAGTGCTCACTCACTCATTGGGCCAGTTTCGGACTTTGGACGCCTTCCGGCAGTCAGGCAGTTCATTCCTTGTTGTTTCCTTGCAGCATGTGATCCCCCTTCGCCTCACCCCGGCTCTCCCCCTCGCCTCCGCCAGGCCCGCGAACGTGCCTGGCGTATCGGGCAGTCCCATTCCGTGACCATCTACCGGCTCATCACGGCAGGCACCATCGAGGAGAAGATCTACCACCGCCAGATTTACAAGAGCTTCCTTACGAACAAGGTGGGGGATGGGGAGGGCGGGGAGGGGAAAGGGGAGGGGGAAGGGAGGGGAAAGGGGAGGGGAAAAACCCACACACTCACAAACCATCTGATCCCACTTAGGCCTGCGCAGCTTAGTCGCTCGAAGTTGATATCGTTGTATAAGCACGTCAGCGTCATGCAGTTCGCCCCTTGCCCCTTTTCCCCCCCCCCCCTCCCCAAAATAATCCGTCAGGTGCTCCGAGACCCGCGCCAGAAGCGCTTCTTCACCGCCAGGGACATCTCCGAGCTCTTCGTGCTGGGACCCGAGTACAGGAAGGGCGCCTCAGCGGCGGCGGCGGCGGCAGCGGGGGGTGATGGTGGCGGCGGTACGGGTAGCCTGGTCGACACGGAGACAGCCCGCATTTTCGGAGCTACTCTGGATATGCAGGACGCGCTGCGAGGAGGCGGCAGTGGCGGTGGCGGCGGCAGTGGCAAAAATAGGAAGGGCCTGTCGTCCACAGCGGCAGCGGCGGCGGCGCTGCGCCGCCGCGGCGAACGTGACGGCGAAGACGGCGACGGCAGCGGCGGCGGCGCCGCCACCACCGCTGCGCCCAGTGGCCCAGGCCCAGGTCTCAGCAGTCGCTGCCCACATCAGGGCCCCGATGGGGGCTCAGCGCAGCGAGCCGGCTGGGGTAGGAGCAGCGCGGCTGGGCAGTCCGCGGCGGCGGCGGCCGGTGGCGGAGCCTACGACGCCGGTGACGAGGACGAGGTGCATGACGGCGGTGGCGGTGCGGAGGCGGACGAGTCCCGGGTCCTGCGGGAACTTCTAGACGGCGGCGCGGGTGCGTGATTGTGATGGTGATCGTAATCGTGAACGGTGGCCGCTGCATTTTCCCCGCCCCTCCCCCCTCCCCGTGGACTCGTTCGTGGTTCCGTCTTTCCCCCTTCACCTTTTTTTATCGCGAATTCGGCCCTCGCCTCATTTGGCACTCACCGCCATTGCACCCAACATCACATCCGGGTCTTTCCCTAGACGACCTCCGCATACCCCTTTCCTCCCCGCCCCGCTCCGCCCGGGTAACTTCTGAACAGCTTCATTCAGGATTGCCTGCTCCTCACAGCCGCCCTCTTGCCCCCTCTTCCCCCCCCTCCCCTATACACACACGCCCAGGTATCCGCGGCCTGGTGGACCACTCCAAGATCGAGGGCGCCAATGATCCCGAAGTCATTGCCGTACATGCGGAGGCGCAGCGTGTGGCGCAGCGGGCCGCAGAGGCGTTACGTCGCTCCCGCCTCGCCTGCGCCGCCGCCTCCATCGCCACGCCCACATGGACGGGACGCCACGGCCGCGCGGGGGCACCGCAGTTGGCGACGGCCGCGGCGGCGCCGTCGCCTCCCTGGGGCGGCGGAACCTGCCGCACTCAACCGGCTCAGGCGCAGCCGCGCCAGCAGCAGCAGCAGCAGCAGCAGCAGCAGCGGGGGGTTGAGGTGGACGCCAGGGAAGGCGAGGGCGAGGCAGGGGGCCCCGGTCCTAGCTCAACGAGGACAGGTGGTGGTGGAGGTACTGGCGGAGGAGTTGCCGTACGGCGGTTCGGAAATGTGACTAACGGCCGGATGCGGGCGGCTGCGCCGATGTCCCCGTCGGTGGGGGCCCGCGGGCCTGGCCTGAGAGCTGAGCTGGCGGGGGAGGGTGGGGGGGAAACGGTGGCGAACGGCAGTGGGGCCCCCCCACTCGATCAGCCGTTCAGCGGGGCGATAGCGGGCACCCGTGGCCTGTCACGCGGCGGCGGCGTGCAGTCATCCGCAGCGCTGCTGGCGCAAATCCGTAGCCGCCAACAGGACATAAGAAGCGCCGCGGCGGCGGCAAGCCGCGGCGCCGACGCCACTGCAGGCGCGTCGACCAGCACCAGTGGTCGCAGCCACGGCGGTGGCGACTGCTCCTCCGCTGGCGGAACGGCAGCTGAGCGACTCGCTGGCGAGCTGGTGTCGTTCCTGGAGGAGCACGGGGGCCTGGTGGGTAGTGAGGAGCTAGTGGAGGCGTTTCGGTCACGGGTGGTTTCGGAGCAAATGCCGCTGTTCAAGCAGGTGCTGCGCCAGGTGGCAGGACTGCGGCGGCGGGCTGGCGGCGGCGAATGGGTGCTGAAGCCAGCATTTGCCACGGCGCGGGTGCCGGCGGGGCTTGGCGGCGGGGAGGTAGCCTCTGGTGTCGGTAGGGGGTCTGGAGGGAGAGGGCGGAGGCGGGACGGGAGAGGGGGGAGGGGAAGAGAGGGGCGAGGGGGGGGGCGGGTGCATATGCAGGAGGCATCGGCAGGTGGGGATGGGGTTGGCGGCGTGGGTGCAGGCATGGATGGGGAGGAGACGCTGGGTGGGGGGAAGGGTGACGGGGGAGCGTCCTGTGCTGGAGGCTCCATGGGCGTGCAAGTGGAGACGGAGGTGATAGACCTGACGTAAGCGGAACAGAGTGGTGCGAAGCGTTGGTTGAGGATTATTGCCTGGCTGGTTTGATGGAGCGAAGCACACTTAACAAGAAAGGTTGGGCGTGCAGCCGTGCACGTGCGTGTATGTTGTTGGGTGTGATTATGCTGGCGACTGCACCTCCTTTTTGGATTATGCGGTGGCAACTGCATCGTTTGTGGGGGATGGGGTTCTGTATGCAGGCATGTGCCTGTTAAATCGTTATGGTAAAGAACTGCGGGAACGAAGAGGTCTCAGTTCCCGAAATGTGGACAGAGGGTATCCTTGACACGATAACAAGCTGCTTTGTGTGCCTTTGTGCGACGAACTTTAAACATTTCCCCAGGGCTCAAGCCCCAAACATTTCGACCCGTTCGGGGTCCACTGTAACAAACGCATCCTCAAGCCCCAAACATCCTGCCAAATTCCTCGGAGACCGTTTTCGTGGTGCATTCCAGCATGTAATAGTTGCGTTTTAAAACACGATTTCTACTTGCTTAATTAAGTTAATTTGCTTTCCTGAGGGAAGCCGGAATTTCCATAGGCGGTCGCTATATCTTAAGCTTTCAAATGCATAACCCCATGCCTCATGGACGGACAGAGTTCAAAGCTTTGGTGATATTCAGGTTTGTTTCGAGATGCTAGGCGGCCTTGCGCCGCCACAACCTGGTAAGAGAGTTTGCCTAGTCGCAAATGCACAGCTAAAATATGTAACCTGTACTTATTAGCAAGATTAGCTTTAGTGTCAGAAATTGTGACGTTGAGCTGGCGCCATGAGTTATTGAAGTCCCTATTGTACGGTTGGAGTCGCAGTTTGCCGGACGTGCTCAGATAATGCTTTCCCAGCTCACGGTCCTTTCTCTCTCTCAGCACAGGCGCAGAACCTGTTGGCAAAGATGGCCGTGCAAATCAGCAAGAAGCGGAAGTTTGTTGCGGATGGCGTCTTCTACGCCGAGCTGAATGAGCTGCTTACTCGGGAGCTGGCTGAGGATGGCTACAGCGGTGTGGAGGTCCGCGTGACTCCCATGCGCACGGAAATCATTATCCGTGCCACTCGCACGCAGAACGTCCTGGGCGAGAAGGGCCGCCGCATTCGGGAGCTGACATCGGTGGTGCAGAAGCGCTTCAACTTCCCAGCCGATAGCGTGGAGCTTTATGCTGAGAAGGTTCTGGATCGTGGGCTGTGCGCAGTTGCGCAGGCCGAGTCGCTGCGCTACAAGCTGCTTGGCGGCTTGGCCGTCCGCCGGGCGTGCTACGGCGTGCTGCGCTTCGTGATGGAGAGCGGTGCCAAGGGCTGTGAGGTTATTGTCTCCGGCAAGCTGCGGGCCGCTCGTGCCAAGAGCATGAAGTTCAAGGACGGCTACATGGTTAGCAGCGGCAACCCAGCCAAGGTTTATATCGACGCCGCTGTTCGCCACGTTCTTCTGCGCCAGGGTGTCCTGGGAATTAAGGTCAAGATCATGAAGGACTGGGACCCGACCGGAAAGCGTGGCCCGCGCACTCCGCTGCCCGATGTTGTTAAGGTGCTGGAGCCGAAGGAGGAGGAGATCTTCCAGGAGAAGCCGCACATTGGCAAGGAGGACATGTAAGGCATTTGGACCTTGTAAGTGGCGAAACGATGGATTGTCCAATTGTCCCATCCGCTCTTTCACAAAGCATCAACGAAAGGAATGCCCATGAGCAGCTTCCGTCAGCAAAGCATAAGAAGGAAATATTGTGTTTGGGGACTCTCCTGCCTTGCTGCCGTTCCCTGCTGCTGTTGGCTCTGTGACCGCCGCCAGCACCGGTTCGGACAATGGGAGCGCCGTTGCAACAGTATGAAGGAAAGAGGGTTGGCAGGGGACTTTGGAGGCCAACCTGCGTAAGTGTAGTCAGTAAGCAAGTTTCGAGAGTGCCGAGTTTGTCAACCTATCGACCCCTGGGACACAGCGGGGTGGCATAATGAAACGAATCACATGGAAGCCATTAGCTTGCATTCTGGCTGGGTGCGTTCCACAATATATCTATTCCTAGCTTGATGGCACTTGGGATGTCAGCCTTCTGGCGGAGCTCTGGTGGATGGCGGCTGCTAAACAGCTTGGACACTTTTGGGAACTCGTCTTGGGGGGGTCTTACTGATGCAGGCACTTTCCATTTGGAGCCATCAGTGGACCGCCGCGCTGGAGCTATATGCCGACATCAAGGTAGGGGTTTCGGGGCAAGGCAAGCTGCAACGGGGATCCAGAGCATGCGAGTTGCAGTGAGAAGCTAACAGGGATCATAGGCGGCTGCAGCCTGTTGCATGGCCGTGTGTATTTCAAACGGTGAGTATTAAGGGCACATGCCATCCGAATGCTGATGGTGCGGGGACAGGCTGGGATATAGGGGCTAAGTTAGGCTGCATTGTATGAAGCATGCGTCTGCAATTACGCTGTTCTTAACGGGAGCCACGGTCAACAGGTGGGCAGCAATCGGTGTTGCCGCTTCTAAAGTTTAGGGCTGTGTCGTTAATCCGGGAGGCAAAAATCTAAAGGTTCGCTACTTACCAATAGGTAACGTGCGATGGGCCTCGTTGAAGGTCTTGGTTTCCACAGTAGGGAGACGAGGCGGATGCTGGCACGTCAATTGTTTGTTAGGGCCCGTCTTGAGTGTTATTTGGGGCTGCTTGTTGCTTTTGAACGGGCAGGGAGCACTGGGCTTACTCGCAAGCTTATGTGGGTATGTGCAACTCTGTTGGGGCTGGTTTGGTAGGTTATGAGAATGTGTTCGTGTCGTGCGGAAAAATGCGACGGAGGCACAATTTCAGTGGCGCAGGGGTTTCATTGCCGCGGAATGAGATCTTAATGCCTAAGCCTCATGTGCCATTCGAAGTATCCGAAAATGCGTAATGTCGTTAACTAGATTAGCGGGATTCTCTTTCTTAACCAACATATAATCGGTTCGGCGAAAGAACGTCATATGACGTGCGAGCGCTGTAGACAGTAGCGGACTAGGTTGTCGAGACTACTCCGCGCAATGCGCTGTCGCACACACCGCCGCGCATACCACGCCCTCACCATTCGTTCGTTACCACCAACACCTTTCACTGTGCTGCTGCTTAATACGCGTTCGTTGCACCTACATCCACTGTCATCGCTATGGGCATCGTCCTTCGGTAACATTCCATTCCTTCGCTTCAGATTCAAACGTCATAACCGTGCATGCAGCTGACTCGTTCCTCTCGAGGCTCAGTACAGTGCGCGTCTAGCGTCATGCATACACGACTACAGATACAGCAAATATGCTTAGGTGCTGCACGCCCTCGAAGATGACATTGTCGATTCCGACAGAAAGCGAGACAAAATATATTCTTCGACTGTATAGGTGTGGATGCATCCCCATGCGGTCGGTCCTGCACATTCCACTGGAGGTGGGCGCTGAACCCACAAAAATCACTTCCTTCGCAGAAGTCGGCACTCGTGGCTAAGAGAGGATGTGAATGCACCGACCGGTAGCGATTGCCAGGCTAGTAGCCACAAAGGACGCCAAAATTCCCCACCTACTTCACACAAGCATAGTGCATGTCAACCGCGCCAATATCCCTTTTTGTAAGCGCTGTGCTGGATGCGAACAAAACTCTGTCATCACCGCAGCCCCAAAGATGAACTCGAGCATTCCTACGCCCAACCCTAAGGTCGTGACCCAAATCATGTTCGTCAATATATACTAGCCTCTCCACATGCGTGGGCTCAACTCTTCCACTCAATTTCCACGCCCTAAAACTGCATTCCAGAATCCACTCGAGCGCACGTACACAGTGGCGCCTCACCGCGCGTAGTAAGGTCCAAGGCTTCTTACTGCCAGCCCCGGGATGCCGTGGGGCTTGCGGTCCGCATCCGGATCCACCCAGGCCGCGGGGGCATACACCACAACTGTGCGGGAGGGAGCGTAAACCTGGGGAGGGCGAGAACGGAGGGGTGCAGACAGGTGGGCCGATGGCGGGTCCAAGCAATGCACAACTAGCGGAAACGAGCGGAGGGAGAAAGGGCGCGAGGTATGGAACAGGTGCTTTAATGAGATAAACATTGCAGCTGGGTACGGGAAAGGGGGGAAGGGGAGGGAGGCTGTCCAGGTGTCTCGTTGCCTGCTGCCCTGAAACCCACCATAAACGAGGAGGGCCTGTTGTCGTGGGGTGTGGGGGTGGCCACGAAGGTAACAGCAGCGTCCTTAGTGGCGTTGCGGTAGCCCCCAAACACCTCCTCGTCGCTGCTCAGGACAACCTGAGTTTTGGGGTAGGTTGGAGCGGTGGGCCGTTGTTGAACGTCCGGGGCAGAGCAGAGGTGGCCTAATTTCGTTTAACGGCACAGGTGGTGCATACCCAATTTGCAGGAGTGCACGCAGCCCAAAATACCGGCAACAACTTCCCCATCCAACAAGCAAGTGTGCGTCGAAACACAGGACTGCTTATGCGTATGTGCGTGCGTGGCCCTCACACCATCGGTGGGCATAATTCGTTTTGGAAAAGGTCCCGCAGAGCTCCCCATAGCCCTACCGCACACGTCGCGCAGTCTCCAACGCACCAAGAGCCTACTCCTCCGCACATCATACGGAATTACCTTGTACGGTCCATTGGCATTGCAGCCCACCCGGTAGTCCGTGTACGAGGTGGCTGGGTGGAAGTTGAACACGAACACCAGGTCGCCCCGCTCACACACAATCATCTTATCGGAGGAGTCAGCTCGGGAGACCCACTGATGGGGGGCGCACTGGAAACCGAAAGCCTGGCGGCGGGAAGGACGACGGGAGGGATTTGGTTCTTGCGAGAGATTGGCAGGACTGGATAGATGAAGTGATCGATGAACGGCCTCGTGGGACGTGGATAAATGAATGGATGGTTATCAAGGATGCTATCTATTGAACGATAACCTTTCCTGGGGTCTGGACCTGGCACTCAGACGCCACCGTCCCCGTACCTTGTCCAGGTGCATCATTGCCCGGTCGAAGGCGTTGAGCCAGCGGTACTTGAGGTTGGGGGAATCAGCGAGGTCCCAACGCCGCCGGCACTTGTCGAATGAGCCGCCGTTGCCTGTGGGTGCGGTGCCCCATGGGAAGTGAAGGGGAGCTGGGATGAGTGGATGTGGGTGGGGAAATGGTTGCACCCAGGGAAGGAACTGTTTCCGCAGCGCTGGCGGGCAAAGCTACTGCTCCTGCCGCCACCGCCGCTGCTGGACGGTGTCCGCTTTACCAACTAACCAGAGCCAGGTTACCTAAACTACGTAAAACTACCATGCAAAAACGGATGCCTTGTAGCGCAGAGTTGCAGTCGCATCACGTTTTTCCCATTCCCAAACTTCAGCCGAACTCCACCGCTACCAACATAATCCAGAGCGCCAGCGGTCAGCCAGCCAGCCAAGCAGCCATGTCCTCCCTTCCGCCTTCATGCCCGCAACAGCCGCTAACTCCCCGGCACGGGCCCTTAACCCCTTTCACCTAATAAGCGGCAGAGAATCCATCCCCTACAGGCTCCCTCCCTGCAGCTCCGAAACCCTCCTGCGGTACCCATCCCCCGCGGTGGCCCCCTCCCCAGCCACCCACCCGGTATGAGGCGACCAGTGGATGGGTCGTAGCTGTTGTCGCGAGGAAAGTCGATCCACTCAGGGTGCCCGAACTCATTGCCTGATCAGGACGGAAAGGGTTTGGGGTTGTGGATAACATGCAGGTACAAGGGTTTTGCTGGTCTCCCGAACGTGCAGTTGAGACGGCTGGCGGGCAGGCGGAGGCGAACAAGGGTGGGTAACAAGGCAACGGCCAGGATCGAGGATTCCAACCTAGGCGGATCATTTTGGATACCTGCAGCAACCGCGGGCCCCAACTGCGTCTCCGGGCGTGGTCAGACTCGATTGCGTCTGTCGCTGCTTTTTGTCGCGCCTACGCCGTCGCAACACCACCCCCCGACCCCACGTGTACGATACGAGCAAAAAGCCCGCGTTAGATTACAAATCTTTGCAGCGAAGTTTCTGCTTTTGTGCCCAAGCGGAGGTATCATCCCGGACAGTTGGGTTGCCTGGCTCGCCCGCATCCAGTCCCGGCTGTCCATTCCATCCCATTCCAGGCAGCCCCCTCTCAACCCCTCGCTCGCCTCACCCATGAAGTTGAGGTAGGACTCTCCCCCCAGCGCCAGTGTCACCAGGCGGATCATCTTGTGCAGCGCAATGCCCCGGTCGATGATGGTGGAGGCGGGACCAAGGCCAGGAACGGACTGGCGGAGGGCCGTGGGGGACCGGCGGGTGGGGCGGGGATAGGTGCGGGTTTTCTCATAGCAGAGGCACACGGGGGCAGATGCCAGCGAGATGGCGGGTGGAGAAAGGTCTACTACGAGGTCCACTTGGCGCCAACACACGTTCGTCGGATGACAGCTTCAAGCTCTCTATATGATGTGGGGGACAGGGGGGTCATATCTTCACCCTACTGCTACCCGGCAGACCCTGCCTTCCCCGGTTTTTCGGGACAACCTCATCCTGTCACCCTAGTCAACTTCTCAGTGGATCGCTCAGGTTCAGCACCCACCACCGGCATCCAACGGAATCTGCCGGATCAACGGTGGCTCAACTTCGCTCCTGGTCAGCTCGCAGGTCAACTTTATCCCAGGTCACCACCGTCCGTGGACTAGGGGCACTTTTACTTTCCACCATCGGAAGGATTTTCGACCCTGTCAGGTCTCGATCCCGGAACCTCCGGGGGCATCGGCGTGTGCTTTACCAGTAATGCCTGACCTATTTATGTAAAGTAATTCCTAAAGGGCTCTCGGTCAGGCGCAGGGACCGCGTCTAAGCACCATGTTCCGAACCGGGCCGCCGTACAACGACCCACCGTACCATGAAGTGGTACATTTCCTTGTCCATGAGCCAGAACGCAATGGTCTTGTCCCCCACGAGCGCCTGATCGTGACTCTCTGCGTAGGCCACACACGCCTCAGCGTACCTAGCCACACACGGGATGGGCACAAGCAGGGAAGGTGAGGTGTAAGGAATGATGAATATGTGCATCCTACCGTTGGCAAGCAGCAGGCGGCACTGGCCCCGGTCGCACAACCCTTTACACGTCCTCGTACACGTCCGACAAGGGCAGCTGACGGCCAGCAGCGGCAAATGAGCAGGTTGGTTTGCCTTGCCTCCAAGGAAAGTTGCGGCATGGCCTTAACCCCAAAAGGCCTAACACCACATTCACCACCACCACCACGCCCCACCGGTCTGTGTCAACCGGCTCTCACCTGCGGTTGGTGAGTGTGTGTGTGATGGTCCCCATGTCCCAGGCGAAGTCGTCATGCCCCTTCAATATGTCGATCCACTTGTCCGCTATGGCCATCTGCAGCCGGTAGTCGAAACCCACACCGCCCTCGTGCCACGGGCGGCAGAACGCGGGCATGCCCGACACATCCTCGCCTGGGAGGAACGTGCATACACAAATAAACACACAAGCACACATACATACATGCTCCTGCCTTGTACTTTTCTGACGCTCCTGTTTACGTGCTTACAAAGGTCTAGGTGTGTGTGTGTGTGTGTGTGTGTTTGTCAGGATGTGTCAATATGTGTGTGCTTCCTCACCACACATGGGCTGCCCGCGTTTGTATCCGGATCCGGATCCAGTTCTCCCCTTCTTGGTCCCTCCCACCCACCCACCCACCCCGCTCACCCGTCCTTCACTCACCTACGGTGATGCAGTTGGGGAACATGTCATGAAGCATGTTGTTGACCAGCATCAGGTACACCACGGCATCGACATCCGTGTTGAGACCGAAATACTCCTCGTAGTTGCCTGAGGAGGGGCAATGGGGCGGATGCGGGAGCCGGGGGGGCCGGCCGACAGCGTCTGAGAGGGAAGTGCTTGGCGTGTTGCGTGCACGTGCACGGGGCCCCATACGCCAATCAATCCATGTCTTCAGATGCATTCAGCAGACACCAGCACCAGCAAAAAGCAGCCAAGTAGCAGACGCAGCAACGCGCGAGCCACGGCGCGCAAAAGGTGTATGGAATATATATTTACCTGTGAAGGTGTACGACAAGCCGTGGTGGTGGTACATCATCGAAGTGACGCCGTCGAATCGAAATCCGTCAAACTTGAATTCGTCCATCCAGTAGCGGCAGTTTGACAGCAGGAAACGCAGCGTCTCCCAGTTGCCTGATCAGCCACGTCAGGACGGATAAAGCGGCAACCCGGGGTGTGGGGGAAGCCCGCAGCGCCGTGGCCGACGGACCCAGCATGTACAATCTCAGGTACGTGAGCAACGTCATCTCGACAGGGTAATGTAATAGGCATGTATGAAGTTAAATAAACTGGATCGCGTCAACAAAACGGCGTCAGCCGTACTGTGGTGCATGTATTTACGCGCAGTGGTGTAGGCGCGCCAGACAGGGGCAAGAAACCCAAATCCATGTCAGCAGGTGAACATGAACGGGTATATGGCGAAGCTACCAATCATCAGCTACCACCGTTTCGGTGAGCTGGGAGCACCGAATGGCTGAATGAGTGCAGCTGCTGCTCAGCACGCAACGCAGCCGGCGCGGGCCCCCCGGCGGGGACACAGGTAGCAGTGCTCGGGGCCGGGCAGGGCGGACAGGGCGCGGCAGCACCCGCCTGGTGGTCTGCTGGCACCTCTGGCTCCCGCCAGTGAGGCAAACCAGCGAAAGAAAAAACCCGGCCAGCTCAGCCCCAGCCCCAGCCCCACTCTAACCCGCCCAAACAAGCCTCACGCCTCCTCCCTCCCTCCCTCCCTCCCCCCGCCAGCCCCCACACCTCACCGTAGTCGAAGCAGCGGCTGTCCCACATCCAGTGGTAGCCCCGCGGGCCGCCGTGGAAGTACATGGCGTCAGTGCCGTCGAACATGTTGATGCCGTCGTTGGTGTTCTTGGAGGCGTGGCTGTGCACAATGTCCATCAGCACCTGGCACAGGAGAGGCAGGAGGGGGGAGAAAGTGTGTGCGGGAGAGAGAGAAGGGTTGGAGGTTGGGAGATTGGGGGTGAAGAGGGCGTTGGCGAAGATAGGGCGTGCGAGGCCAAGACTACAGGCTACCCGAACGCGCGCATGGGACCCACGGGGCACCTTGAGGGAGGTGGGAAAGGGGGTCGGGGGGTTGGAGGTTGAAGGAACGACAAGCGGACGCTGACGCGACCCAAATGCGCAACAGGACTGCCCCCCGGACACCTAACTTTCCTGTCTTTTCCCTTCATCACCTAAGAAAGAGAATGTGCGCGTGTGTTGAGGGGAAGGAGGGTGAGGGCACTCTGGATCCAGGCGAACGAAGGAACGGCGCACAAGGACCCCTCTCGACATGATAGGGGTTTCCTGGCCTCATGGCCGACGTGGCGTCCGTGGCGGTGGTAGCGGTGGTTATTGTTGCGCAAAACGGATGGTGGGTAGGTTACCGTCGGCGAATGAATGAAGCGAAAAGCCGATATACTCATAATAACATTCCACCCATCATCGCAAATCAATCCACGCTCCTTCACTATCTCATGACCACGACCACGACCACTACGACCCACACTCTCCCACCGACACCCCCCCCCGGGCAGGAAGTCGCCCACCACCCACCACTAGGCCCAGCCGATGTGCCTCGTCAATCAGCGCCTTGAGCTCCTCAGGGGTACCGCAGCGGCTGCTGGGCTGCAAAAGGAGGGGTGAGGAGGTAGGGACGGCGAACAGCCCACATATGAGTTACCAAAGAGGCATGAGGACATGTGATGCAAACAGGGGGGTTTATGGTCAGGGAACCCCCCGGGCAGGGGGTAAGGCGAACCATGAGCGAGTGACGCAGATACCAGGGCAGGGGGGAAAGACGAACCACACAGGGGGGAACGGGAAACGGCGTCAAAACCTATGCCATAACATGCGTATCGAGTAGGGCCAAAACAGCCGCTGCCCAAGTAACGAAGACAAGAGCCATATCAGCCTACTGTGCAGCCACCGAACCCTCATATAGCCCCAACAGCAGCTCGGTAGCTGCCGTAAACACAGCTGACCCAACCAACTAACCGCAAAGAAGTTGGTTACGTGGTAGCCGAACGACCCTGTGCACGGCACGGGGAGTGGAGGGCGACACAGACTTAGCGACGGGTTGGCAACCAGACGGTTGTACGGAGCGAAATGCGTCATCCGGATTTGTAGCCTGGTGTGAACTGAGAATGTTCAAGGGAGTCCAATGTCTGCAGGAGCCCGTTCGAAGTCTACATCCGTCGAGCCCCCTTCCTCTCCCTTCTCTCTCACCCCCCTCACACACATAGACACACACACATGTACGCTTCCGCCCCCTTCCCCCTGCCAGGGCAACATGCTTCGATGCCTTGCCTGAAGCCCGACAAGCGCCCAAACCACAAGCAGAGGCCACCGCCAACCTCCAGCGCCCTAACCTCCTCCCAACCCCGACCAATTCCCCAACCTGCTCAAGTTTACCCCCGCCTCCGTACCGTAATAGGCATGTTCCTGAATGGCCATGATCTGAATGGCGTTGTAGCCCAGCGCCCTCACCCGGGGTAGCACATCCCTCCGAAACTCCAGGTAGCTGTTCACCTTGGCCTCCTGACTGCTCATGCCCACGTGGCACTCGTAAATACGCAGAGCGCGGGGTCTGCAGGCGGGAAAGGATGATGATAAAGAATAATAATAAGAAGAAGCAAAATGCGATGATAAGCTGTCATGGATTGTCGCGAAGCCAGGTCGCAAGATGCGCCCGTCGCAGCCGCAGGCGAGGCCTCAGCGACACACATCCCAAGGGAGTGGGAGGGGTGGGTGGTGAGTGAGCGAGCGAGATAAAAAGAGTGCGCGGACAGACGGGGCACAGAGAGCGTGGTGGAAGGCAGGGTGGGAAAGTGGGTGTGTGCCGCACACAGGGTAGGAGTGCTGGAACGTGGGGGTTATTGGGCGCCGCATGCGTTGCCGTATATGTCGTACCTGGGAGGGCGGGGGTATCGGAAGACGTACTTCTTGTCAGAGTCGATCTCCCCAGGGGCGCCCGACTCGGGGGGGTCCCAATACACACCTTTGGGGTACGTACGTATGTATGCATGTAGATATGGTTTGGCAGCGGCAGCAGGGGCAGCACGGGCCGGCAGAGGAGCGGGGCGGTGGCGGCGGGGGAGTCACAGAGCAGCAGGGGAGAGGTATCCCAAAGGGGGGTGAAGACGAAGGAGGACATCTCATTGGTTTCAAACAGCTCCTGGCACCTGGATCCTAAAATGCGACAAAAAGGGCTCTAAAACCCTCTTCACCGCTTTCACCGCCACCACCACGTCACTACCAATATCACCCCAGTATCAACACGCCCCAATCCCCAACCAATCACCGTTATTAAACTACCTCTCGGCCCAACCCCCAACCAATCACCGTTGAACTGTATCTCGTTCCAGGCCTGTGTGGCCCATCTGATCCATGCGGGTATGCGCTCCACCCAGCACCCATCCGCCGTCTCCAGCCGGCACTTGAGCTTGGAGCGGTGCGGCAGGGCCGGGCTGCCGTCGGGGCTATCAGGCAGGAACAGCTCCCACACGCCGTAGCTGTTCTTGAAGGCCCAGTGGTTGTCACGGGGGCTCCAGCTGTTGAAGTCGCCCACCAGGGCCAGCGCCTGAAGGGGCGGGGGGGGGGCATGTGATCATCCACGCTCCTCGCAGCAAATGGTCAGCTGCTGAGAGCCGACATCCGACATCTGATTCAATGAAAGGGGGGGCCCTAAGGGGGGTTTGGAAAAAGGTTAGGGAAAAAAGATATTAACCCGGAGGGCGGAAGCGGAGGCGGGAGAGGCTGATGGGGAAAAGGCACGCACACAGACCTGGACGTGACCCCAGCAGGCGGAAGGCAGGTAGAGAGAAGGTTGGAATGCAAAGACGGGAAATGAACTAGGGGTTTCTTCAGCTGGGGTGGGTCAATAGGTGTCCAGGATCAGCCCTAGCCAGTCCCGAGCTCCCCCAGTCCGAAAGCATTATGCGGTAGCATGGAGCTGTAAAGGGGTGTACCTTCCACGCGCGCACACACACACACACATTCACACACACACACACATTCACACACACACACACATTCACACACACACACATTCACACACGCACCTTGGCCCCCGGCGCCCACTCCCGATACCAGATGCCCTTCCGACCCTGGTGCTCTCCACGGTTGAGACCAAAGCGCATGTAGGCTGCATGGCGGTTGGGTGGGAATCATGTGCGAGAAGGTGGAAGTGAGCTGGGGGGTGGGTAGGTGGGTGGGTGAGCATGCATATTGGCAGGCCACCAGCACCCAGCAATGGCGCCCGACACCACATGTGTTCTGGGCTTGATGTTGGCTTTGGGTTTGAAGTTATGCTGCTCCACTCGGCACACCACGCGGCCGTTATTACGTCCCCACCCAGACCGAATTGGAGCTTCTCGGCCCAATCCCTCCTTTCGCCCGGCCGCAACCCCACGATCCCCCAATACACCTTCAGTTGCCCTCCCCGACCCCTCACCCCGACCCACATTTGGTGAAGTTGTCCAGGCCCCCCTCGTTGTCATCAATGGCTTTCCTGATCTCCCGCAGTCGCCGCCACCGGTACTGCGCCGACGAGGGGGGGATGAACGGGAGGGTGGACGGGAGGGGGAAAGCTGCAGGGCTGGGCTGGATTAGGCCGAGACCAGTATGTATGTTGTTACAGGGTGGTATAGCTCCACCAGCGGCCCCCTTTCCCGAGGCAGTCCCTGCTCTCCCCTGCGAGAGGGGCACCCTAATCCATTCACTCCAGTATGTTGGCCTGCTGTCCGCGGACAAGGCGAGCCGGGCCGTCATCACGGGCCATAAACCCCCTTAGAGGCTGAGGAAACGCCCCTGCCTTGATTACCTGTGCCGCGCCGCATATAGGCACATTCTCGTAATGCTTTGCTCTTACCCTGATCCCCTCTTCGTCCGCTGACATGGACATGATTCGTACGCCGCCACCGGACATTGGGGGGAGGGAACGGGAAAGACTGGGCCCCATCCGCCGGCGTGGCCAGGGCCCTCCCTCACGTCCGCACGTCCTCATAGGTATGCAGGCCTTCCCGCCCTTCCCCGCTGCCGCCGCGACTAAAAGTACACTCGGCCTGCACCCCACACCCACGTCACCAAGGCCGCCCGAACCTGGCCCCGCTCACCCTGAAATGGTCGGCAAAGTTCCACAGCGCCGAGTCCCATGTGAAGCATTCCGTTCCATCGTGGCCCGGTATGGGGCTGATGCTGCCGTACTGGTCGGTGTACACGTAATCGTACGGCACCTGCTCGGCAAGGGGAAGGCACAAACGCTATGGGGCCCCCCTTTTTTGCAATTTCCGGCTTTGGTCATGCGGTACGCTGGATGGTGCGAAGCAACGGCTAATGGACCCAGTGATTGCCGCCTCTGGGCAAGTACGGAATTCGGGGTATAGAGTACGGCATCCCGACACACCTGAGTCCCAGCATACCCGGGCACTGCGACTTTCCATCCTCACGGCCGGATTTAACATCGCGTTCCCAACAGTCGGTTGTAATACACGCAAAACTGCATTTAACGGCCCCAGCGCGACGCTGTAAGCCCTGACCCAGATCGGATTTTGATCTGGACTCAGATAGCATGCGGCTACGGAGCCCGGCAGCAGCGAGCCGCACCAAACCGTCACACGACATGCACACGCATCCCTCCGGGAAGGGAACGGACGCGGGGCATCACCGTCCTGAGCGGATCGCCCTGTGGGTGCATGCCCGCGGGCCTCCTCACTGCATGCTGTAGCCGCCAGCTTGCTCTGACGTCCCTGCTTTCACTGCCTGCCTGAGCTGCCGTGGATGCTTTGGCACAGGGCCCTGCCACCACATGACCGCGGTGGGGCGAATGTCTAATATGGCGTAACGTGGTGCAATGCGGTAGGTTGACGGTGTCCGGGTGCAGGGCACGAGGTTTGCCTTAGCACAGCAGCGGGCAGTATCCTGATCTGCTCATGGTCAGCAAGTCCACAGCACTGCCCTCCTGGTGACAGTGTTCTTCCTAGGGACCATTCTGTCTTGCCGTAATCTGCGGCTGGCAACTTCTTCGATCCACGACTGCACTACAAGGCGACTTGGTCGCCCTGCTTCCTTTCCATTTCCTCCACCTCACCGGAGGTTAAGCTGATCCGGTTTGGCCGCTTGGGCTATTTGGGTTTTCGTGTTTGAGCTCTGCCACATACGGTATGGGGTGCGGCTCCGTGCATGCCACCGGCCTGTGCCCGGGCCCACCTCTAACTCCGGGCTCCAGAAGTCCTCGGGTTGCGTGGGCATGATTCCCGGCACGCTCTCTGGCGGGGGAATGGGGATCCTGGCTGTTTGCAGCTTGGCCTCCAGCTGTGCAATTGCTGCTTTGGCCTCCGCCACGGTTGTCTTCAGCAAGTCGTTTTCTTCCTGCAGGACCTCCAAGGCGCTGGCCTGGTCAGCACGGAAAGCAAAGGGCGATGCCGCTGTGCACACCGTTCGTCGGTTTGATCCTGCGTAAACATCAGGCGGTGCCCTTCCTTACCGATAGTTACTGGCTAGGCCCGTTCCCACGCGCGATTCCGTTGCGTGGACCAAATCAGTCCCAGACAGCGGTGCAGGCATGCAAAATGATTTGCTTTGATGATAATGACATGTTGCAACAAGCTTCATTTGACGGATTCCGATGGGAAATCCTAGCTTGAGGAATCCTTACCCCCAACCACCAGCGTCTCCCTGGTAAGCAAAGACGTGCTTCCTCTTGCTCCTCTGTAAAATTGATGTTTACCGAGCTGCTGCATCGTGTGCAGCAAGTTCCCCAAAGGGTTTGCCTGCTTGCCAGACTCTTTCCAGCAAATATCGCAACAATCAGAGAATTTTCACTAGCGTGATCCTCAATAGACAGAAGAAAGTAACTATAAATGAAAGCGAGGATGTAAGGTTTAAACCTTTCGTCATGTCAATCGAACCACCAACTGCCGCATGTTATGGACTCCCCAAAAGATCAAATCGAACAGTTTGCTATATTATTCGCCGTGCACATAAATCGCCCGTGTCCTGAATTGCAGTCACAGTACACTCTTCACGTTTCCGATCGTCATCACCTCTATGTTGCGTGATCACTGTCAACGTGCCACGTCATGAGGAAAGGCTCCGCGCAAGCCTTTAATAATGTCGTAAATAAGTCATATCCATAATATAAGTGGTTCACCGCGAGCGAGCGCCTCAAAAATTTCTTGTGCCTGTTCGGACAATCAGGCGGCGGAGCCGCTGTACAGTGAGGCGCCCTTCGCCTCCCGCAAAGCGCCTATACAAGCTTACCCACTATCACCAAACAAGCTTTTAACCCCCAGCGTCATACATGCATGATCCCAGATATTCCTTGTGTTCGCTTAGCCTCCCAAACGAGAGCTCGCGCTTGGCAACCCGACGAACGGCGAATCTAAGCGTCCATACAGCAGATCCCCTCCCCCCACTCCCCTCCCCCAATCTCTCAACCATCATCCCCGATCACAAATCGCACTGCCCTCTTTATGTGTCCGTTTTTGCCTTCTTAACTCCGAGCAGCTGTTTCATCGCCTCGTACGACACCATGCGGATGGCGTTCTGCGGCACCACCTTCACTGAGTTCGCCACCCAGCCGCGGTAAAACCCACGCACACCCTCGCGCGCCCAAATCGTCTGGAAGGCGTCCAGCTGGTTGCGGTACGCCTGTCCCTTCATCTGCATGCGCCGCCGGATGGTGTCCAGAGGGTAGCAGACGGACGCCGCAAAGGTGCCGGAAGCACCGCCCACCAACAAGTTGGCTACCGAGGACTGAGGCCTGTACGGCAGGTGGGGCGCATTTACACCAGGTAAGCGGGGGAAAAGGGGAGACACCAACGGAAAAGTGAGGCCAAGAAGCAAAGTAGCGAACAAGCCTTTCATGCGGTGCGAGACGGTGTATAGACCCCAAATTGCGACAAGGGACCGAGAACTCGTAACATGCAGACTCTAGCGCCAGCCACGCCGGCTCCCTCCCATGGCACAACCTCATCATCTCCGATGCATCCCAAACTCCATTTCGCACCTCTCCCCGTGATACAGCCATTTCTTGATCAAATCGTAGCTTGCAAAGTTGAGGGCCGCATATGGCGCAATACCGATGAGGGTGGGCACCAGGCCCTTGTACAGCGAGATGAGGCCCTCAGTGCGGGCCATCATGGTGGCAGCGTGGATGGCGCCTGCAGGACACAAAGCACAGCGTCGTCAAGTGCGGAAGAAAAGTTCAACACCAACGGTAAGCTGACAGATAGGGTGACAGATGCCACACCGATCTACGGGTTAGTTTTTACCCCGCTGTCCTTCACCACCTATAACCCTCCCTCTGTGCGTTCCTTACACCTAATGTGCGCGATGTAAACCTTCCCCCAGAACGCATAACGCCATCGGCACGGCAAAAACAGGTCCTACGAGTACATGTCATCATTGCCTTAGCGGTCCATGTTCGTACCTTTATACGGATGGTTTGGCAGCGCCAGGCGCAGCCGTACCGTGTCCAGCGGGTGGGTAAGGGCGGTGGCGGTCATGCCCGCACATGCGCCCGCCAGCAGTCGCCGCGGCACTGTCAGCTCGTGGTGCTCGTCGGCCAGCAACCGCTTATATGTGTCATTAGAGGCAAGCTGGGGAGGGGCAGTTGGAAAAAAGAGGCTGAGCCGCGTGTCTGTGTGCGGGTGCGTGCGTTACCCTCGTTACGCGGTGCGTGCGTTATTCTCGTCAGGCAAGGAGAGGCATTATATACGTAGTTGTGCTTGCCCATGTGGGCTTGCACAGGCTGCGGTTGGCGGGCTGAGACATTGGAAGAGCTCCGCGGGGATCCAGCACTGCAATTCACAGACCGATGCTTCTCATCTATTCAAAGCTCACGAAGCAATCGAGTCAGTCTGGCCGGATCGGTCCGATCCGCTGCTGATAAGCCAACAGCTCACGTTTCCAAACCATAAGCCCCGCACGTGTGAACGTACGACCCTTTACGAGCCAACCAATTGCCACGGCCAGCCCAACATGCAGGCCGGCTTCTGCTTTCAGCCGCGTGGCCATTCGAGGTTGCCGCCTGAAGAGCCGACCCATTTCCTACCTGTGCCCACAGCATCTCTGCCGGGACCAACAGCTGCCGGCGCCTATTCACTTTGGGCCTTTTGAACCCATGGATCATTACCTGCGCTGCCGAGTAAGGAAAGATGCGGATGATGTTGACACCGTTGCCCTTCCAGAAAGCCAGGAAGCCCTCCTCCCTGCGGCGGCAGCAGCAGCACAAGAGCATGGGCGAGCGGCCCAGGAAGGAAAACAGTGCTGAACAGGATGCCAGACGATTACTAGGACCGAATGCGAGGGAAACACTCCCGAGTCTGAAGGAGATCGCAAGAAAAGCAACATATTCTGACGATAGATGACTCGATGAGGTCCTAGGGCTCCGGGCTTAGGAGCAGCCCTGTGAGCGGACAGCTTCACCGGATGTAATTCCTACAGAGATGTGCCAGCAGCGACACGGGAACGTGCGCTGTGTAACAGTGAAAAAAACCAGCACTGCTGGCCCCAACTGACCCGCATGCATAACAGCCATCGGGTTGCCATCAATCAGCACATGCTGTCAGGCTGTTTTGTGCACCCGGGGTACTGGAGGCTGAGTAGTCTTGGGCTTCCAAAGTAAGGCAGCACTGGCTGCCGTATTCCACGCTAAGAACTAGATGTACTTTATGAGGTGAAGTTCGTCCACGCCGGTTCATGCGACCGGTCGCGTGCGGTCGCGTGCAGCTATGACTGGTTGCGTGCAGCTATCCGTGCACAGAGGCTGCAGTAACGCCACCTGACCCTGATATTCCGCTGCGGCTGTGGCAGCGCTGGAAGCTAGAAATGTCAAAGTTTAACGCTGCTGGTGGGGGAATACCGTATGCGGGTGCAAACATTGCGGAAAGCGCGGAAAGTGGCAGTCGGGCCTCAGGCAGCCTTCCCCAGGCCCTGCGGTTTCTTCTCACCGCAAAATTTTCAGGCCCGCCTGTCCCACGCCAGTGTACGCTGTGGGTGACGTGCCGGGCCCCGCAACGGCCTGTGGTTGGGATGAAAGACCGGGGATTTATGGAGTTCGGACGGGTTACAGCAAGTACTGTAGGTGCAACAGCCGCACTTGAACTTGAAAGAGCAGTTTGATGCGGTCCAGAGGTGCTGTACAGGTACGTGCTATTGCTCCAGCCATTCCTCCGGCAAAGAACATCCTGCAAACAGGGCGCAACCTGCGTCGTCCGTTGCGCCATCAAGGGAACGGACGCAATGTGTCTCTACCAACCTGGAGCTATCCAGCACATTGGATTGCTTCTTAGCTTCTACCATGATGACTCTTAATTATTCCTAGGGACTCAAACGGTTTGCAGTCCAAAAGCACAAACTGAATGCGTTGATGTGCGAAATTAACAAGGACACAATTGTGTGCCCATGAGAGAAATAAGTTATTAGGGCCTGCAAAAATGAAAATGCGTTGAATATGATGGACTGCGCATAAGTCCGCGAGATGACTTTACGGTCGTACATAGCTAACCGGCAACCGTTTAAACTCCGAATTATGCTTGGTGAATTAATTAACATTAAAGCTGTGACTGCAAGGTGCATAATAATTTTACGCCTCCTTACAAGCTCTGATAGACCGCTGAACCTTGCGGAGAGCGAGACTGCAATACTATATCGTATTACTATTCGTCACGATCCATTTCATGTCATCTTGTACGTATATATTATAGTTTGTTTCGGTTTAACGTTTGATTATTTGCTTGTGGCGGGCGGACTGACAGCTTTCTAGCCTTCTCCTGACGTATACCCCGCTCTGTAGCCTCTCAAAAGCATCCTCTAAGACAAGTCTGTTGGATATGGGCAACACTTGCACCTGCTTTGAAAAGGGCCCATGGGAATTCCACTCGGAGGTCCAATCTTCCTATCCTGAGATGACCGAGGTGTACCAAGACATGACGCAGCCGCTGCCCCACTATTTTATATCATCTGGTCATAACTCGTATTTGACGGGCGACCAGCTGTTTGCGAGTGCCGGAACGGCAACTATCGTGAAGGTGTGAAGTATTTTAGCTCAACAGCCCGACAAGAGCGTGAGAGGCAAAAAGGATATTCCTATGTCGAATTGCTGCCCCTTAATACCCCAACAGAGCTTGCAGTCAGGTTGCCGCGTCATTGAGCTGGATGTGTACAACGGTCCCATATGCAAGCATGGGGGCACCTTGACTTCACCAGTTAGCTTTAAGGTACGGAATGTTTGTGGCCCAGATTACCTACTTGGGCAAGATGCGATTGTTACAGTGGACCCCGAACGGGTCGAGTGCAGCGCCCATAGGAGCGCCTCCCGCACAACACTGTGGGCCTTATTCAAAAAGAACTCGGCCAGGCCGTACTAACTTCACTGGACACACGGCCTCAGTTAGTACGCTTAAACAGAAAATTGAGGCTCCGATGTGCGCCCTCAAACTTCGTCATTGTATATCGGTAAACGGCAAACAACCATGTCTGCGTCATTGACATATAAGAAAGGGTGATTGTGAGGTACATGATCCCAATGTATGGGCAACCAAGTAATCCAGTTTGTACGGAGGCCTTCCGTTAGGTTTTGGTTACGTACACGGAATGCCAATAAATTCTGTCAGTTTTTTGGTGTGCGGCTTTATGCACCAACGGCAAAGACCTTAGCCAAAAACCAAGGTTGAAAGCGCTTGGTTATAGGCCGGATTTTCAGAAGCCAGCGGGGCGGAACCCTTGCACCTCTAGTACCTGGCCGTGCTTTGGGCCATCCTCAGTGCTGCTCCATCTTCAGGTAGCCGCAGCGGCCCTGTTGCAATTATCGCCTTCGCTGCTGGTGCTGCAATGACTGTGGTTGCAGGAATGCATCGAAGCCATCGGGCGCGCCGCTTTCGTAGCCTCCCCATACCCAGTCATCATAACCATGGAAAACCATGCGAACAAAGAAAACCAGGTGCGGTGGTCTGAGGGCAGGACAGGGGGTAAGCATGAACGGAAAGAAGGATGCCTGGGATGGAACGTGAGGGGCCCGACGGAACGAAGGAGGCAAGGGGCTGTGAGGGTAGCAGGTGTCGTGAAAGCCGACTAACCTGAGTGGTGCTGCCGATTGGGTCGCGCAGTGGGCGGAAGGCGGCAACTGAACCAGATGGAGAAGTTCCCTCAACGGAAATCTGGATCCTGACATACATACATAAAATACAGACAGACATACTTGCTTACTTACGGTAGAAGGAGCCATAACGAGTGACCTGGGTGCAGGATGAGACAGCTGACCGGGTGTAAGAGACTCCGCTGAACACTCGCCGACCTGCCGCCTCACGGCCTTCCAAAGGAGTGTACAACTTACGTGCAAATCCGCCCCCGCCTATCCCTGTCAGTGCGCCCAATCCGTCATTTCTTCCCTCCTCTCCCTCCTTTCCCAGGTACGTTATTTATGTCCCGGTTCCTTCCCATCCCTTCCCTTCCCTTCCCTTCCCTTCCCTTCCCATCCCTTCCCTTCCCTTCCCTTCCCTTCCCTTCCCTTCCCTTCCCTTCCCTTCCCTTCCCTTCCCTTCCCTTCCCTTCCCTTCCCTTCCCTTCCCTTCCCTTCCCTTCCCTTCCCTTCCCTTCCCTTCCCTTCCCTTCCCTTCCCTTCCCTTCCCTTCCCTTCCCTTCCCTTCCCTTCCCTTCCCTTCCCTTCCCTTCCCTTCCCCCGATGCGTTGACATCCCTTCGGGAGCTCCAGGCTGAGATGGCAAGCATCCTGCGCAGGACGCTGGGGGACCGCCTCTTCGTGCCGGATCCCCACGACAGCCGGCGGGAGTACCTGTCCCCCGCTCAGCTTATCAACAAAATCCTCTGTCGCAGCTCGGTAGGTGGGTCGGTAGGTGGGTCGGTAGGTGGGTCGGTAGGTGGGTAGTGAGGTGCTGGGAGAAGGTAGCGGCTGAGGAGGGCGGGGCTGCCGGGCGTGGGGGGAGGGCCGAACGAGGAGAAAGGCGCGGATGACGTGCAGGGGCGTTCTCGCATGACGCCTTCCGGTGCCGCGAGATAAGCATCCGCGAATTGTACATATCCTTCTGGCTCGGCTCGTTCCCCTGCAGGTCAGCTAGCTGTGCTTGCTTGGCCTGTGCCGTCGTTTGTTCCACGCGCTTATGGCGTTTATAACATAACACCCACTTCCGCGCGCATCATATATAGGCCTGCTTTTTCCATCCCGGGTCAACGCCGGGATAGCATTAAGTATTTGCACAGCATTTACAGCTGCTGCGTTCATCCGTGCATCCTTGGCATGCAGATCAAGGACTCTGGTGACTACGACCCGGACTTCAAGGAGCTCATTTACATACGCAACACCAAGTGCTCTACGCTCGGCGACATGATCAAGCGGGGTGAGCTGGGTCCTGCAGACTTGTGGTTGGGGGTGGCGCGGGAGGTGTAAAGGAGGCTTGTGGGAGTGCGGGAAGTGTGAGTGTGAGGTGACGGGTCGGTTAGGGGAACGCAGGCTACGGAAACCTGACCTGGCTTTCAATCCTGTGAAAGCATGAGCGAGCATCAGCGTGTTGGATTGATGTGCGCGCGGGGTATTCTAGGAGGTGACTGGGGAGTGTGGAGTTGGAGCCCGAGGCGTTCTGTCCGCTTTGGTGCGGGGAGTGGTGGGGCCCGGGGGTGTAGCGTGCCGGCACGGTTGGAACGTGCCACATCCGGTAGTTTCATCCGGCCACCGGCTGACCGCGCATCGCTGCTGATGCCAGTCGGAACCAACATTGGCATTGAGGCAGATCTATCTATCTCTCTGTGTGTGTCTGTGTGTATGTGTATGTGCCTTGACGGCCACCGGGTGGGATGTGAGGCGTGCGCTGCGTTTAACATACTACATGTCCCCCTCCCCCTTCCCCTTGTTGTCCGCGCTACACCGTACCGCCTTGCTGTTGGCGCTTCTGATGCTGCTGCTGTTGCTTCTGATGCCACCGGCAGAGCAAGTGGTGTCATCGTCATTTGAGGAGTCGGCGATGCCCCAGGTAATATTATTATTGTTGTTGTTGTTGTTGTTGTTCCCATCGCGGCGGTGCTGGTGTTGGGGAGGGTGTTTGGGAGTGCGGTGCCGCAAGGTAAGGTGGGGTGGGGTGGGGTGGGACAGCAAGCGTGCACCACGTGCGCTTCCTTCCGATGACGCATGCTTGTGCCGTCCTCATTCTTTTGCTAGGGCACGTCAGCAGGCAGCCGGGCGGTAGCCAGTTCCCGTGTGGTGCATGTGCATTGCGCCCTTGCACTCAGCCTGCCAGGCACCCAAGCCCTATCGCGGTGCACCCTATTGGGGGCCCACACGGCATACTGCGAGTGGCCTCCGCCCTCAGACCCGCTCTCGGCTGCCTTTCGCTGGATAGCACCCCCCCTGGGAATGATCAGCTCCCAGGTCCAAGGCTCTCCTGCTTTGGCCCCACTTACCGTTGGAACCAGCACCCCAGCTGCTGCTGCCCGTCCCCCGTGGGCCTTGAGAGGTGTTCCCTTGTGCGTCCTGCCCCCTCATTTCATTTCCCCTTTCCCTCAACGCCACTTCTCACTTCCAAGTCATCCTCCCCTCGCCATCACCGCTCCATGACGCCGCTCGCCTCCGCAGTCCGACGAGCTGGGTCCCGATGACTCCATGAAGAAGGCGGAGCGACAGAAGGAGAAGCTCTGTTCAAAGGGAGGGGACTGGAAGAAACGCCTGGAGCCCCGCCCCCAACCCGACAAGCAGCAGCAAACTGCCGACGGAGCCGGCGACGACGGGCTGCTGGGTGAGGATCCTGAGGACGCAGTGCTGCCTGGCGAGGAGGGCATGGTGGCTGGTTCCCTCCAGGAGCTGTACACCTTCACTTCCAGGCACCTGGCGCGAGTCTACCCGGCGATGTGGCGTGTCACGTCGGGTAATTACAACCCTATGCGCGCCTGGGTGCGCGGGGCCAGCTTGGCGGCCCTGAACTGGCAGGTGTGGGACAAGGCGCTGTGGTGTAATGAGGCCAAGGTAAGGGTGAGGTGGGAATAGGAGGCGAGGGAGGGTGGCAGGGTGAGACGTGGGGGGTTGTGGTGGTGGAGAGCAGGCGGAGAGGGTGGTGCAGGGTGCGGAGGAGGTTTAAGGGAGGTGGGGTTGGGGAGTTGGGTTCCACACTGCAGTGGGATGCTGTGCGGTGCTGTGCAATGTGATGCGGGACGTGCCTCGGGGAGGTCTCAAGGGCTCATTAGGATGATGTGGGCCGCGGAAGGGGGAACGAAGTGCTGGCTGGCTAGCGCGCGGGTTGACATGATGAGGGAAGGTGGGTTGCTGCAGGTGGGTGCCGCAACTTCCTACCTTCTTTCCCTTCTGTGCTCTCTCCTCATTGCCCTGCCCTCGTTTCCTACACGTTCTCGCTCCCTCCCCCTGCTCGCACCCTCGCTCCCTTCCTCAGTTCAGTGACAACGGGCGGTGCGGCTACGTGCTGAAGCCCGAGTGGATGCGGGCACCCGAGGGAAAGCTGCCCCAGCGGGAGCCGCGCACACTGGTGGTGCGAGTGCACAGCGCCCACAAGAACCAGGGCAAGAACTGTTGCATGTTCAAGGACGACTTGTTCGTCAAGGTATGGCCCTGGGGCTGGGCCTGGGGCTGGGGCTGGGGTGGGTGGGTCCTCGTAGGCGGCGTATTCGTGATGCTGCCCCCCCCCGGCCCCCCGCACATTTAACCTCTCAATCCTCGGCATGGTATGTGCTGGCATGTGCTTCCAGTTCGCGCGCACCCTCCCGCCCGTTCCCTTCCTGGTCCGACTCCCCAAGAGCCAGCAGCCGCTCAGGTTCGCTCAGGTTCCTTACAGCATTCTCACTCCCCACGGCACGTCCCGGCACCAGTCCCCGTCCCTGCCCAATCCCTCCTGCGTTCCACCGTGTCTCGGTTCTTAGTGGATTAGCTGTCGTACAGTACGGCACACGCATCGCCCATATAGACGCGCTAAGCCGCTCTGCCAGCGTCTTGAAAGGCCTTTTTAGCGGCCAGCTACCACACTTATCTCTTCTCCGCTCCCCGACCCGGCCCTCTCCGCGCACGCCGGGCCCCGCCCCACACGCCCGTCCGCACGAAGATCAACATATGGGGTATGCCCTGCGACTGCGCCACGCGCAAGACGCACACCGCCCACGACACGGGTCGTCTTGAAGTAAACAAGGACTTCCACTTCCCGGTGCGCTTTCCGGACATGGCGGTGTTGTGCATCACCCTCAAAGACGACGACTCGCCGGTGATCGGGGGAAAAGGTGGGTTCGGGTTTGGGGGAGCAGGTGGAAGTGGTGGCTCGTTTGGCGCAGGTGCGGTTGCGGCCATTATCACTACCACTGCCTTAATGGGCTGACTGCGCGCGTTGTTCCCATTGCCGTTTTCATTTGGTCTCGTACGTCCCACACCATGGGGTTTGCGTAGGGAGTTGTGCTCTGGGCATTGCTCGCTTGATGCCGATTTTCGGAAACCACCCTCCCTACCACTCCTATTGGTTGTGCCGGGCACGGCCCGCTGTGTAGCAGCACTGATGGCCTTCCGACCGCAACCCCCAACCTGCCAACGCGCGCTGCGCCCCTGCTCCGTCCTTGGGGAACGCTGCCCAAGCTCCCATGCGCACACCTCGCACCGCGCCGCCGTGTGCTATTGGCGTCGCTGCCGCATGATGCCCCCAGCCCCTCTTATCTTTGGGGCTCCTACAGCACTTTAGTACTTGTCGGCAGTTGACTCCTCCTCCTTGCTTTTGCATCATATAATGCCCCTCTCCTCCCTCATGTCGCTGTTCCCAGTTCGCAATGCCGTGGCCGACACTCTGGGCTACTTTGCCCTGCCCCTGGCCACGCTAAAGGAGGGCGACTACAAGCTGTCGCTCAAGGACCCGACCACGGGTGAGGTCCAGGACGCCGGGAAGACCTGGGTCAAGGTGCGGCTGCACTGGGGGGAGGGTGGGAGGGGGGAGGAGCCGGAGGGCCGGGAGAAGGGCAGGGCCAAGGCTGCGAAGCCGGCAGAGGCGGAGGCGGGAGCTGTGGCTGCCAACCCTGCGTATGCTGGACCTGTTACGTGATTGTGTGGGGGTTGGTCGGCAGAATGGGGTGGGCGGGGTTCGGGGGCGAAGAGGAAGCTGTGCGGTATGGGCTGCCAGCATCTGCGGGTGGACGGTCCCACGCAGCTTTGCTGGCAAGTGCGAATAACGGGATATTCCTGGCGCGGGGTCAGGTAGGGAAGGGTAGGTAGGGTAGGACAAGGAGATGTCGGAATGAATGTCGGGGGCCGAAATTACGCCCTTACCCTTTCCTATGTGCATGTGTACGTTATCCGTATATGCGCGTCAAAAAATATGGCTGGCTTGGCTTGATGGATGGATGGATGGATGGGTTGATGGATGGATGCTGTATGTTCCCAAAGCAAGTTATCCTTATCGCATGGATGTACACACACGCACACACACATAAATGGTGCGCAAGCGGAAATGAATGGATCACTTTGGTGCGCAGGATTTTCTGCGTTTTTTGATTAGTTTTTTTGTGTGTGTATGTGCGCGCATGCGTATATATCTTTGGAGCGACGTAACGTGCGCGAACTTGTGCCACCCGGTCTCACGGAGAGCATGCACATGCACATACGCATATGCATCTCGTCACACCGACGAGCGTGCGCTAATTGTCTTTACCGCGCCATATCAAGAAGCGCTGACGCTGCTTTCGTATTATTAGTATTATACTGATGATGTTGTCCGGAGGACATCTAGGGGGTTTGCTCTTTCGCATGAGCGTTGCGTCACCACACGGGGTAAGCGGCAAGCGGAGGGAGTGCAATCGCGGGCGGGGGCCTCCTGTGTGAGGCGCCGAGCCGCACAAACGGTGTGGCGACGGGGCAGCGGCGGCGACGGCGGCGTGTGCGCTTCTGTCGGCCTGGCTGCAGAGATCTGCACAGACGTGATGCGTTTGCTAGGGTGTTGTTTGGGCAGTCGGCAGAGCGGCAAGGAGGGAGCAGGTCATTCTTTGCATCCGCACAGGAAGGCACACACACGGCGTTCTGTTACGACTTGCGAAAAGAAATCGCTGCTGGCGCTTTACCTATGACCCGAGGACGAATGGAGGAAGAGCCCCGTTCACGAGATCGAAGGCAGGGCCCACTTATTTTTGGGCTGCTGGGTTGGGTTGCTTCAAGCAAAATTGCTGTAGTTATCATTTGCGTAATTGTGTATATATGTGTGTGTGCGTGCGTTACACCTTTAGTTGCGTTGCTTTCCGAAGGCGTAACGTAACTTAACGTGCATTGCGTTATCATGTCCATGAGTCGTCCTATGACAAGCGCATAGCGCATGCACGAACAGGCCGTACGTGCCGCTGGCGCGTACTGAGGGAAAGAGCCAATAGCCACCTGAAGTTGGTGCTTCTTGAAACCACGAGTTTCACTACTTCTCGTGGCCATGTCCGACAAGCACGTCTTCGCGAGCAATGGAAGGATTCCCATGTATGGTGCGGTGGACATCCATCTCTTGCTGGCGGATTTGGCGTCTGCCGTTGTTACTTCCCTCGTTGCCGCGGTCGCAGCTGGCGGCGCTGGGCGGTTGCAGCCACTGCGGCAAACGATATAACGCAGCTTGCATGGGAACGGTTTCGTTCCCATCAGTTCGACTGAGCAACCGGTTATGGAAATAGGGACAGCACCCGCTGGATTTTGTGTGACATCATCCCGTTCGGCCACCAGCAGTGTGCGTTTTAATGAACCGAGCCGCGGGCAGGAAGTGGCGTGCATGATGTGGTACACATGAGCATCCTTATCGGAGGAAGAAAGCAGTATACAATAAAGAGGAGGAAATGTTGAGTCCATACATCACGTCGGAGCGGGCTGAGGTAGCCGGCGGTGCTGACGCGATAGCAGCGGATAGACCAGGTTGATTGTTTGGTACCCGGGGCAAAGTTACCTCAAAGCACCTACAGCCCTGCTGGCTTACTCGTATTAGGAGGTGGGTTGCGATATTAATGTGGCAGCAGGCCACGGCGGGAAGCCTGTAGATGGCTTCTGCCACAGTGGGCAGCCACGTAGTGCAAAGAAAGAGAGCACCATCGCACCAGCCTGCTTTGCGGCTGCACAACACAGGAAACACCATCGCCACTTGTTACCTGCCTCGTCTTCCATTCCCCAAAATGAAGCCCATTTCCTGATGCCGCATAACTGGTACCTTGTGACCTATTTTGGTGCGGCGAATCCTTTCTGTTTATTGCAATATCGGTGCATTCTGTACGGTACGGTAGGACCGATGCAGTCACGATACAAAGGTTGAACTGGACTGGGAATAAGCTCACAGCAAGGCTTGGCAATACCTCGGTTTCGTGTCACGACATTTTAGGCAAGGCCAGTCTACGTCTTCACCCAACGGTAAAAACTAAGGTAGTAGCACAAGCGGAAGTTGTGCTATTACCATTCGGCATTGCCTCCGCCTGTTGGGCATTCACCAAGCTAACACACAAGATTATGCAGACATGGAGGCGGAAGGGCTGGCGGTGCTCAGGCGACATCGGCGACCACATCCACGCCCACCAGGATGCCCGGACCCTCATCGCCTGCCGCACAGCGATCCTTGACCTCCTTGAACACCTGGGTTTTCGCCGGGAAAACCCCAAAGTACTTCGGGTTTGGGGTGCCTGGATGCTGATCAATGGGAAGATGGCCCAAGCCCGCGTAATTGGGGAGAGAAGGTCAGTTCGATGGGGTCAACGCCTCAGGAGCCCTACACGCACTTCAATCCTTCAACGGCCCTGCGGGCCTACGGCATCAAGTCGTTCAGGTTATTACTGATAACCTCAATTGCACCAACGTCCTTAACAAAGGATCCGCAAAAGCTGAGGGCTCCTACCTGATTGCCCATGAGATCTTTTGATACTGTATTGCCGAGGGTATCCCACTGCGGCCAAAGTAGCGGCGTACCTAACACTCTGGCGGACTACTGTCGAAGCTGCAAGACAGGGATGACTGGAGGGTGGTATCAGACCAGAGATGGTGGACCTCGCACTTGGCGGCATTCGCGGCCATACCCGTCGCTTTGCAGTAGGCTTCGAGTAGCCCCAGAAGGCATTCTGCTCTATCGTGCCCTGTCGCTACCAGTGACAAATCGTCAACGAAGAGTAGGTTAGCGAGTTCACCGCCCGCCAGGCTAACACTCAGCTCACGAAGGGTGCTCCATCGGCTAGGGAGGCATACACGGCAATTAGCATCGTGAGCATCAATATAATGAGCGAATACTTCTATGAAGAGTCCAAAAAGGGTTACGCTAAGGGGGCACCCTTGCTTAGCACCACGCCCCACTGTGAATTCAGGTCCCAACCTATTTCCTAACTTGACACGAAACTTCACGTCAGCATAGCTAGCCTATAAAGGATCGAGGATGCGCCCATGTAGCCCATACGACATGAGGAAATCCCAAAGTGTCTCATGGTCAACGGAGTCGAACGCCTTACTAAAGTCAATTTGCATGATAATAAGCGGCCTGGCTCCAGTCACAGTGTGCCTCGAGGTAAGATGCCTTAATTAATGTAAACAAGTGATGCTCGGTGCCCAAACCATGCCTACATCCAGCCTGGCTAGCGGCAGTGTGTGTGTGTGTGTGTGTGTGTGTGTGTGTGTGTGTGTGTGTGTGTGTGTGTGTGTGTGTGTGTGTGTGTGTGTGTGTGTGTGTGTGTGTGTGTGTAACGGACCAAACATAATATCTCGCCCGGCTGAAACGCAATATCCGTAATATATTGCGTTCTCTATTGCAAGGTATCTTGCCTGTAGCCAACAAAAATCGTATGAGCACAAACAAGTTTGGCTGCCTCCATTGACCGAGGTCAAAGTCACATCAACGCCTCTCGGGCTAAATTTAATAGCAAAAGGTGCCGCGTATCTCGTAATTGAATTCTGGATTACGGCGTACGATAACTCGAACACCCAGCATGTGTTACCATTTGCCCGCACGGGCATTCCGAATTGCCACCAGCAGCCCGACAAATTTGCTTTCATTTCCCTGTAAAATATGCAAGCTGCAGGTTATGAGCCCCGGCTTCCTGCCTCCCGCGCTCTGACAAGCATACCTCCCACAGCATCAGCACTGTTGCAACAAGCACAGCTCCCGCCACGTTGACACTACCCATCAATGTCGCACGTGCCGCCCTAGCTACCGGCCTGTACGGATGCAGGGGGCCCCCGCCCTTTCTCCGGCTTCGAGGAAGCGGACACAGCTTGTTGTTGTTGTTACAGGGTGGTATAGCTTCACCAGTGGCCTCCTTCCCGAGTCAATTCCCTGCACTCCCCTGCTGGAGGGGCACCCTAATCCATTCACCCCATCCAACTTCAGAATGTATTCGTTGGGTTCGGCAATTCACCACCAGCAATCAATCTAGCAGATCACCGGCGCTTCAACTTAGTTCCTGGTCAACAATTTTATCATGTCCTGCACCGTCTCATTTCAACACTCCTCAAACACCCGAGGAGTCGGCAGCACTATGACGACGGGTGATCGCGTTAAGTCCGCGTTAGCTCGCGTTAGTTCGCGTAGCGGTGCGAATCTTAGCGTTAGGTGCGAATGAGCATGCTTTTGTAACGCAAAGAGCTAACGCACAACGGCTATGGAAAAGCGGAAATCGGCCCTTCTGGCCAAGTTTTTTAAAAATTTATAATTTTCAGATTGTAAAGGTTTATTTGGAAATAAGCTTGCGTCGTTTTGGTCGACTTGGACAATTCATCCGTGCGTATGTTGAAACGCGAAGCATACGCGCATGTGTAGCAAGGCGATACGCATGCGATTCCATAATGCGATTCGTGCGTGTGGGGAGACAATGCGTAAAGCAATTCGCGTCCACTCGCACATCAAACGCACACAGTCCGCAAGGCTATTTGCATGCGAATGCATGTTGCGTATCATGCGTATGAAGGCTGATTGCGTAAAGCTTAACGCGGCCTAACACTCACCTTACGCACACATTTCGCAACGCATTTCGCATGCTAATACATGCTGCGTTTCATGCGTATAAAGGCTCATTGCGTAAAGCTTAACGCGGCCTAACACTCGCCAAACGCACA